CTTGGGTGAAAAGGAGATGAGGATTGGTGGTAATCCACCCTTCCTTTTACATGGCACTTCCACAAAGTACTTTTACATGGTGTAGCGGTTGTGAATGAAAGTGTAGCGGTTGTGACGATGCAAATCCGTTGTCGAATGATTTTCGACAGTCGAGTCCTCGTTTTCATGTCAAACGAGATAACAAAACACCCTACATGACAGAGTACCCAGCATTGAAGTAGAGAGGAAGAAATCTAAATCCTCTAAAAGTCACCTCACATCGGGTCCCCGGTCCCATTCGTGAGAAAAAGGGAACGTGTTGAAAATGTTGATCCCGATCCCTTTACTAGGAAATGCATTGATACTATTTTGGCTGGTTCCCTTATATGCTCCTCGAGGGATCGTTGAGTGTTGTATTGGGGTTGTGTTGGAGAATGTTGAGTTGACGTAGGCAAGAATAAGAAACTTCTTTCCACTAGGACAGTCCTGGTACAAACACCATCTTGAGCATGCTAATATCAAGTTATTGGAGCTGAACTGATCCCCCCTCCGTAATCCCTGAATCACAAAATTAGTTGGTTAGATCATTTTCAGGAGGATCCCATCAGCCAGCCAAAGGTCCTCACTAAAGGCACCGATAACTAGCACATGCCAGCATCACTCTAACAAAATACGAAGGTACCCAAGATGACTTGGGACTTACCGAGTCATCGTCCACATTCGAATGTTTTTGATGTTGAAATCGTTGGGAACCAACTAGAGCTTTTCCACAGCAAAACAGAGTATTCGACATCAGAGAATCCATAGTTAGAAGAAAAGAATGGATCCCAGACTTGGTAAAAGTCACCTCCATCGGGTCCCATTCGTGAAAAGAGGGAACATGTTGAAATGTTGATGTACGAGTAGAAGGATGGAAGAAATAGTCTACCACTCGACGCCGATGCTTTACTAGCAAACGGTTTTGATACTATTGCTGCTGCTTCTGTTCTCGGCTGCTTGAGGAATCGTTGGGATTTTCGTTGCATCGAGGTTGCGTGGAGAAAGTTGACGCAGATAACAAGACGAGGAAAACAAAACAGAACACGTCCAATTTCAAAAGTCACGAAAGATATATTTATATTTCCCCATTTTGCTGCTCGTAGAACAGTAGAACAACTACCAGTTACGAGTCGTCCAAACAAAACAAACCGTGGACTTTGCTTGATTTTCTCTTGATTTCACATCACGAAAAATAGTGATAATCATTCCTTTGGCTCGTTTCTCCTATTGCGTGTAAGAGATTGAGCTAAAAGATGTTGTTTCACTATTGCAGAAGTGGTTGAGTGAATCAGTGCTTGTGATTTTTGGCCACTTACATGTAGCATGCCCCTGCAAACGTCCTTGTAAAATGATTCCATACAAGTAGGGTAACTTGGCTGATAGAGTCCCTCTAAACCCATCCCAAGCAAATAAAATGACTTTAACGTTAGATGCGACAAGGTATAGATGTGGAAGGAGATGAGGCTTGTTGGCAATCCATCCCCCTTTTTACGTAGGGACTTCCACAAAGTACTTTCACATGGTATAGCGGTAGTGAAGGTGCAAATCCACTTGTTGAGAATCATACGACAGTTGAGTCCTCGTTTAATGTTCAACGAAATAACAAAACACCCTGCATGACAAAAGTACCCAGCAATAGAGTATGAACTACAAAAAAAAAACCAGAAATCCGAATCTGCTAAAATCACCTCCCATCGGGTACCCGCTCCCATTCGTGAAAAGAGGGGACATGTTGAAATGTTGAAACAACAAGGAAGATGGTAGAAATAGTCCACCACTCGATCCAGATGCTCTACTACAAAACCTATTGATCCTATTTTGGCTGGTTCCCTTATATGCTCCTCCTGGGATCCTTCAGAGTTGTTGTTGTATTGCGGTTGTCTTGGAGAAAGTTGAGTTGACGTAGCCAAGAACAAATAACCTCCTTCTACAAGGACCGGCCTCGTAGTAACACCATCCTCGTCGATACCATGCTAAATATCAAGTTGTTGACACCCCTTAGTAATCCCCCCTGAATCACAAAAATAGTTGTTTAGATCATTTTCGAGCACGATCCCCACCACCCAACCAATAGTCCTCACCAAGGACCTACCTCTCCAAAGCACCGATAAATAGCAAATACCAGCATCAATTCAAGAAATACGAAGGTACCCAAGATAACTTGGGACTTGCCAACTGAATGTGGACTTTGATGTTGAAATCGTTGGGAACTAACTAGAGTTTTTCCACACCAAAACAGAGTATTCATTCATCAGAGAATCAATAGTTACCAGAAAAGATAGGATCCAAGTCTTGCTAAAGTCACATCCATTCGGTCCCATTTTCTGAAAAGAAGGGGACGTGTTGATATCCTGATGAAAGAATAATCCACTACTCATTCCCCGATCTTTTACTATGGATCGGATCGATACTCCCGCTGCTAATTATCTTCTCTCCTGCCCACGCTATCTTTAAGGATTTTCATTGCATTGAAATTCTGTTAAGAAAGTTCACACAGGCAAATAATGCAACACATTTGCCACCCAACACTATTATAGAGCATCATCCGGGACGCGATTTTGTTATAAACCCAATCCATGTATTCCTATGTAAATTTTCATATTCGGATACAATAAATATATTCCGACCACTTTGAAGGCGTTTTCAAAGACACCCACCCTCTAACAAATTATGTTCCCCTGAATCGATCATTTTCAATTTCAGATCATTTCATCAATCAAGGAACTCCACCCTCGTTAGAATAAACGGATCTTTTTCACCAATGCAACATATCCAACACCGGCAACACTTGCAACACCGGCAACTTCTTTCCACTCTGATCCCTCATGTCCAACTTGTCCAACTTGTCCATCATTCAACACTAATCAAAATCCGTCCAACACTTGCAACACTTGCAACACTTGCAACAATTTAAATCCGTCCAACACTTGCAACACTTGCAACTCTTGCAACTTTGATCCCTATTGTCTATCTTGTCCAACTTGTCCAACTTGCGATTCCTTTGATACTTGCAACACATGCATCGAGCCATTTCATCAATTTTCATACCTTTGACACTTGATACACAATAAATAAATGTGCCAGCCAAAATAAAAGTCTACCTGAAACCACTCTGCCACTACTTACATTTCTAAATCCTCTTAAGTACTCAATCATAAGATGCAAGTGCTGGAACAATTTTTCTGTATACGCTGTTTTATTGGGGTGATTATTTATTTTCATCATAGCTCTACCAATTTCCTTCTTCATACCATCTACATTCACAAGCATTGGTCTCGAGCGTTTTGGTGGAATGTTCACTACCATAGCAGCAGCAGGGACGGGGCGATTGATATTCCTGGTGGGTCGTATTCGTGGTGGTGGAACGGCATAGGGGGCAATCTGTTCCCGACGTTGTCGTGTAGGTGGTTTGGTTGGTGGTGTTGGAGGTACGGGTAGCTCGTCGTTCTATAAATTTGAATTAGCAAACGATTTATGTATAATATTCAATAGAATGTTAAGATCAGGTAGGGCACCTGGTGGTATTCTGAAAGCACTGATGGTGAAATCGGTGGAAATGTTGATAAAGTTGTCCCAGCGGTGAAGCCAGGAATTGCGTGAGGTTGGGCAGCAGATATCTACAGAGAGTATGGTAACTATTTATTTGGTGCATTTCTTTTGCATACAAACTTACGAGTTCTTGGTGCTGATGAAGGACTTTCTGAAAAATAGCTCCACAATATTGTACTTGCTGCCAGCAATCCCAAAGATTTCTTCGGCAATACGAGCGAATTTGGCTTCTAGAAGCTTCATGATTTGGTCAGAGTCCATCCGTCCTGTCCTTTAGTGGTTGCAGTAGTTTGGCGAGACTAAGAGCAAACACCTTACGTGTCACGTAAGGTCATTTTTTGCGCGATTTTATATCAATCAGGACGCTGACGGATGCACAAAAGCTGTTCTTATTCATCGTTCTGATTATATTTAAAGTTCATATCACATAATTACAACAGTGAATGGTACAAGTTGTGATCAAAAACATTATAGTTTCAACTTACCTCTGAATGTCCTCTGTTGCCTCAAAGCAGTCGAATCCCCATTGGCACCTTTCAATACCATCAATGCCCATTGGCACCTTTCAATATCATCATCCTCGCATTCAAAAAGCCCAACCCCAAAAAGCAACCTTATTCTCTCCAGCGGTCGGTAGAAATTGATGCCCATACACTGCAAAAGCTTGTGAGTGAGTCGGTTGTGATGGTGATGTGTCGAGATATTGGGTGGTGGTGAGGTAAGAGGCGAATGGGTTTATGGGTTTGTCTTGTTTGCGGGTACTTGAGCAGAGTATGCTCTTAGTACAGCGTCCTTGTTCGGAGATGTGTCGAAAGTGTTGGTGAGTATTGTGATAGAATGCAGTCTGAAATCAGATAGAAACAGTTTGGATGGATGGTGCGAAAAAAAGAACGCTAAGTTGCAAAGTCACGGCTTACCATATTTAAGATAGCAACAAGCAGTGAGACAGTCCTGAATGTCTTCATGGAGTGACTCTTCAGAAGGTCAGGCCCCTCCCTACCTCCGTCTGCCCTTTCGGTAATCGTTGTCGAGCGAGTTGATTGGATTTTCGATTGTAACAGTTTACGGTGGAGGCAATCCACAATTGCCGGAAGAGCTTTAAGGATGCTGTTCTACTGTGATACTGTGTCAATGAGTCAAGAGGGTCCTCCTCGTCATGAATTGGCGCTTTATTTGACGAGAAATGACGCGTGAAGACGTCCTTTGAGTGCGTGCTTCTTTGTGTTCTCGCGTGTGAAAAGTTGTTTTAATTAAAGGACTTTTGAAATTCCATAATCGGATGTTCGACTTAAAGCGGCACGCGATGAACCGCGAGACTGAACTGTTTTTGAGAATTACACCATATTTATATTACTACCGTCACGTCCAACTACTTGCACAAGAGAACAAACATGTGTATGCGCCCTACCAAGTTCGTTCACATACACCCAATAATGTTTGAGAGAACGTTACCACTGCTACTTGCAGTAACAACAATACTAATACAGGCCATACAGGCAACGCCTATAACTGTCCTTGATTCCTATGATTGTGGGAATATCGTCATGAATGGCAAAAAGTACAATTTCACTGATTACAACAGGCAAGCATGGATCCCTTGTTGTTTATTGGATGATCCATGTCGATACTCATGTATGTACGCGCTTCTATAGGGATATCGTCGTTACAGAGTCGCTTGATACTCCTCCGACGACCACGAATACAACGACATTAATCAACATATGTCGACCACTAACACTGGATGAGAAGATCGACAAGAATGATCAGTGCCCGGCCGGAACTTGGGTGCGTATATGTAATTTGAATGAAATGCATTGAAAGGACTGGTTTTACTCAAGATCCTCTTGTCTTTAGATATGTCAGGTAAGACTCATGACTATTTGGCCTTCAGAGATCTGAGTGCGAGAGAGTTTGGACGATTGTTTGCTATAATCTCGACGATTTAATCTCTGAAAGACATGAGAGCGGTTTGAAGGCTGTTCTGCTGATTCCGAAAGCTCATTCGCTGATTCGATAAGCTGATTCGATTCCCCTTTTACAGATCGTGACAAATTTCAAGAACAATATAGGTCGTGTTACAGAAGTTAAGCCAATGGCTCAGGGTGACTTCACTATGCCAAAGGCAACTCTTACGTCGCTATGGGCTGGTGATTTAGTATTAACATTCACTGGTGGGAGCATTCGGGGTGTAGAGCAGAAGGTGAATAGTAAGTTACGACCGCAGAAGAAGGACACTCTAGCTATCACCCAATGCTAAAACTCATTATTACACAGTCACAATGGTTTGCGATACCAAGGCCACAACCGTCACTACACCTTCCATGATATGCTATGACAATAACGTTCTTAGCATGACATGGTCTAATGCTGCTGCTTGTGGAGTTACGCCCGATGCTGGCGGTGGTGGAGGAGGTGGAGGAGGCGGAATGTCTGGAGCTGGAATATTCTTTCTGGTTATATTTCTCCTGCTAGTCACGTATTGCTTAGTAGGGTCTGCATATAATTATTCAGTACTGAGGATGACGAGATTTCCTGAAATGGTGCCAAATTGGAACTTGTGGGAACGAGGTTTCATTTGGATTGCCGATTTGATTGGATCGGTGTATGAGAGGTTGTCTGGCCGTTATGTACGATTGTAGTCCTGGACTGTTTTCTGAATATAGCAACATATAGTGAAGCTGAATACATTGACACTTCTTCCGTTCGCTCCAAACTGGGAACGTTTCCTCTCTCGACAGTCGAGCTCAAAACGTTGCTTGCATCTTCTACTACCTTGAGCTTCCAGACTCCGACATAAATGTCATAAATGTTGCATCTTTCTTCCAATGATGAAGTTTGCGAGCTGTCTGTATTGTTTTGTTGGCATTGCGTCCATTTCGCTCAATAGACTCAAAGGTTGTCACAGAAGCCAAACCAGAATCCCTCGACGTGTTCTGCTGCCAGGGAGCATGTCGCTTCAGTCGATACGTGTGACCATAGTCTCTCCGCTTATAATTCGTCAGACAGTTTGCATGCGTTTAAGACGTTTCTCGCTTTTCAACTTTCGACATCGTTGCCGACATAACGTTTGCAACAGGAGAGGGAACAGACTCTTTTCGTGGCTGCCGATAGGAGACGTTGGATTATGAGAGAGTATAGGATTCAGGCCGCACCTGGTTAGATATCGCTACTGGTTGGAGTATCACACGTTTTCTCTATTAGTAGTCACTTTGCCAAACAACGCCCTGCTCCATGTGTGTTTTCAAGAGAGTCGCCAATTCTATATCTTTGGGAGCAAAAAATGGCACTGCCAGGGTTCCGCTTTCAAGTTTGGGAATTCGTTGCCGTATGAAGGTCAACGCATTGGCGGAAGCTGATGTTCGCTCTGGGTGGAGAAGAGCGCATTGGAAGACGAGGGCGACATCCTCTGGTAAGGGTAGCAACTTGATATCCTAAATTTCATTTGTGGTGACCGGTTTTACTCACTCCTTTCTCCTGTATGAACCTGCCATGTCTTCATCGCTGCTGGAATTGTATATATGTCTGTGGAATCGGACGATTGGTCTATTGGTTTTGCATAATACAGAACGTATATTATATACATCTGGATTTGCCACAAATGCTGCTCTCGGCTGCGATCAGCAAATGGTTGCCTGTTGTCGTCCAGACTGTTGTCATGTTGAGAACTTCTTGCGACAAGCGATCACGTAGCATTTGAAATGTCACGTCCTGAAGACATAGACGTTTAAGAGTAGAGCTCTTATACTCGGTCAGCTCGAGCTTCAATCATTTTGTATTGCTCATTCGCATCTATGCCATGTACAGTTTCTGAAGCTTAGTATATGCTTTTGTTGCGACGAATCATTCCAAGCAGCACGAGAACATATAGAATCCCATCTTTGTCGGCTTCATCACTGCTTTATTGCAAGTCGCCATCATCATCACCCACATTTCGCCCAATGCCTGATCCATGGACGAATAACTGGCCTGCAGGAGCCTCCCTGGCATCATCCAGCAAGGCATCCAAGTCCAATGGAGTGCCATTGGGTCAATTTGATTGTAAGCTTTTTGGTTTGAAGGGCTTTCATAGACATTTACAGCTTTTTTTTCGGTGACTCGCTCGATTCTGAAACATCAGCTCGGAAGCAGTGAATCGAAAGAAGGAACATGGAAGAACGCGTAAATATTATATTCATTCACATGTACCGTTTCACCTTTGTTAGTGACTGCCTCCATCAATTTCGCTGATGAAGAAGAAAAAGTGCTGAAATTCTGGAAGGAGATTGATGCCTTCCAAACATCACTCGCTCTTTCGAAAGGAAGACCACGTTATACCTTCTATGATGGTCCACCATTCGCTACTGGTCTGCCACATTATGGTCACTTATTAGCTGGAACCATCAAGGTGCGTTGTGCTGTCAGATCTCCTTAAGAGCACGGAAGCTCCTTATACCTAGCAACATGCTACAACATATTAACATTTACCTAAACAACACCATAACAGGACGTGGTGACGCGTTACGCTCATCAAACCGGCCATTTCGTAGAACGTCGATTCGGTTGGGATTGTCATGGCCTACCCGTAGAATTCGAAATTGACAAGAAACTCGACATCAAGAGCGCCCAAGATGTCATGGACATGGGTATCGACAAGTATAATGCTGAATGTAGAGCTATCGTCATGAGATATTCCAAAGAATGGGAAACAACCGTGACACGTATCGGGCGATGGATTGATTTCGAGAATGATTACAAGACGCTGGATACATCATTTATGGAGTCTGTTTGGTGGGTTTTTAAGCAGCTACATGATAAAGGACAGGTGTATCGAGGATTCAGAGTAAGTCCTAGTCTGATATGCGAAGCTCTTGCTACCTGTAGTCTTTTTTTTGTGCATGAGCTGTCACGTCATGCTCAGTGTGTTTTCGCAGGTCATGCCATATTCGACTGGAGTCACCACACCACTATCGAACTTTGAAGCTGGTCAGAACTATAAGGATGTTGTTGATCCTGCTGGTAGGTCTCGTATCCCGCAATCAATCCTTCTGTGCTTATCTTTTTTTGCCATCCGTAGTCGTCATTTCATTCCCACTCAAAACCGATCCAACCGTCTCGTTCCTGGCATGGACGACTACTCCATGGACATTACCAAGTAATTTAGCACTATGTTCGCATCCAGAATTCATATATGTCAAGATCAAGGGTGAGAAGCATGTAGTCAGAGCCATTTTTCCTTCATATTGTTGAAATTTTTGGTCTCATAGACAACAAGACTGGCGCGTTATATATTCTGATGGAGAAACGGCTGGAGATCCTGTACAAAAACGATACCATGTATACCATCTTGGAGAAATTCAAGGGCTCGCATATGAAGGGATGGGCGTATGAACCTCTCTTCCCATACTTTGCTCATGTATGCATCATCACTGCATCAGTGTCATTCATCATGCTTACTTAATGGACTTGTTTTAGTATGCAAAAGCCGGTGCTTTTGTTATGTTAAACGATACCTACGTTACTGAAGAAGGTGGTACCGGTATCGTTCATCAAGCACCAGGATTCGGAGAGGACGATTACCGAGTTTGTGTGGCCAATAAGATCATCACGCCTGGTGAAGGTGAATTGCCCTGTCCTGTTGACGCCAGTGGGCTGTTTACTGCTGAAGTGACAGATTATGTCGGTATACACGTCAAGGTGAGATCATACTCTCATTCACTATCCGACATGGTGGTTTTTTTTTGCTGACAATACATCCTCTCTAACTTCGCACCCAAACAGGCTGCCGACAAACAAATTCAAAAGGACATCAAAGCAAAAGGCCGTCTTATTCAACAAACCTCATTTACGCACTCATACCCATTCTGTTGGAGATCCGATACCCCACTTATCTATAAAGCTGTTTCAAGTTGGTTTGTTCGAGTATCAAATATCAATGCCAAGTTACTGGAAGCGAATGAAGCTACTTACTGGTACGATGATGCCTCGGATGCGATTCAAATATGCCGACGGTGGTTGAGTTTTTCTTTCTTTTCTAGGCAACCATCATTCGTGAAAGAAAAGAGATTTGCCAATTGGCTGGAAAATGCTCGTGACTGGAACATTTCAAGAAATCGATATTGGGGTACCCCTATTCCATTATGGGTTAGCGATGATCTTGAAGAGGTAAGAGCTGCCATGATTGATTGATATAGTCTCGTTTTGCTCACTGTCTGTCTTCACATATGAAAATGCAGGTTGTCGCAATTGGTTCAGTTGAAGAGTTGATGAAGTTGTCTGGATGTGCCAACATTACTGATATTCATCGTGAAAGGTAGTGTAGGACTGGATCAATTTGTACTCCCATCATGCTGATCAGTCTTCGCTCTATTTAGCATTGACCACATCACCATCCCGTCGAAGAAGGGCAAAGGTGTATTGAAGAGAGTACCAGAAGTGTTTGATTGTTGGTTTGAGAGTGGAAGGTAAAGTATATGCTGTGTCTTGTGGATAATCTTTTTGGCCTTCAGTGTCTGTCACCAATACCTCTGTTTTTCTCCCAAAAATAGCATGCCATTCGCTCAACAACACTATCCATTCGAAAACGCAGACATATTCCCAGATATATTCCCCGCTGACTTCATTTCTGAGGGTATTGATCAAACTCGAGGGTGGTTTTATACATTATTGGTCTTGAGTACGCATTTGATGGGAAAAGCTCCGTGGAAGAACTTGGTAGTTAGTGGATTGGTGTTGGCAGAGTAAGCACATTCTTGAAAAACAGTGTCTAGTCTCGTTAATCTCGCGGTCTTAACCTGTGTCCCCGCTCCCGTAGGGACGGCAAGAAGATGAGTAAAAGGTTAAAGAACTATCCGGATCCTAATGAAATCATCAACGAGTATGGTGCTGATGCTGTCAGGTAAAGACATGATGGTCTCGTCTTTCTTGTTCCTTTCTCGCTCACCCCATGCTGAATCAACTAGACTGTACTTGGTCAACTCTCCAGCCGTGGCAGCCGACACACTACGATTTAAAGAAAAGGGCGTCAGGGACTTAGTAGCACAAGTATTTATTCCATGGCACAATGTCTTGAGATTCTACTTTACTCAGATCTCGGTGCTCAAAAAAGTAAGCGCTCAGATGTCACGGTAGTGTCGCTACACGAGCCACCGTCTCACCGTGTTTGGCTTTGCTGTAGGATTTCAACCACACATATCAATATGATCCAGCACATGATATCAAGTCAACAAATGTTATGGATCGATGGATTTTGGCATCAACACAGAGCTTGATTGAATTCACTCGACAGGAGATGGCTGGTGAGTTACCGGCTTGACCCATGCTTTGCTGATGTGCTGTCTTCGCAATCTGTGGGTTTCCCACTCGTTTTGTCATATCGCGAATGAAACAAAAAAACCGTCCGTGACAACTGGCTGGAATTCTTTCCAAAAACGTTACAGCGTGCTCAATCTCTTCTATTCGTTTATAGCCTACCGATTATATACCGTTACACCACGACTCATCAAAATGGTAGACGAATTGACGAACTGGTATGTTCGTTTCAATCGTAGAAGGCTGAAAGGTGAAAGTGGTCTTGAAGAATCTGTGTTTGCGCTGGACACCTTATCGGAGGTGTTGTTTTCCATGTGCAAGCTGATGGTATGTTCTTGTGTGCGGAGTCAGCTATCCTGATGTATTTGGTTCTTTTTTGCCCATCACATGAAACAGGCTTAACATGAATCGGTTTGTTTGATACCCATACCATAGGCGCCATTCACACCATTCGTGACTGAAAACATGTATCAAAATCTTCGAAATGTGATGGTCACATCGAAAACAGAAGATGATCGATCCATTCACTTCCTGATGATTCCAGATGTCAAGAAGCAGTACTTTAATGAAGATATCGAACGCGCGGTTTCAAGGATGCAAACTGTTATTGAAGCTGGTCGTGTTGTTCGTGATCGAAAGACTCTGCCCACCAAGGTAATCATACCAGCGTGTCATTCTTATTCTTATGTACTTCTCCTCATGTCATTCTCGAGCTTATTCACCCATTTCTAACATCATTCGCTTATTCAAACGTACAGACTCCATTACGAGAATTGATCCTCATCAACTCAGACCCTCAATTCCTATCCGACGTCAAAGCTCTCGAAAGTTACGTAGTAGAAGAACTCAACATCCGCAAATTCACCACCACATCCAAAGAATCCGATTACGGCATCTCATACCGTCTCGAACCTGACCTCAAAGTATTAGGAAAACGTCTTGGTTCAAAACTGAAAGCCGTGAAAGCTGGCTTGACAGGTTTGAATGACGATGCAGTGAAATTGTTTCTCAAGACTAAAAAAGTGGAGATTGATGGTGTTGTGCTGACTGAAGGCGATGTGCTTGTTGTGAGGTCGTTTGGAGGTGCTTCAGCCGGAGCATCGAGCAATAATAGTCAATATGAGACACATTCGGAGAAGGATGTGTTGGTTGTTGTTGATGTGGCGCTTGATAAGGCATTGATTCAGGAAGGGTTGGCTCGAGAGCTTGTGATGCGTATTCAGCAACTACGAAAGAAGGTGTGTGTTCAGTTTCAATCAGATGAGAATCTTGTTGTTCACTGCAGTTTTTTCTTTGACCTCGGCGACTCATTCATTGTGTTTTCCTTAGGGTGGTTTGATAGTGACAGATGAAGTCGACTACCATTATCAAATTATCAAAGATCCAAATTCAGAATTAGCTGGTGTTCTCACTGACGCCAACGAGTTCCTGATGAAGCAACTGAAACAACCTTTACAGCAAGGCCTTGTTTCAGAAGGTGTTATTGCTCAGGAAGAACAAGAGGTATGCTGTGCCCGACATTGAACTCGTATGGTCCACGACACTCTGTATTTTTTTTGGTGACCTCATCTGACATTATCCTTCCGCAACAAACACAATAGGTTGGAGGCTCAATCATCACATTAGCACTAGTCAAACGCTCGTAAGAGCTTGTGGGTCTTGCCTATTCTTCCATGATCTCTCATATTGTCGAATATATCTCTATACAAGGTTTCAGAATAGAAGAGCACTGTCAAGTGCTTGGAAGGAAGAAGTCCAAGTGCTGGGCGTGAAGGAGGAGTGATTCAGGTTACTGGTGGTCAACGAATGCGTCTGTTGTGATACTCAGGGAATCTCGGCGGTTCCCGTTTGTGCAATCGAAACACGAGAAGTTGTACTGTAGCATTTTATGGTCTGGGCAATTGTCGTTCGAATAGGTCTGAGCGATGAGTACGTACATTGGCATTTTGTCGAGCCTTGTTCAATACGTAACCAAGCAAATTTCCATAATGCAGAACGTCCGATTCGACTCGTTACAACACAAAGGAACTCGAAAAAGGAATCACACCCGAAAGTCGGAGAGGCTTGCAACCACATGAGATGCCATATCGGCATTGATTGTAAATTTTATTAGGTTTAGTTCTACAATACAGAAAAGAAAAGGCCCCACACACGCAACAAACACATTCCACTTTAGATCCACCATCTTGACTCTTCTAGCTTGTTCGATGTTTGGATTGGATTGCGAGGATGTCGAGAAGCTCCAAGTATGTTTGGAAGAGTTTAGCGATTTATGAGTTGAAGATAGGATGAAGAGAGCAGTACTCGAGTCATTGGTAGAATTATGAATCGTGAGTGTCAAATCACTGATTCACTTGTATGCGATTTGAAACCTGTTTGCATACATCAAGAAACCACATTGTGTGCTACGTAGCAGTCTCGCTTATTGTCCATTTATTAGCTTATTTGGTACTAGTTTCTCTCTTATATGGCATGCATGTAAGGATCACGCGATGTGACTACTCGTAACGAATCAATTCAACCTTTAAGACGAGATCTCAAGTATTTCAACCGTTGAAACCTCGCCAAAACAGAGATGCTCATCAAACCTTGCATCTCTGTGTGGATTTCTTTTCTTTGAAAAGCTACAATTGCGTCACAACGGTGGTTTGATGTTTGCGTCGTTTTGACGAACCCGCGTGGCTGCAAGTCACAAACCGTTTTGATACCACAGCTTTCACTCAAGAAAGTGAAAGTAAAACTTGAAACGTCTTTGAAAGTTGTCTCAACCTTCGATTAAAAACTGAACGGCATTCTTTCTGAACATGGCAATTACAAACAACGTCTTGATTTGTTGGTTTGTCAGTTACTATGTGCTTCAATCGGTGCTCCAGATCTTCTTCGGACAGTACTCATATTGCCCTTCATCAGCATCCTTCAAAATTTACTGAATTTCTGATGAACCATGAGCTGTGGGATTGAAACCTGAACAGCAAACCAAGGATGAGGTTTCACTGGATACAGCAGCTCCTCGTGCCTAATCTGTCCACGCGGAATATAGGCTAAGCAACCATTCCGTTTGGCAATTTCATATATAGTAAAAGTGCAAATAGCACTGCCACTTGATAGCACTGCCTCTTTGGGAGAGGACAAATTTGCTGTGGTTGGGAATCGGTGCATGCCCATCTTCATTTCGTTGGTGGGTTGAATATGATGGTGGATTCAAAGCTGGTTTCGATATAACTACAGAGAGTTTTACCGCCGAGATATAGTCATTCGAATCACTACCATGATAATGTCAGTATGCACTGGTTCACAAAGATTGTCGAAAGAGTAATCAGTTAATGATACTCTGCCACGGCACATTCACTTAGGTCATGGAACCCCTCAGTCCATCCGGTTTCCTAAGACCGCTAGACGCACCACTACCACTACCAACAGTACTTTCAACAGCAGCAGCGATACCCTGCTGCCGAACTACTCCCAATACTTGATAACGGGCAGTAAAGACTGGATTCCTTTCATCCTTCCAATTACATACATCGCCACTATTTGCAGTAGTCGATTCCGTAAGATTGCTACTGCTTACATCGCTAGAAGAACAATTGATGGTTCTGCAGCAACAAGTTGTTCAGTTAGCGCCACCTCACATTTGCTTTTGCCACGCGGTGTTATCATCATTACACACTCTGCTCAATCAAGAGATACTGCTGAATCGGCACCAGGATGTGATGAGGCTGCCCATGTGTTTTATTGACTTAGTGGTTTGCTGCTCGTGCTGTTGCCAGTATTACTCCATGCCTCTGTAAAGTATTCTAAGCAGCTGGGCCCTTTTCTAGGTCTATATGCAGTAAGATTGCCTACGGTGCTGCTCCTTGGAAGAACATGATCTTCTCATGTCCTGGCGGTGTTGGAAACGGTATATCCAAACACTAGTTGTGAGAATACGATTGATGAGCCAGAGAATCTGAGAATATTACACCTTCTTCCATACCTTTATCCTTGTTTCTTACCTTCTTCATGTTGACACGTGCTGGATCTTCAGAACTTAAGCTCCACATCCATCAAACTCGATGAGGAGTGCGTATAGGACGAATTGTCAACTTCTTCACTGTAGAGAGTCACTTTAATACTAAAAACCATCGCTGCAAAATGTCTGGCAAGGACTCACAAGCTCAAGATGTAATCACGGCTGCTGGACCATCCAGTCAAAAACCATTTATGTCCGTGATGTGATGCCTGTTGAACCACGATCACCTGATAATCAAAAGTTATCTAAGTTGCATCTTGAATCCAATGTCACATAAGCAGTAGTATCGTCCTTTCCAATTTTTATTTGAGATGACCACTTCCTTTTAACATTGCAGCACATCAACTATACAACAGTCCAGATATGTAACCTTACGTTGAACGTGCCAGTAGAACTGGTCAAGACGGGAGAATACATATTAAGCATGGAACTGATACATTCCAGTCAAGATGGGACAATACTTGGTAGAGCACGGAACTGGAACTCTCCTGCTATTTCGGTACACCTGAAATGCGTTCTCGTGCTAGCTCTGTGTAATGAAACAGCTACATTGTTCTTTCGCATAACTGACCTATCTAATTTTCCAATTTCAGGGAATGAATGGAGAACAAGAGATATTCACACCAATCGAAGATGCTCTTCTAGATCCAAACTTGACTTTCCAATGAGACGTTAGTACTAGTGGTGCCTCTCCAGATAAAAAAGCTGCTACTGAAGTAGCAGAGTTTTTCAGCACTTATATTCAAACGACACTGGACGGATTCATGCCCAATGCCATAGCCATGGATTCGAAAGGCTTGGAACGTAAAAAAGCATCGATTGCTGCCGTCTCAGCTATTCTGCAAACGGATTTAACGCCTGAAAGAATGGATGTATTGCTCTACTGTCTTTGGGATTTATATTTAAAGTACTCCCATACTCGGAAGTCACTAAATTGGACCAAAAAATCTATGCCAAGTTCCCGTTCTCACTCTAGTGCCGCAACTCGAAGGAAAATTACTCAGTTATTCCAATACCGTCAAAATATTTGAATTATGTATTAGTGACATGAGTGTTTTTGTTGACGCTTGCAAGTCAGCTGCTACTCCATCTGCACGGCCCTCATCGAAACCAACTAATCTTTGGGGCCAAAGGCCTTCGGAAAGTAGAGAAAATCGCAAAAGGTGTAAAAGGATTGTTTTGTGGGAAGGCAAGAAGGATGCCAACGCACCGAAATCACAGGAATCAACTCTAGATCCAGTGATCACCTCAAATTCATCCTTCGAATCAGTAGGCGCTGCCTCTGATACAGTCAGCTCATTGGAAGTCTCTGGCCCAGCCAACTCTACAAGCAATGTTGAAGTTGAACTACCCCTATCTACTGATATCAAAGAAAATGTTTGCTCTGCACCTGCAGATGCTAGTGTAGTCACTAGCCAAGGACCTGGTGAGACTGTCTCTAAATGTAAACCTAAACATAGTCTAGCATTTGTCCATCATAATGGGATTTCGTGTCTCGCCCGTGTGTCCAAGCCGGTCTTGCCGTCTCGAGTACGTTAAGGCTATGGATGGAATTTGGTCTTGCCCAGCTTTGATTGCATGTAGTAAGAACATGTTTGTCATCTAGACTTGTGTTGGCAAATTGGCAACAGAATGTCTCGTAAGTACATTTGCTGCTTCCTCTCTTGGCTCGTGGTCGCCAATAGTACCTGTTGGAAAAGAAATCTATGCATTGGATAAGAGTCCTGATGCCTTGCACTCAGCTGGTCTGGGCAGCGGAAAAACTGCAGCATCAAGTCTTATGGGAGCCTACTGCTTGCTTCAGTAGTCGAAAAGATAAGTACACGTCTTTAAATTGTCCTCTCTCTTGAAATGGACTCCCCTCGTAACATAATGTAAAACAAACACGAAAATAGTACTAGAATTTCAAAACAGAATGTAAAAACACAAAATAACAAACAGACCGTAACAAACTAACAATTATGTACACAACAAAATAACAATATATTCAAACAACAGCTATGAAACAATATGACTCTTTTCAAAGTCCCCGACAAAGGAATCAGTTTAAACGTTATGTTGGCTTTCTGTGCTGCCGAGTATAGTCATTCAAGTCACTACATAACGGTGTGAGTAAGTACTGGTTCACAACGATGCTTATTAATTGGGGGGTTCATCAAACTCACTTGATGATGCTCTGCCACGGCACGTTAACATACGTCATGGAACACCTCAGTCCATCTGGTTTCCTAATCCCACTAGACGCACCACTCCCACCACCAGCAGCACTTCCAGAAGCAGCTGCAATAACCTGCTGCCGGACCACACTCCCAATACTTCGCAACCGGTCAGCAAACGTTGGATTCTTTTTATCATTCCAGCTATACACATCACCACCATTTGCAGTACCTGATTCCGTAAGACTGCTGCTGCTACCACTACTAGAAGAGCTACCGGTTGCAGCACTGGATGGTTCTGCAGCGACAGGTTCTTCAGTTATCGCTACCTGACATTGTCCTTTGCCGTGTGGTCCTCTCATCATGATATACTCTGTGCGATCTGATACTGCTGAATCGGCACCGCCATGAGATGATGATGCCCACGTGTTATATTGACTTGGCGGTTTACTGCTCGTGCTATTGCCAGTATTACTCCATGCCCCTCTAAATGTATTCTGAGCAGCGAGTCCCTTCTGTAGATATATATCTAGTAAGGATGCGTACGGCACTGCTCCTTGAAAGAGCACGATCTTGTCATGTCCTGGCGGTGTTGGAAACGGTATATCATCATCTTCTTCCTCGTTTGGTTCGTTGGTTGAAGACGATTTACTGGTATTAGATCGATTCGGTTTCGGTATAGCGACAGAGAGTTCGACGCACAAGTATTCGCGTTCATGTATCGGCAAGTGTAAATCATGAGATTCATCTATCGAAAAAAAAGTTTCAAGACTTGTTGAAACAAGAAAGAGCCTCAAAATATTAGCACTTACAATCATTGACAGTATAATACACCAGAGGATACGAGCATTCATTCATAAACGCATCTTTAACATCCATCCTAGACCGATAAGGAGCAGCGTACACCTTCTTCTTGACCCGTCTCAACGCAATCATCCTCGATTTGCTCTTACTACTCGGCATCGACGGCACAGACGACGACACGGCTTCAGCTACGGCCCTAGTCACATCAGTAGCACTGCTACCGTCACTACCCCCCGGTATTACAGAAACCTGTGGTTTAGGCGGCCCCCGCTTACAAACCGCGACTGTCAGCGTACACGGCAACTGCACAATAGTGTTTAAAAAGAAGGTTTGCTTCCAATCCACTACATCATCTAGAGTCGGCATCTGGGAGTTGACTTTACGACGTACGAAAATGGGATCATTGTCTGATGTTGTGTTGCCGTTGGTATTATTGTTTGAGTTGGCTGTTGCGGCTGTGTTTACTACTATGGAGTGAGGAGGATCTGGGATGTGATATGCTTTGACAAAGAAGAGGAGGTCGTCGTTCATGTCTGCAGCGTTCTTAAGAAAGAATTCGATAAACATGTCAGCCCATCTAGTGAGTGGAGTGGCGTGTGAATGAAGGGAATGAAGAGAGATCGAGTTGGTTGGCGTGCTGGCTGCTCCCACACACGCAAGCAAATCACACCCAAAAACACAGAAATGTCTGCAAGCCAAACAGACCAAAACAAGGAAATGGCCACTGACAAAAGATCTGGATGTTTCTAACAATTTACCGTGGATCCTTGGCATCCATATCTCCCGCAGTGTCAGATCCAATGAGTGTCCAATCTTGGGTTTCTGCGCTTGCTGAACTCTCAGTCCTGTTGTGTCCTTTGCTGTTATAAATTCCTGTCGGGCCATGTAGATTCTCAGCTAGCAACCTATCAAGCAATAAAGCCAAATGGCTTCCGCTCATGCTTGTTAAGTCCTAGTTAAAAAGTGTTGGGTTTGCAAGTTTGAGGAGAGTTTGAGTCGACTGGGCCTCGTGAAGTAATGCGAGAGAGGACGTGGAAGACGCGATCCAAGGATATTTTAAGCTCTTGCGACGTAAGATGATCAGAATATCTAAACCTTAACACATGCTCGCAACAAAACACGTGCATCTTCATCTGTTTGCAAGCGCTATCATCATTGCTTTTCAATACTATAAAGCTATAGAGTTGTGTTTTTTAAAAGAGCTCGGTGCCTCCTTCGTGTTCCTCCTTGACGAATATTTCAAAGTATTGATATATAATGGTAACGGCCAATAAGATACCTGTTCCTGATCCAATAGCACCTAGCAAATCTGCTGCTACAGATAATGCACCAATACATACTCCACCAAATGCTGCTGCTGTAGGAATGATACGTTTCAATTCCTTGTACATACTTTGATCACGATGCCCTCGAATCACTAGTTGCTGGTCTTTTAATTGTTTGGCAACATCTCGTGGTGATGAGCCTGATACTTCAATCCAGGTTTGAGACAAGAAGGCACAGACTGTCAACATCCATGTTACATAAATAAGGAAGTGCAGTGGATCAGTTAAGACGTGGCCAATGGTATGTGGTGGTGTAATATAGTATGCAAATCCGCTAGTAGCAAATTCCTGTGGTGTTCCCTCCATGGTCTACAAGATATTTGAGTGTAAGAGTGTGTTTCCAAATGACAGTTTATGAGATCATGAGCCAGTGGACTTGCAAAAAGACGCATGAAGCGTCAATATTTGGCTGAATAGTCCAACAGCGCCATTCTCATGCCTCCACTCGTCTCACACACGTTCAAGCACGTACCTTCCAGACACCAACCAGCTGAACGATGAAGTTCTCTGGGAATCGTTTATGCAACATTTGGGATATAAAGAAGATGTTGGATGCTAAGGCTGAATATAACATGATGGGCATATTGGAAGTATAAAACAACTTGATGGGGTATGATCCTTGTTGGCCACGCATCTTCATGGACTTTACGGGAATTTCTACACGGAATCCTTGTAGGTAGATTACTACGGCAAAGACTAGTAGAGTGGCAAACAAGTTGCTCATGTTTGGTAGATTAGTACGGTATAGTGCTTCCTTTAGTGCACGGAACTTGTCGTGACGGGTGAATAATAGATGGAAAAAGGCGATGATGGCTCCTTCGAATTCGGTACCTGCGATGGTGATTGAAGGGTGTGAGTTTGGCATTAATAGAGTGGAACAAGGTTAGTGATTCGACTTTATGATTATAATGCTCCCTTTTTGTGCTACAACGGATACATCGCCCACACAACCTTGAAACGACAGTTTCGCACAACTCACCCTTTCCAGTGTTGTAAGTGGTAGGCGAGAAGGCCTTCCACACAATGTTCTCACAAATGTTTGTAGCAATAAAGAGCGAGATACCAGATCCCAACCCATATCCCTTTTGTAGCAATTCATCCAATAACATGGTAATCAGAGCAGCGAAGCAGAGTTGCAAGATGAGCAACAGAGAGATTCCAGCTCCAATTTCTTTTGGGTTTCCATACACACCCGACCATACAGATACAGTAGCTTGCCCGATGGCGATGATCATGGCGAATACTAAAGTATGAGGGAGGGTGATTAGGGTTTTTGATGAGATGGTTTCAATAGTGCAAAAAAGCAGACAGGGAAGCAGAGGACATAGGTTCCACTCAAAATAGCTGCCAAATTGACACCGTGTGACCATCTTTCATCCGTTACATACATTTCTGAGCACCGGAGAACAGAGCTCTATCTTCCTTGAGCGAGTAGTCGACTTCGATAATGTTTGCACCAGCCAACAGTTGCATAATCATTCCAGATGTGACGATGGGCGTGATACCCATTTCCATCAGAGTTCCTCTATTTGAGGCCATGATGACTCTCATCCAGTACATTGGATCAGAAGAATCAGAGGACATGATTCCAAACAATGGGATTTGAGAGCAGACCAAAAAGATGAAGAGGGTGATTGCCGTCCACATTACTTTCTCTCTGAATTGCACCTATAAAAGAGAGAGCCATTAGTATGAGTTTTATATCTCAAATGGGGGTCAGAATGCGATGATCTTGTCTGTGTCTTAAGTTGTTAAAGTCACCACCCAATCGTTCACTTCCAACACAGTTTGATGCCACCTCGTATCTTTTCGTGTACCTTCTTTTCAGGAGCAGCCACTTCGGGCATCAATGAGATGAACGGTCTTAGTACATGAAGAAGACGGACTATGGTTTACAATGAGTTCAAATGGTTAGTTATTCGTCCATCCATCATCAACTCAACGACAAAAGCAAGAAACGCGCTCCTTGGAGATATTGATGGAAGGGACGGGACTTACTGGACATGATGGGCCAAGACTGACAGACGCCTGCTTGTAGTAAGTAGGCTATGTATTTACAAACGACAAGATGCTAAGTATAATCCTCCTCTTGACTTCGTGACAAACATGAACGAGGGAGAGTTGGAGATGATGAGGTTTATTACCCATCATCAATTATCGCGATTTCATCCATTTGTTACCTGTCTGAACTCTGAAATGCTGTCATTTATTCCTAGATGGACATGAATTGTCTTCAACGTTTCGAAATTTTCATCAAAATGTCAAACTCCCATTTCACCATCGTGTTTGCTATTACAAAGGGACACCTTAAGCTGTCAATTTTCGTATGATTTTACGCTTGATATAGCCAGACGAACTATTTCCCGGTAAGATCCCACACCAAACGACAGGTGCACCACCAGCAACTACCGTCAACGCCAAGGCGATTACTACAGGAGCTCCAGAGACATGATTTCGTTGAATTCCGATTTATTCGAATCACCGGACTTGCATTGCTGCCTATCTGCTATGTGCTCGAACAAACCTTGCACGTGTTGTGGTGATCATCCAACATGTGTCAAAATCACTTTTTCAATCGAAAGATGCGTCTGACAAGATTCACCTTCAAGCACTGTTTTCCGCACAAGGAGAACCTCATTTCTCTATTCCAGCGTGATCAGACTTTGTTAGAACGAATGGCTGAATTGTGTGATTTTGCGGACTCTCTTCCACTCATTGCTGCATCCGTATCATCCACCATGCCTTATCGACGATTCCAAATGCCGGCTTCTCCCTAGTTATATCTTCCACCAACGTTGTATGCACAAGCCGGGCCTCTCGGAGGCTTTGACGTATCACGTAGAAAACGTGAGCTTTGCTCCATTTTCCCATTTCGAGAAACCTGCCTTCTCGATAAAGAGTACAACAATTTAATATCAATGGCTTCTCATGATGAGTCTTATCTACTGCACAGTAAGCCGCCAGACATTGTGGTGGTTGATGAGATTATCCAATCGGATGTGACCTACCAACACTCTGCAAGAGTTTCGCAAACCAGGTTGATTATCATCATGGTAGCGCTGACAATTGCCTACAGTGTGTCTTATATCGACGGAACATTAGTTTTCAACATTGGGGGTCAAATCTCATCGTCGTTAGGCGACTTTAAAAATCTGTGAGACATTCAAAGCCCTAATTCAGATACAAATTTTATCGTTGAACGTGCTGCCCTTTACTAGACCATGGTTGGGATCTGCTTATATGCTGGGGCTCTCAGTGTCAAGACCTGTAAGTTTCATTGGTTCTTCTGCACTTTCGTTTCGCAACCTTGACCTATTTCTGTTCACCTAGATCATGGGTATTTTGAGATTCACGGAGGTGCTTCTGTAATTCGGAATTGATTCCTTTTACTTTTATGTAGGGAAATTCAGTGACGTCTTTGGTCGAAGGGCAATCTTCCTCTCTTGTGTTTTCTTGTTTGTCGCCGGGAGTGCGCTTGGTACGTTTTTCAAATGAAAGGTCGTCTACCGACTGATTTTGTGTTCTTTGCTCTGTGTTCTCTTACAAATTCTCATATGCCTTCATTGGGCATTATTTAGCTGGAGCTGCACAATCAATGGTGAGCACCCGTTGTTTCTTGAGTCGGAACCATCTAATTCGTTGTCTTAAATGTGTCGTCCCTTTCAATAGGTTTGGTAAAGCCCATGTGTTGCCCTTTGTTACAGATGTATCTCTTACAGATTTCATCAATCTTTCACAACTCAGGCTCATTATTTCCAGAGCTGTTCAAGGTCTCGGAACCGGCGGAATGGAAACACTAGTCCTCATCATCGTATCAGATCTAGTATCTGTCCGACTACGTGGCTTGTTGACCGCCATTCTGACTACAATTGCGGCGTCATTTACTCTGTTGGGGCCGGTTCTTGGTGGTTTATGGTCTGACAATATTTCATGGTACTCGGTAACTTGCTGTGCTTTGAATGCAAAGCGGGTACTCACCATCGTCTCGTATCAACTGACAGGCGGTGGGCTTTCTGGTTTGTCATTCCTGTCGTAGCTGCTGGCGGTCTGCTTGGATACTTTGTTATTAAATATCAATCCAAGAGAGCTCCACTTTCACACCTTGCATCGCGAGTGGACTGGCTTGGAGTTGTTACGGTGATTGGAGCTTGTACGTCTCTAATCCTTGGTAAGAGTAGCAAGTTTGGAAACAGTGCCTGCTTTTGAGTTAGACATCACACAAACTGACGCATATATCAGGTCTGCAATATGGATCGCTCGACTATCCCTGGAATTCGCCAACGGTTATTGGATGTCTTGCGGCAGCCGTGGTCGGATTCATACTTTATTTCGTAGTGCAAGCTTTTGCCCTTGAGCCCTCAACGCCTTTGCGATTGTTTCGACATCGGAATGTCGTGTGTCTGACCATCAATCAAGTGCTTTATGGTTGGCTCTTCTTTGGTATGTCTCGAAGGAAACCGTCTTAATTTCTCATGTCTTGATTTGGCTCGTGTCGTTTAGGATTGCAGTATCTAGTTCCTTTATTCATACAGGTTGCTCAAGGACGAACAGCCACTGCAGCTGGTGAGACTTGAAAATGTTTCTAAGATCCTTTGTTAGTATTTCTTACCTCCTCATTTCAACTTCAAACACCGTTCTAGGCCTTCTTTTCATGGGTAAGACAAAGTGCTGAAAACAAATCATCGCCGACCAGAACATTGACACTTTCCGTCCATTTTAAAGCAAACATCGCTGGCGTTGGGGTGGCAGACGTCCTTGGCGGAGTCTTGGCCTTTACAACCGTATGTGGACGCCTTCTTTCAACTTCTATGCCTTTTTGTCTACTAAGCAATCTTCGGATTGGGCTATTTAGGGAAAGGTTGTCCTTTACATGAAGTGTGTGTGTTTACTCTCAACAGGGGGAATTTATTGGTTTTCGAGATGGACCCCAACGACTGGCATAGGTGAGATACTTGGGTCTGAGCTGGTAAGAAACATCTTTTACACTGGTGACGCAAATGGTCGTTGTGACTTGTTTTCTGACGCTTTTTCCAGATCGCTTGCTTGGGCATTGGTGCACTGTGAGTTTGACTGAACGATTTTCGGTCATCATTCAGTTTGATAAAGTCTTTTTTTGCCGCTCAGTTTTCAGTTGCCTATACTGCTTGCCCAGGCTTCAGTTGCTGAGGTGGATATGGTATGCCTTTATTTGCTTACCTGCTTCCAACGCAAAACAGATGCTGACTCCGTTTTAATATGAACTTGAAGGCTACAACCACCTCGCTCCTCTTCTTTGCTCGCTCTGTTGGTGGCGTGTTAGGAGTGTCTGTTGCTGGAGCAGCACTAAACTCGATGTGGCAATCTCGATTGGTAAAATGAGACATCGGACGAGAAGCGTTGTATATAGTTTCATTAAAACCCGCCGGCTTTCTTAGATCCAACTGACCGTCGATAGTGGTGTCAACGTAAGGATTTCCAGCCCAAATCTGAAGCAAAGTCTGAATGCTTACCAAACGCTGTAGATCCCGTTGGGCACCCTATCAGATGGCAAAAACTTCAATCTATATGCCATTGAATCTTTGGATCCGACCACCAAAACACTAGTTGTGGAAGGCTTCGTATACGCATTCGAACGAACACAGTGGATTTTCGCTTTTATTGCTCTGTGTATGTTCTTGACAACTGTACCGCTGATTCAGGTACCCTTTGGAAGGACTGAAACTGCTGATGCAGATAAAGACATTCAAGATGAGAAAGTGGCGGGTGATGATATTGAAAAGAAGTTGATTGTGTCTGAATGACACAAGTAGTAAGCAAAAGCTGTGTTGGTATGTATACTTGTGTGTTTCGGAAATAATTTGTTAAAGTCGAATATGAGTGATTGAATAAATCATGAAGGAATAGTGATTGAATACAAAATAATGGAATCGAGCTGTGGTAGTCTGTTGAATTGTCTTTGCGAAGTGAGCTAGACAGAAACCATGGAAGGGTAGAAGATGAGCGACCTATTGCATTTGATTAAATGTTTAAAAAAATCCTGAATGATTTCATATTGGGCCAAGTAACAGATCTGGTTCCGTTCCTGTTGTGCCAAATCGAAAACTGCGAAGTCAGTCATTGTGACGTATTCAAGCGCCCAGTGAACCAGTGTCTACTGGTTCTGGTCGTGAATCAGTCTTATTTAACTAGTCCCAGATTGTTTCCCGAGCACCCTCTCTTGCTGAATGCTGAAACTAGGTTCTGTCTCTCCTAACATCGACCACAATAGCCTTCAACAACAGAGACCTAGGAGAGAGACAACAACTATCCAAGACGCATCCATTGCCTTAGTATGTCTTCCTCACGCTAATTCGATTGCCCCTTCCTGCCTCAAGCATTGGCAGAAATACTATTTTCTGCGTTTTTATCACATGTTTTGGACGACGGCATGCTAACAAAGTTGTTCTATGTATTAGACATATCATCCGCCTCTCCAAGACAGTCAACTCATAGATGGCTTTCTCTCTCACTGGATGGTCGTTGGGCTCCTCGCTTCCAGCCACATCAAACATTTTACTTTTGCGCCGCACTTTTGAATTGCACTCATTTCCAGAGATCTCTACTAAATTTCACACTCTTTTCTACACAAGGCACATCATAAGTCAACCCGCGCCTAGTTGGTGAGAATCATTCACAAGACTACTCAGTACGTTTCCATGATCCAACTGACGCACGATTGACTTTTTATACCACGAGGATATTAGTGCGTGGTTTGCTGTCCGAGCGAAGAACGGGTAATAATCATCAAAAAAGTACACCTGAGGACACGTACCTCGCCAGTGGATGGGCACCCTGGGAAGAGCGGCACCTCCATGAACGACGCCCTGAATTTCTGTCTTCGGACGGTTCTCGTGATGAGGGACGCCCTTGATCTCCATATATACTTCTCTGAATTGATGGGTACGAAACAACCATGTACTTTTCTGTGTCGTTGCTACCCGAACGTAAAACACAACCGAGGACACGCACCTCACCGGTAGATGGGCCTGCAAAGAGCGTCAATTCCATGACCGACGCCCGGAGTGTATCATCTTGCAGGACTAAGACGGTTCTTGTGATGGGAAGACGAAAGGTGGATTGAACGTCTGCTTCGTTACTCTGATGGGTATGTCGTTGTCGTTGGGTGGTAGTTTTAGTTCTTTCACTTGCTGTGCTTATTATTGACCAAGGTTGACTACCCAATTTCTCCTACTTCTTAAATGGCTTCAAGTTACAAAAACGGTTCAAGTTACTGTCGTCTTCGATTATTGCGGCAGTCTAGCGTTCAAAATTTATCGAGCGGTCGCTCACCGCGTGAGCAGGGAGAGTCTGCACGTAATAGGGCGCCTCAAATTCAGTCTAGATCCATGTTCAATCTACCATGCAACCTTCACAGAACTCAAAGAAGAGGTGGTTTCGTCCAAAACCATATCCCAGCTTTACAACTCCTCTGAGAGACGCGACAATATTTTAAGGGATGTCGACGCAACCAGCTGATGCTGGCTTGTCATCCCATGACAAGCCATCAATGCCTTTGCTAGAGGATGCCCTGCCCAGAATCAGCACCACCGTCCATAGTCCCCATTCAGCTCGAGTTTCGCGAACGAGACTGATTATCATCATGGTCAGCCTGACAATTGCATACAGTGTATCCTATATAGACGGTACACTTGTCTTCACTATCGGCCCTGCCGTGTCCTCGTCGCTGGCAGATTTCAAAAACTTGTAATTTTTGGGATTTTGTTAGAGCTTCATCACTTCAGAGAATTCAGAGAACACTCATTTTTAACGTGATTTCTTTATCATTAAATTAGACCATGGCTTGGATCTGCTTACATGCTTGGCCTGTCGGTATCGAGACCTGTACGTTGTTACTTTTGCCTTGATCAATGGCTCCCATTGACCTTGACAACCTCCTTTGGATATAGATCTTGGGTATTTTGAAGGCATACACCTTCCAAAACGACTTATTATCCGCATTCATTTATCTTGCCATGGTGTAGGAAAATTCAGTGATGTGTTCGGTCGAAGGGTTATTTTTCTAGTGTGTGTCTTCTTGTTCATTGCTGGAAGCGCGCTTGGTAAGCTTTCTTAGTGTCCACATCTTCATTTGATGTCTCTCTTATGAAATCTCGTTACTGATTGCTAGCTGGAGCTGCTCAATCAATGGCGAGTCCTTGCTGTTTCTTTGACTTGACGATCTTCTTCATTGACGTTGTCTCTCTCAATAGGTTTGGTGAGATCTACTCTTTTGCTGTTTGATTCATTGCAAAGTTCCTCTCATCGACCTGCATCGTCACTCCAGGCTCATCATTGCCAGAGCAGTGCAAGGTGAGATACCCAATCCGGAAACTTCCACTTGACACTGGACGATGACCAGCAACTCATAATCTTATCATCAAACCGATCTAGGTTTCGGAACGGGCGGAATGGAAACGCTAGTCCTCATCATCGTATCGGACTTAGTGTCTGTTCGAACACGTGGCCTCTTAACGTCAATATTGACGACAGTTGCAGCATCGTTTACCCTCGCTGGTCCTGTGCTTGGTGGTCTATGGGCCGATAATGTATCTTGGTAAGCTTACTCTCTGTCTCGAAGATGCAGCTGTAATCAAAGGCTTACTTCTATAATGTTTCGATAGGCGTTGGGCCTTCTTCTTTGTGATCCCAATAGTCGCTGCTGGCGGCTTGCTAGCATTCTTTGCCCTCAAATATCAGGTTAACAAGGAACCAATTTCATATCTTGGTGAGTGGTTGCAAAATCGAAGCGTTCTTTGGAGCAATCTCAACTCACCAAACCACATATTAAATGATACTAGTATCAAGGATTGACTGGCTGGGAGTCATTCTCGTGACTGGCGCTTGTACATCTCTGATACTGGGTATGTGTGATGTTGCGTCTCACGTAAGACCATACCATCGACCATCCCAACATCCTCGCCATCACACCGTACAGGACTGCAGTACGGTTCCCTCGACCATCCATGGGATTCCCCGACAGTTCTTGGATGTCTCATCGCTTCCGTTGTCGGATTTATACTCTACTTTGTGGCTCAAGCGTTTGCAATTGAACCTTCCACACCATTACGATTGTTTCAATATCGAAACGTTCTGTTGCTCACTATTAATCAATTGTGTTATGGATTTGTATTCTTTGGTATGACATTTCTTAGTTTCTCGCTATGTTTTTTCAGAAGACCACCTCACATTTTGTGTGGGATTTGTTAGGTGGTCAATTCCTTGGACCGTTATTCTTCCAAATCGCTCAAGGGAGGAGTGCAACGTCTTCTGGTATGTCTCGCAGTGTGGACCTCTGAGAACGAGCTTTGACCCCCGATTCAACTATAGGTCTAATATTCATGGGTACCAACATCTCAACAAAGAACGTAATACTCAGCGGCTGAACTTTCTTTTGATTCCTCAAGGATGCATTGTTGGCGTTGGTGTCATTGACACCGTCGGAGGAATCCTTGCCTTCACTACAGGCAAAGTCGTACTGTACATGAAATTCTTTTCGGCATTCTCGGCCTTTGGACTCTTTGGGTATTCGAGGTGGACTCAAACTACTGGGCTCGGTGAGCTGCTGGGTGCCGAAGTCATCACTTGTATAGGTCTTGGTGCATTGTACGTACTTTTGCCGAGATGATCAAAGACACCCAGCTTTGCTAACCAAACATGATATTAGGTTTCAGCTACCACTGCTTCTTGCTCAGGCTACCGTGACGGAGGCGGATATGGCAACCGTTACGTCTCTTATGTTCTTTGCTAGAAGTATTGGAGGTGTGTGTTCGATTTCGACGCATATATTATAAGAGTACAAACACCCTTAAATATCATAGGTGTTCTAGGAGTCTCGGTTTCTGGCTCCATGATCAATGCTATTTGGCAAAGTCGACTGGTAAATAGTATTAACGCCTTGCTACTTTCCTTTTGGACAGGTGATTGTTCAACCACCTTTCAAACTCATAGATTGAAATGACCGCAGACCTTGGCGTGACTGTAAGAAGCCAGATTCTCAGAAGCAAACCGCGCTTGCGCTCTGACTCAACGCACTTTCTCATGTAGGTCCCAATAGGAACTCTCACAGATGGAAAGAACTTTAACCTCTACGCCATACAGCTTCTGGATCCCTCCACCAAGGCACTAGTTATAGAAACGTTCGTGTATTCATTTGAACGAACACTGTGGATGTTCTGCTTCGTCGGTCTGGTTATGTTTTGGTCGACTGTGCCATTGATTCAAGTTTCTTTCGGCACACGAGAGGATGATGATCAGGGAGAACAGGTGAATAGCAAGCTTATGAATGCTCAGTAGCAGTAGAGCAACATGTAGTGACTGTTTACCTACTCCATTGATTCTGGTGCAGCTACGCGTATCTAAGCATAACAATGTAATAGTCGTTAGTCGTATACCCAATAGATTCCATTAATGTCGTCGTATATTCCATAGATCTACTTTTGCGCCCTGGTTATTCGCGTTTAACCGTGTGGTTTGCTTCGCTTCAGTCACTCTGCGCCTCCAAAATTTCATAACTTCATCTTGGGTGCAAACGACGAATGCAGGGTTTAAGGTGGATGCAAAGCACTAAGAAGTTGCTCACCGGCCCTGTATACGTCGATCGTGTCTACGGAACAGTCAAAATCCCAGGCCACATCCAAAAACTCGTCAATAATTCATTGGCACTCTGCAGACTCTCTAAAGTCTATCAAGCCGGAACAGGTGTTTTGCTCAATCATTTTGGACATGATGATGATCAAAGACCGGTGGATAGACTGGAGCACTCTATTGGTGTTGCATTGCTGGTGGAACGACTTGGAGGTGATGATCATCAACAGGTTGGTTTTGACTTTGATGTGCGGTCGATGGATGGTAGTTTGACGAGTTTGAGACGGATTTTATGCATATTTTGAGATTTTGATCTGTTTGTGGTTACTGCATTTGCTTGTTACTCTTGAACGTGACAAATATCCAAAGTTTAACATTCGACATTCTTGTCAGATGGCGGGTTTGCTGCATGATGTGACGCACCGGTCGTTCTCGCATCTGGTTGACGTGTTATTTCGCTCTCGTCTGACAAGTGTAGAGGACTCGTGGCATGAAATCAATGTCGAGGAATTCGTAAACAAGACAGATCTGCCGACATTCTTTACACAGGACGAACTATCATCACTATTACATCTATCTCATCATACCCTAGTAGAGCAGCCAACACCTCTAATGTGTGCAGACCGTATAGATTACTTTCTACGGGATGTGATCGCTCTTCGAGTAGATTGTCACCAAATCGGACTTACGGATGATACGTCACGGTCTATATGGGTAGGAAGGTTTATAAAGTCACTGACTGTAGCAGCAAACGATGACGGAGTAACTATAATGGTGACGACAGATCGTGATCTAGCAAACGAGGCTGCCATACTATTCATGAAACTGAATGATGACGTTTATATATCAGCACAGAGTGTCGGTGTATATCATTTGACTGCCAAGCTGTTACATAGAGCGCTGGATCTTGAGATATTGTGTGAAGACGATTTCGATTCGAGGGGTGATGAGGAGGTGTGGAGGATGGTAGAGGAAGGTGTTGCTCGTGATGTTGAGATGTCGCAGCTATGGGAGATACTGCATAGTGCTAAAACAGAGTATAAGCTATGCCTAGGTAATGCTAGTGAAGAAGGTCGTTGGAAGTCGTTGGCCAGTGACGTCTCTCTTCGGATGCGCTATGTAGATCCGTCAGTACTAGTAGATGGGCGAATACAGCCTGCATCCGCACTAAATGGTGATCTGAAACAACGATTGATTGCCTACAAGGCAAAGGGAATGAACAAGGTGAACGTAATGTATAGATCTGGTTAACACTTTATAGTATGTTGTAGCAAAAATATTTTTACAGGAGTGGCATACATATATATATCGTAAACACAAAATCTTAAGATGACTGCTTCCATAACAAGACACCGACATTGCCAAAGAACATGAAGAGTAGGTTCTTGATTTCATGCGTGACTTCAAATCCAAAGCCCTCGCCTACAACTACGTGCCATGATGTCCCACAACGTTTGTCCATTAGTTCTTTGACTGATTTAGCTGCCGCCTATCATGTTGACTGTCAGATCTTTGGACATTGAGAGTGGGATGGTAAACGTGAGATACCTCGAAATTGTTTGCATGCTTTTCCACAGCCGTGACAACGGAGTCAACAGCTTCGACTCTTACTTCATCCACCATATCACATACCTAAGTTACATGCTTGTTGGAACGCTAAATTCACGTGAAATGGTCGGAACACCCAAATGTTCTTTCCAGCAATTTGATGAAATGGACACCCAAACATGTAAACACCTACGTACTTTAACTAGTGGATAATTGAATGCCTAGTAGAAAATAACGTTGCCGGTTAGATCTCTCTTGATCTTGCCTTCCTTTCATAGCTGCGATCAAATAGAGAGGTTGCGCGCTGTGATATTGCATTTTAGTGGCCATACCTTTCTGCTTTCAGCTGCATCAGCTTTGTCAGTTGCAGCGGCTGATTGGCCACCAGCTGCTGCTGCAGCTGGTGCCTTTTCTGCTAGATTGCCTAATGAGCCTAGATCTGCCATGCTCGTATTTGAGGAATTGTATGGGTTGTCAAGAGGTGGATTGCGAGTTGATCAAGGGAATATAGACTACATTCTAAGAAATTACAGAAACAAGTGATTTTCATCTTAGACATAAGTCGTGAAGTTGAGGATGTCACGTCCACAGAGTCAGTTTCGAAACAAACTGCGAAAAATTACATATTGTATGCAGGTTTACAGAAGTGAAGCTGTGAGGATATTATGGCATCGTTAAATAGCGCGTTTTCTATCGTTCATCCGTAAGAAACTGGGATGCTGTCTCGCTCAGCCAATCTCGTCAACATTGCACATGCAAGCGACAGCACAGTGGAAGCTAGAAAGAAACAATTAGTACTAGTAAATACACAGGTAATTTATGAGTTGTTTGTCATAATTGGTGCTCTTAGAATGTTGCTGCTGCTATCTGATTGTTCTTTAACTGAGCTCGGTAAACGCCATATCTGACTTTTGGTTGACTGACATTATTTTCCCCTTCAATTAGGATGGATAAGGATTTAAAATCATCTGCTGATAATGTTTCTTCCTCCACAAATCCCATTCAACCGTCATCATCGTCACAATCTCCAACATTAGACGACAGCGACAAGGTGATGGGATTCCAGCACTTATATCAAAGCTGGATTGCACCGACCTCTATAATGTCGAATTGCTCTCGAAGGCAATGAACCACCTGGCCTGCACAAATCTGTATAAGAAGTGCATTAGTATCAAGAAGGATTCCAACATTAATTCTCAACTTACAGAATTTATGAATTTGGGTGGAAGCACGTTTGTTACGAGATGATGAATCTCAATCCTGTACTCTGCCTACTTAGGCTCGTACTTGGCCCGCGAAAATTGGCTCTTCGCCATGTCTTTACATGCTTTGATCTCAAAGCAGTAGAACCATAGAGATTCAATGCTTGAAGGAAACGTCAAGCCTAATCTTCGCCCAACGCTGGAAGCTTTCCGCAATACTTCACCCACTTTATTGGTTGTGTGTCCTCGACTGTTTGGTTGGTCCTCGGCTTGCTAATACGAACAACTTGGAACAACCGAAACTCAAGCAGACTCGTCAGATGGTGTTCAATTCGATATTTTATTGCGGCATACTGCTAGAATCACTGCCTCTGCCTCACCAATACAACATCAGGGCTCCTTCCACATACTTTTTGGGAGCTGCAGACCGAAAAAGTTCTCGAATCACAAGCCCGCTTCTCGATTGGTGTTTGGATATTGTACTGGCCGCTGAAAAAAAAGATGAAGACCTTCAGAGACCCAACGGTTTGCTCTTTTCCTGACCGCTTTTGTTCTTTGCAACGGCCTCTTTCGTTCAACCAGAGTCCAATTTCGGAGCGGCCTCCATTATTTTCACCCATACATCGCATTCAGCATAGTAACGTTGTAAGAAGCAGGCATGTAAGACAATTTCAGCTTACTCTCACACTTCACACTGTCAGAATGCCTTTGCAAAACCATGAATTGGGTCCGAATTGTGTCAAATTTCATGCTGTTGCTGACTTCCCAATAAATGAAAAAGCTTCAGATTCCAACTCACGGTACATTTCAATGTCTAGATGTCATTCTCGGCGTAAATAAACGATTTCTGGAGGAAGATCCTCAATACTGGAGCTTGACTCGATATCTCGGGCTCATGACGGCCGACGTCTCTCTCTCCCCCCATCATAAAAACTCGGTTAACTTGCTCCGCTCATATAAGACCTGCTTTGAGGCTTATCTCGCAACTCCCTCAACTGACCAACCACGGATTGCACAAGCTCAAACTCTTCTCTGCTCATTTGAGGTAAGACACACAGTCTAAAGAGGTAGAAAGGACCAACCAGGATATGGGCCAGTTCCGGAGCTGGTACCATGCGGCAAAGCAATCCATCCCTGTCGAGGTACTGCTTTGTGGGATGGAAGCAATAGGCTTGGAAGGGTTTACTCCAGTCCATTCTGCGCTTCAACATATGACAGCTTGGCGTTGGAAACAGCCTCAAGTGGTGCCTTTCTGTGTATGCCGAATTGCACTAGATTACGATTGAGTCGGTAGCGTCAGTCTTTGTCCTCTGGTTGGATCACCTCTCTTCTTTACCCACGTGGAAGTTTGTACTTCCTGCTGTTGATTACTGAGTCCTTTGGGCTGACACTTCGCTCTCTAAGCCCGACAGGGTTTAGATTCGTGTAGTAAATCAGAATAGGAGTAAAATAGAGCTAATAAACGATTAACGAATCAATTCTCTCTGGAATTTACTGACGTGGAATTGACTCGTCCACTAAACCTAAAACAAATTCAGCGACGCGTTTGGAACGTCTAATATGTGAATTCGTGTAAGCCTTTGCAAAATTCCAGTCTTGATTAAAGTATAACTCGCGGTCGTCGGGCTGGATAGCCCTTGGCTGGACGTTCAATTGCAATTCATTCGATTCCAAAAATGGGCTTGACTAGTTATACCTTCTTTGGCGAAGAACAGGTAAGACTCCCAGTCAATATTTCTAAAATATAAGGACCTTACGTGAAGCCTCTCTCGTCTTCTTTGTCGTTTTTGGGATTTTTTTTCTGAACTTGACAATTGGAGCTTGAAGCAAACATCGAGGCGATATCAAAGCTGACTCTTTTCCCAAATCCTTTTGTACAGTCATTAAAGCTCGCCAACCTTATTGGCACGTTAAAACAAGAACCTGAAAACGGTTCATTCTACACATCATCAAAGGAGCTGCTAGAAAAAGAAAAGTTTACCGAAGTCTTGACTCAATATGCTAAAGAGTCTTCTGTGCTAGTCAATGTAGATCCAAAAGGTAATCTTAATGTCTAGTATTGGAGGTCGATGAATGGAAACTAACGTGTCTTCTCAACGCAGACTTTGAATCCGTGTATAATTTGTTGGTCGCGCTAATCAAGGATGCTACTGCCTCTGTCATTCCACAGCTGATAAAGTACATTGTGGATCCTATTGTGGCGACTGCTACTGAAAAGACGTTGCTTAAACTACGAGTGTAAACCATCATAATTCTTGCAAGAACGAGTTTTGTTAGCTTGCTCACACTTTACATACATATTAGGCTGAGCAACCTGTACAACAATCTGGAACGCACCAGTCCATCAAGGTGTGATGTCTACCAAGGCATTGTCGCTGTAGCAGCCAAAGGTGGCGAAGTCGATGTGTTGATTCCAACACTCCCATTGTTGGATGCCTGGTTGGCTGAATGGAGTGTCAGTGCTGATGTCAAGAGACAGCTCTTCTTGACAATCAGTGATGTGTTAGGTGCTCATAAACAATAGTGAGTTGCTATGCCTGACTTGTAAGCAAAAAAGCAGGACGACCTAACAATGGATGCATCATAGCAAACAACAATCATACGAACACCTGCTAAAGTACCTATCATCATTCCCTGCCACGCCCGAGTCATCACCAATCACAAAACCATATGCATTACGAGCCGTCACTGAAGCCATCAGGATACCGCAAGTCTTGGACTTTGAAGACTTGGTTGCTTTATATGCTGTTCAAGCCTTAAAGAAGGATGATGCACCGTTATATGACCTGTTGAATATCTTTTTGAATGAGTCGCTGGCTCAGTATGAAGCGTTTTGTAAATCTCATGCTGGATTTATGGATTCTCATGGTATGTTATTAAAGGAAGAGTTATATAACATTATTCGTGATAAGTTTTGACTTTGCTGGTTTCTAGGACTGGACCATGAACAGAATCTGAGAAAGATGAAGCTGTTATCGTTGGCTACTTTGGCAACTAGCAATGTACATGGAGAAGTTGCGTACGATATAATTGCCAAGAATCTCAACATTGATGAAGATGACGTGGAAATGTGGATCATTGATGGTGTGTTTGTACATGAACTCGATCGCTCTTTTAACCCACTCACTATTCTCTCGCACATAGCCATACGAGCAGGAATGATTGATGCCAAGATGAATCAATTGAAGCGAGTAGCAGTGATTACACGATCAACACACCGAGTATTTGGAGATGCAGAATGGCGTCAGTTGCGAGACAAGCTTAAAGCATGGAGGAGTAATTTGAGTGAAGTGCTGACTGTACTTGGAAGCACTCGACGTGATGTTGGAGAGGGGTTTGTGCAGGCCGCTGATGATGCAGTGGCAGCGGTAAACAACTAGATCTCTCTTTATTGCATCTTGCAAATGAATGCAAAGTCACGTCTTCGTATAGAAATGATTGCAGTTTGTCATTGCTTTGGGTTGCGAGTCATGTACAAATGAGTACCAAATCGCGTCCTCGTTTTGATCAAGTTTTGGATGGTTGTTTCTGCTTGGCTGTGTGTTTGACTCAAAATCATACTTGCCCATTCAACCTCTGTCACAGCTGTACGTGAGAAAGGCGAGTGACAGGGAGATTGATACCATGTTTTAACAGGGCGTTAACACAATATTCTACCTAGAAATCTAATCCCTCTTGACGCTTCAAGTTGCCAGGTCTCAAGTTCGCTCAACCTCAACACACGAACGAGAGCTTCTGCTGACACGAACTAGGACTAGATTATATTCTTGGGCAACCTATCTCGCAATAGTTCTATACTAATCTGACTCTAAATGAGGCATTTCATACGACTAAAGAGCCGTTCATCTCGTTTGAACATTTGAGGGAAATGGACTCAATTATCACAATCCAAGACCTAGATGTCGAAGAAAAGCACCGCCATTCGAGACACTCTATTCTACCTCTTACCACGGGCTCGTCGTCTGGTCTGAACAACGCATCTTCAAAACCTGGTTTCCTCGAACAGGGTCTCGGAAGCACGATCATCGCTTCTGCATTAGCTTCCTCCCCCGATCATCACAGCATGTATAGTAGTAGTGCTGGCAGCAATACCGCTGTCTTGAATATAGGCTCTAGCCCGACAATTCTGAACAGTCACGCACCGCCAAACAAGAATAGCAGGAATCTGGGTATGGGGATCAGCACGTATGGACTTCAGCAGCCGAGTCTCAGCAGTAATAGTAATAGCTCGACATCGGCGTGGCAGCCTTCCATACAGTCATACCATAAAACACACCCTCCGCAAATACAGCTTCAGCATCAACAGCAGCTCCCACCACCGCCAATATTACCTTTATCGCTTATTAATGCTTCACCAGCCTCTTCTTCCTCTACTAGTACCGCATCCTCATCAACATCTGCACACACTCAACAACAGCAAAATTCATCTCATTCTGTATCTCACATATCTTCATCCTCGTCTCCAATGCCGAACGACTCAACTATAATACCGATGCCGTTTGGAATGGTGATGCCATCATCTCCAACGCCGAAACTGACGTCCATGCAGCATAAGCTGGAACGTAAACGGGTTGCGTTCAATCAGCAGTTGAAGGAGCCTGTTAGGCCGTCTTCTATAAATACGGTCGCTGCTGCTGCTACGTCGGCTGGTATGGCTAGTAATGGTACTGGTATTAATACGGCGGCCAGTGTTGTGCCGCCTGAGACGACTAATGAGAATCGTAGTAGTAAAACGACTGATGTGGTTATTGAACAGAAGGGATTTGCGCCCTATGTGATAGGCAAGCATCACACGCGGAAGGATCATCGCATACCTGTAAGTTACCTTTGCGAGGCAATGAGCAAAATACTACCAGTACAGGTTTGAGTGTCTTCGTTCCCATATCTAAACCTTTCACCCTCCACATAGCTGACGCAAATGATGACACTACAACTCGTCTTTCTGTATACCAAATGCAATCCCGAATTCAATTACGAAAATGAACATAATCCTCGGCGGGTTTTGACCAAACCTTCCAAACCAGTGTACAATGATGGATTTGATAACGAAGAGTACGATTATATACTCTATGTGAATGATACGTTGGGGTCGGCTGAGGGTCAAAAGTAAGGAGAATTCGGCTAAAATGATTCAGAACACTGTTGGATAACAACCTTGTTTTCCTAGGTATCAGATTTTGGATGTGTTGGGACAAGGGACATTTGGACAAGTAGTGAAATGTCAGAATCTGTATACGAAGGAGCTGGTGGCTGTTAAGGTTATCAAGAACAAGCCGGCGTACTATAATCAGTCGCTTGTGGAGGTTATGATTCTAGAGTTGGTAAAGATCTCATCAGTTTTTGGTGCCTTTTCCGCTTTTTTTACTCATCATTCAATTCACCCAAAACCATTTAGCTGAATGCCCAATATGATCCAGATGACAAGCATCACCTACTGAGAATGAAGGATACCTTCAATTTCAGAAATCATCTTTGTATTGTTTGTGAAATGCTCTCGGTGAATCTATACGAGCTCATCAAACAAAACCAGTTTCGAGGCTTGTCGAGCAATCTGGTTCGAATATTCGTCACTCAGATGTTGGATGCTTTGGCTGTGCTGAATCGAGCTAAAATCATACATTGTGATTTGAAGCCTGAGAATATCTTGCTACAAAAGTGAGAATTCATCCATTATACGGCTTGTTTTTTTGGTCTCTTATTCTGACACTTTCATTCGCAGTTTGGATACTCCCTATATCAAGATCATTGATTTTGGATCTGCATGCCATGAGAATCAAACTGTCTATACATACATCCAGTCTCGATTCTATCGATCGCCTGAAGTGCTGATGGGGTTACCGTATACCTCATCGATTGATATGTGGTCGATAGGTTGTATCGCTGCTGAACTGTTTCTGGGACTGCCTCTGTTTCCTGGGTCGTCAGAATATAATCAGCTCAGTCGGATTGTTAGCATGTTGGGGTAAGATTGTTGGAGAATTGTGAATTCGTGCATGGTACTCACCCTTTTTTTTCGTCTGCCATAGGATGCCTCCTACTTACATGATTGAGCGGGGTAAAACCGCATTCAATTTTTGTAACAAGTCGATGGGTCCTGATGGGAAGATGGTGTATTCGTTAAAGACTATGGAGCAGTACAGCCTAGTACGTTATTGCGTAGTATTTTTCTGCTATCTTTTGTACTAACTGAGGATCATGTTTTTTAGGAACAAGATTGTACAGAGGCACCATCGAAAAAGTATTTTGTGGGGACGACATTGGCAGAAGTGATTTCAAGTTATCCAGTCGTGAAGAAGGGATTATCGCAAAAGGAAATCGAGAAGGGTAGAGTATCGTATTGTTCTGGTGCTTTTTGCCAGCGTGGACTAACTTTTCTTTCTTATCCAGAAATGCAAAATCGATTGAGCTTTATCGATTTCTTGCAAGGTCTACTAGTCCTAAATCCACTAGAACGCTGGAGTCCTCAACAAGCTAAAATGCATCCCTTCATCACTGGTGAAAAGTTTTCTGGACGATTCACTCCGCCCATGCACGCCATTCCTTCAAGTAGCTCTGGCCCTAGACCGAGAGCCACAACTATAAACTCAGCCTCGTCGCAAGTACCTCCCGAGTTGCGTGGTATAGTTGGACTACAGCAGCAGGGTACTAGTAATCTCAGCAAGGCATTGAAGGAGAAGAAGCCTACTGTAGTAACAGTCGACACTGATGTGGGTAATCGTGCAACTACTATTGCTGCTGAGTTGGATAAAGGTCGACCTCCATTGTCACCAGAACGAGAGGATGCAGTTGGAAGTGCTGCTTTGAAAGTAGCGCAGGGCAAGCATGAACACTACAAACAGTCATCTGTTGTGGTGCAGGATGATCGGCCAGCATCTGGAGATGCTCTGAGTGGTGCCAGTAGCGCTTCTGATAATGTTACTACAGTTAAAGCCGTAGTAGAACACGATGAATTCGACTTGGAATCAGGACTTGATCGAAGGCTGCAGTCAATACAGGTAGCAGATACTACTACGAGTGATAATAAGCTTGCTAAAGGTCAATTGTCGGTCGAGTCGTCGCCAATACCGTCGTCATCAGATGCTGGTGTTGCACCCGCTAGTCGATTCCCTCGAGACGGTGTTCGCAAGAACCAAAGCGAACCGACACCAGCAGCTATGGAAGAACTAGATGCCATTCAACAATCGAGTGCTTTTTCGCTACGTAAAATCAGATCTGAATCAGAGCCTAGTTTCAGTCCTAGTATACAGGAGCCTGTTACTGCTACGACGACGACAACGACGACAAGTACGAAACGACATTCGTATGATTCACAGGCTAATCATCCAAGGCATGGTGCTACGGTATGTTGTTGTGGTGCTTCATGTTGGTCAAATGAAAGTGCCATTGGTATTTGCTTGTTACGCTTTTTTGGTTCTAACCTCCATGTCATTTACATGTACAGGGAGAGAGGCCTTCACTGCCTTCTAGACTACCTAGTGCAGCATCGAATATCTGGGATCCATTCGAGGACGTTGAAAGTGGAGCTCCCGTCACTCGTAGAGATAGTATGAGCAGCTCTCTCGCTAGTCTCTTCTCTGGCTTTAGTAGTAGGAGAGGAAGTGCTAGTGGTGCAGCATCGAAAGGAGTGACGCCGCCTCGATCGGGCTCGTTTTCGCTATCGTCACAACAAATAGTGGACATAGGTAGCACGAACAGCAGTCCACGAATATCTAATAGTAATAGTAGCGTTACGAGTCCTCGAGTCTCTAGTGGTGTTTCTCAATCAGATTCGTATTCGACTCCACCTGGAGTATCACCGAGTGCCGGATTAGGAATAGGTCTGTTTAGCCCGGGATATGCATACCCTACAGAGTCAACACCACGATATTCTTCATCAACACCACCACCGCCAACACTTCCGCCACCCCCGAACGGAAGGTTCCCATTATCACCTAATATGATTGCTGGTGCACCTCTGAGTAATACACAACGGTATCCTTCGCAGGGCTCTCTAGGAAGAGAGTATGGACATGTGGATAGCATAGCTTCTACTCAATGGGCGTCGAATCGTAACTTGCATGCTGAGACGGGTTTAATACCGGGCGGATTTCCAGGAATTGGGAGTCCTGATGTCAATAGTAGTACGACGGGCAGTACTAGCAATACTAGTATTGATGAGACTGGTGGTAGCAGCGGTGGAGGTTTGCTGAGGCGGCAGCCGCCAAAGGATGGTGAATACGCCGCGTGATATTTTTGTGAGGGTTTGGAGGATTGGACAAGTGGAATTGTAATTTTTTTTAAAGAGATGGATGATAATATAACTAGTTTCGATATAGTGTATACTTGATGTTTCGGTTTCGGACGTGTTTACGGCTCGAATTAAGTTTCGCGTCGTCTTGAGTAACATCACGTCGCTGAGTAAAATCCACGATCAAACCATTCTAGCACAGATCATATCCAGACATGGCCCAAAGCAAGCCAAACGATCAGTTGAAGCAAGTCGCTACTGTTGCTGCGATTGGAGCTGGTGCTATCGCTGTCGGAATCGGTGCTCTGTACTGGACTTACAGGTAACAGATTGCTCCAATTGTCTTAAATTTTCACCCTTGGAGCGAAGCATCTGCAACGAGGGAAGCAAAGATAGCTTTTCTGTATCTACATCATTGATCTGATGTTGTTGATCTCCGTGCTGCTTTCCTGTGACATCTTCGTTTGTAAATTCACAACATTGATGTTCACCACACGATCACATTCAAAACCAATAACAAACTCACCCAGCATATCTCATACCATTGTAGAGATCACGCTTGGGGCTCTCGTCGCCGTACCGACCTGCCAAACTTGGAAGGAGCCAAACCACTACTCGGAAACATTGGTCAATTCGCTGCTCATATCGGTGATCGTTTGGAATGGCGTTATGAATTGTTTGAAAAGTATGTTAGTATCTCTGGATCATTCTGGTGGTTGTGATCCGCAATGCAGAGTTACATGGTTGACTGACAGCTCATCATTGCGATGTTGTTATAGGTATGGCAAGATCTTTTACGGCACCCAGCCAAACAGGTCTATTATCTTCAACTATGATATGAGAGATTTGGCGCATGTATTGTCGGATCCGTATAACTATATCAAGGTGTGTGAGTTCTCGTTTGTATACAATATTTCGGTGATTTAGTTTTTTTGGCTAGGGTCCTTTGGTGAAGAACTCTGCCGAATTCCTTGGGCATGGGATATTTGCAAGTGATGCTGAAGAGTGGAGGATTCAAAGGAAGACTGCAGGTATTGAGTGTGGTGCGTTTCTCTGGCATTACATGTGTATTTACGCTCCTTTTTTCGTCTTTAGCCAACATCTTTACAGGTACATCTCACTCGCAGTCGTTTGAGGAGTGGAATAAGTATGCTTAACCTTCTTCTCCAAAGTCCAAAACTTCAGGAACAACTTTATGGCAATGTTCTCAGATGAATCTGTACTTCTGGTCGAACATATCCAGAACGCTGCTCAGCAGAAAGCTATTGTGGATTTGCAAGGTATTTAAAGTTAGTGCGCATCTTCAGCCGATAATGCGGACGAGGTCTCAGGCCGCTACTTTTTTAGATTTGCTGTTGAGGTCTACGCTGGATTCGTTTGCATTGCTGAGCATGGGTACGTTTTGAATTAGACACGAAAAAACGAATAGCAGACAATATGTTGAAAGTACATGGACTCGAGCAACTTTGGTTCCAGAAACCTCAGGACATGTCGTTTTGTACCAAATTAAGCTTCTTACATGATCTTTTGCTTATAGGCAAGACTGTCGGCGCCATGAAGATGCGCGGTGAAGTCCACGACGGAATCTACCGCATGCCAAATGTTGAATTCATGAACGCGTTCGACAGCTTGAATGAATTCACTGTGCGACGAAATGTCAAGGCTTTTTGGCCAATTACTGATCGTTTGAATGGAACTTATAGCAAGGTACTTATGGCCGTAAAGATTGCCGCTTTTTTCGCCATTCTCAGTCGACAATGGAACTCTTTCCATAGATGCAAGAATGGAAGAAGTATCTTGACGATTTCGCTGCTGAAGTAGTCAAAGAGAAGCGTGCAAACAAGGCTGCCGGACGTAAGGTTTCGAATATGAGGATGGATCTACTCGGTATGGTGGTTTGTCTCGTTGGTTGATGATGTCTATAGGCAAATGCGATCTCTTCTGTTTTTTCTTGTGTGATTCTGATATCTCCGTATCCAGCGCTAATCTCTTTCAATCATAGACTTTTTCATGGAAAACTCGAACGAAGACGGCTCTCCATTGTCTGATGAATACTTTCGAGATGTGGTTGTGAACTTTATTTTGGCTGGACGAGGTAAATGACAAAAAGACTCACGTAGACACAACTCATTGTTTACGCACCAATCTACTTCGACTAGACACTACCGCACAAACCTTGTCATGGACATTCTGGCGTCTAGCTCAAAACCCGAAAGAGTTTGCCAAACTACGAGCTGAAATCAACCAAGTATGGTCTGGAGACGTGCTTACTTACGACCAGTTGAAGGACTTGAAGTATTGTTTGGCTGTCTTTATGGAGAGTTTGCGTTTACATGCCAGTGAGTGTCTGAAAACAAAGATCCTTTTGGTAGCACACAGAGCTGATTTACCTCTAATAGATGTTCCTACGGGCCGAAAGCAAGCTGTCAAGGACGATGTATTGCCATCCGGAACCAAAGTCTACAAGGGTGACTTTATTGAATGGAGTTCCTGGATCATGGCTCGTGAGACTGAATTGTGGGGTGCTGATGCGCATGAATGGAAACCGGAAAGGTGGATTGACAAGAATGGATCTGTAATCAAGCCCAACCAGTTCCAATTCCCACAGGTATGTGTTAGCAAGTTTGTCTCTTTTAAGATCTCGAGTTCTAACAGGGTTACTTTTACGTATAGTTCAATGCTGGTCCTCGAATTTGTCTTGGAATGAACATGTAGGATTCTCTGTGATATGCTGCAATGCGTTAGGAGGAGACCTAACTGTAATCCTTTCGATACGCAGGGCTCAACAAGAAGGTGTCGTCTTCTTGGCAACCATTGCTCGCAAGTTTGATCTGGAACTTGTCAAGGAGGACGAGAAAGCCAAATGGGCTGTATGGAACGAAGATCCATTGTTGAGGAAGGGTCGTTATGATGTTGCTGCTACATTATCTATGAAGGGAGGTGTTCATTTCAAGGTCGCAGAGCTCTGAAGCAAACATGGCTGCTACGTTATCTATGAAGGGAAATGATGTAAAAATCGCAAGAGATTTTTGTTCGTTTGAGAAATTTGATTAGTGCCGTTGTAAACAAGTGTGAGTCTTGAAAGTATGTTTGAATATAAGGTTGAATTGCTAGGTAAAGGATGAATGAGCGATCGCATAGAGAGTTTGTGTGATTCTTTGCTGGGTGTTAATCCTATGACCATAAGATGCACGCAATTGCGAAGCCGGACAGTTTACAGCATAGTAAGTGTATTGTGTCGCGTTCTGAAAGTGCATGACGCGTAATCTGTGGCGGATGCACGTCCGCTATTGACTAGGAACCAATGTAAGCATCATCTGAAACCGTTCAAAACACACTCACCAACAAACAAGGACATCCATCTTACACCTCTTGGAACTGACCTCATACTCGCATCCTGACTTTATTTCCACCATGAAGCCCTTAATATTCTACGACTTGGCAGCTGCCGATGAATCCAGACGGCTCTCGCCATACTGTTGGAGAGTTCGATTCGCGTTAGCTCACAAAGGTATGATACAAGGTCCCAAGCTCACAGCTACCTATTATAACTTGGATTCCATGTGATAGGTCTTCCGTATGAAGCTGTGCCCTGGAGGTTTACGGATAAAGATCGCATTGCATTCAGTGGACAAAAGCTGGTTCCTGTTCTTGTGGACGCAAACCAAGGAGAGGGGCATTTCGTGAATGATAGGTATGTGTTGGAATAGGAGGAATGCTGTTTGGATGGTTCGTGTATCGTGCAACTGCAAAGTCATTGCACTTTCTTAATGTCTGCTTTCACTCTGTTGAAGATTCATCCAGATACTGCATCTTACTCGTTAAGCCAACCTTCAAATCCTCCATCTCAATCTCTTTCATTCCATCCAGCTGGGCAATCGCTGACTACCTCGACAAGACATACCCAGACCTCCCAGAATTCTATGGCGGTGCATCCGGTCGCGCATACGCCAAATTCATCGACAACTGGTTTAAAGCCAACTGCATCATGCTCATATACGGGCCCTTAATGATGGATCTGTACGAATGTGTCGCTGAAAAGGACAAGGCGTACTACCGACAGTCTCGAGAAGCACGGTATGGCAAGCTGGAGGACATGTGTCCGGCTGGACCACAACGGGACGCTAGTATCGAAAAGTTTAGAGAGAGTTTGAATCCGGTTAGGATGACGTTGGCGAATGAGGGGGTCAAGTTTTTGGGTGGTGAGAGGCCGATATATGCTGACTAGTACGTGTGTGTTTTTGGGCTGTGTGGTTTGATGAAGACTCTAATGTAAATTGCGTGGTACATAGTGTGCTATTCAGCTTCTTCATGTGGGGGAAGAGTGCTAGCCCCATCGAGCTTGTGGAAAAAGGTGATCGGATCTATGAGTGGAGGGAACGTATGCTGGATCTCTATTCAGGGATGGCGAGACAGACTGTTTCTCACCCCGTATAAGCTACTTAATACTAATATTAACTCTCATTGATACCATCTGTGTTGGAAGTATTATTGGTTTGCACATGCTGGGATGAACACGCTTTTTTACGATATTTACGATGCCAACGAGTTCAAAAATAACAGACTTTATTTTTAGACACTGGGTTCTGCGTCGCGTTCCAAACGTATATTTCATTCGAAGTTTGGGTAGCTTCTCCTTCAGGGGACCTTTAATAGGCAGCGTGGGCTAAATTGAACACAAAGTGATTTAACATTCCTGCAACCCTGCTATCAAACAAACCGGTGAAACCGACATCTCACGCCCGGGACCAAATTCTAACATTGTTATGAAGCCAGTAATCGTTTACGACCTTGCAGCAGCCGAAGAAAATCGCAGGCTTTCGCCATATTGTTGGATGACCAAGTTAGCACTCTCCCACAAAGGTACGAAACAGGCTTTCAAGCTTAACTTATCTTATTCTCATCTAATGTTGTTTTAATCTTCAAGGCATTCCGTTTGAATCCGTGGACTGTCTCTTCACGGACAAGGATCTCATTGCGTTCAGTGGACAAAAGTTGATTCCAGTAATTGTGGACGCAAACCAAGGTGACGGACATTTCGTGAATGACAGGTATGTTTGAAGGAGCCGGTCTGCGGTTGGCTTGGTTTAGATGCTGTTTGGATCAAGAAGGTCACTCAGAAGTTTTCTCATGTGGTAGTGTTGTTACATGTTGAGGATATGTTTTCAGTATCGCAGATCAAGTATACAATTCACCATACTTGCCCTATTAACAACACTTTCCAATCTCCGTAAACCACAGCTTTGCAATCGCAGACTACCTGGACAAAACCTATCCAAACCTCCCTTCAGTGTATGGCGGAGATTCCGGTCGCACATATGCCAAATTCATTGACAACTGGTTTATAAACAACTGTGTTATGCTCATGTACGGACCAATCATGATGGATTTCTTTAACTGCATTGCTGAAAAGGACCAGGCGTACTTTCGAGAGACTCGGGAAGCTGTGTTTGGGAAGTTGGAGGACATGTGTCCCGCGGGACCGGGACGTGATGCTAGCATCAAGGACTTCAGGACTAGTTTAAATCCGTTGCGGATGACCTTGACTACTGATAAGTTCTTGGGTGGGGAAAAACCGACTTATGCTGACTAGTACGTTTGTTTTGCTTTCCAATACGTTATGTTTCAGTCTCCAACACGCATGTTGCTTCACGTTTAGTGTCTTGTTTGGTTTCTTCATGTGGGCAAAGAGTGCTAGTCCCATCGAACTCATTGAAAAAAGTGATGCGATCTATGAGTGGAGAGAACGAATGCTCGATCTCTATTCGGGGCTAGCTAGAAAGGCTGTTTCGTATCCAGTATAGTCTAACTAATTACTAATTGCTACTGCCACTGAAATCTCATTGATGTCCAACATATTGTATTTGATTTTATTTGCGTTTGTGTCTATGCGATCGCTCGTAGGAAGCTCCACAGTAGCCATAATCGGTGCCATATAACCAAGAAAAAGCTATTATGCTCTTCAAATCGCCACTCTGCAAGCTGGCCAGGGCAACTTCAATTCACGTGCAAACCAAATCGCTTTATGCGGCCTTTCGACGCGCTGAGATCTTCTGTACAAGGACGAGGGGCTGTTTCGATAATCATATAATAAGTTGACACGTCAAATTGAGCAAGAAGCGATCCCACCTCGTTGAAACACATTGTTGTTTTTGAACATCTTTGCCATCAAGTTCACAACATGTCGAAGAAAGAGGATACGTCGGCCTTGAAGGTCATTGTCACGACCATCGCCGCGTTAGGAGGCGCTACGGTGGTCGGACTTGCTGCTCTCTACTATGTCTATAGGTATGTTTATGATTTTACCTGAATGACAGTAGCACGAATCTGTCATTGCTGGGAAGACACTGTTGCAGACGTCAGTACCAAAGGATCTGCAATGCCAAAAACCAATATTTTGTTATGCTGAATGCGCTTTCAAAGCGAAGCCATCTCGTACAGAGCCTCACCGTTTCCATAGTGTCTCACACATCTTATCACACCCCACATCTTTGCAGAGACCACGCGTACGGGACACGAAAGCGCCCTGATTTGATAACAGTACCAGGATCAAAAGCACTGACTGGAAACTTGAGTGATTTGGCGGCTCATTTGGGGGACAGATTAGAATTTCAGTATGGTCTGTACAAACAATTCGGAAAGATCATATATGCTACGGTGCCTGGTCGAAACATTATCTATGAGTGAGCATACGATGATGTGCGGATTGTGTGAAGAACGCGAAAGCTGAAAGGACTTTATTGTTAGCTTCGACGTGAATGACCTTCAACGGATCTTGTCAGAGCCGTATATATATGCCAAGGTACGCGCTGTGTCGAGTACCTTCAGACCAAGAAACAGGCAAGCTGAAGATTCTCAATCTAGAGTGAAGCTGCCATGGTGAATGCTCGACCATTGCTGGGGTACGTTATTGGTTGGAGAGGTCGTTCGAAACCAGGCTCTCAAACACTGTTGTCGCAGGCACGGCATCTTCTCTGCCAACTTTGATGAATGGAGGCTACAAAGAAAAGTTGCTTGTGAGTACCTCCTGTCATGTGCTGAAGAATCTGCATTCACCTCCAAAAACTTTACAATTCTAGCCAACATCTTTACAGTCAACAACTTTAAAACTCGTAAGACACATTTACACTGTGCGAGATCACGCCACGTTTCGACATCACCCTCTGTTTAGATTTCATGAGTGGGTTTGTGGAGGAGACCAAACTGCTACTCTCACATCTTCAAGCCGCAGGTGATCAAGGTGCCATTATCGATCTCCAGGTATGAGTATGGGACGTCTTCCATTGTTTGTCTCATCAAATTTCATCGGGTTGTTTAGGACCTTCTGTTACGTGGAACTCTGGATGCGTTTTGCCAGTTGGGGTGTGGAAAGACGGTGGATGCGCTCAAGATGACCGCAACAATCCAAGATGGAGTTTACAGTGAGCATATCATTTATACCACAGCACTCCTCGTTTTCTAACATGCTTGTGTCTATCATAATAGCTCTCCCAAATGTACCCTTCATGACAGTGTTTGATTCTTTAATGACCGTGACCATTGAAAGGACCTTCAACCCTATATGGGGTATCACTGAGAGGTTTAACGGGGACTCGTGAGAAGGTACTGGTTATGACGGAATCCATTAAGTAGCAATCGAACTAATACGGTCTTTTGTGTCAGGTCCAAGAATTCAAGACCTTCCTAGACAACTTTAGTGCCGAAATCGTTGCTGAGAAACGAGCAAATCCACGCGATCCAAGCAAGAAAATGGACTTAATTGGTATACCAATGTCGTATTGAAATGAGATTTGCTCGTCAAGTGATTCACATCTCTTTTTTTTCGCTAGACTTCTTCCTCGAAACAAGCAACGCGGACGGTACTCCATTTTCAGACGAGTACCTACGAGATGTCATTATAAATTTCGTTGTTGGAGGTCGGGATACTACTGCTCAGACCTTATCGGTTAGCGTGTTTCCGAGCTCGCTCTTCGCCATACTAGATCTCATCTTTATCCTCTTTTTTGTCCAAAAGTGGTGTTTCTGGTGCTTGTCTCAGCATCCGGCAGAGTACAAGAAGCTTCAGGATGAAGTACAGGCTGTGCTTGGAGATGAGGAAATCACATACGAGAAGGTCAAAGAGCTGAAGTATTGTTTGGCTTGCTTCTTGGAGACATTGCGTATACACTCGAGTATGTCATCCTGTTGCGTGAATTGTTTTTTTGCTTATGTTTACATTGAAATTCCTCGACTCTCTAGATGTGCCTGTTGGTAAATAATAAATTGTTCTGCCAATTGTTTGAAAGCACCACTACTGACTGTCTCAACCATCTCTCCAGCACGAAAACAAGCAGTCCAAGATGATGTGTTGCCTAGTGGAACCAAAGTCATGAAGGGGTAAAAAACGCTCCTATACCGATTCAATGTAATGCTCACTGAGTCCGTCCTCCCACCTCCACACAGCGACTACCTCGAATACTCACCATGGATTATGGGCCGACAAACCGAACTCTGGGGTGCCGATGCCCTCGAATGGAAACCCGCTCGATGGATTGATTCGAGTGGAAGTGTCATCAACCCATCCCCATTCGTGTTTCCGAACTTCAATGCTGGGCCTAGACAGTGTCTTGGGATTAATATGGCAAAGTATGTTTCGCTCATTGTGGTAAGGTGATCTGGTTAACCATTGTTTCATTCTTAGGCAAGAGGGTGTAGTGTTCCTTGCATCGATTGTTCGACACTTTGACCGGTTTGAGTTGGTTAATGAAGACGACCCGAAGAAATGGGCTGTGTTTAGTGATGATCCGTTTTTGAGGAGGGGTCGTTATGGTGTTGGTGAGTGGAACATGAATTTGCTTGAATTGCAAGGTCTCATGCATGTTCTTTTTGCTGCATAGCTGCGACCCTGTCAATGCGAAGTGCAGTACACTTCAAGCTTCACCGCAAAACCGTTTGACTTTTAAGTATCCTCGTTTAATATGTTATTGTGCTTTTAAATATAATACAATCAATTAGAAAAATCCTGAACAAGTTTGTGTGTGCATGCTAACTAATTTTCATAATATTGCGAGTCCTTGAGGTTTCTCCTGTATGCCAGTACACCAGCTCGGATCAATATGATACCACCTAAAGCTCCGAGGCAGCTAGCGACGACACACATAATGGTTCCATTAGTTGTTGAGATTGTATAAGCCCCGTTTGAGGCTTGATTGAATAGCTTTTGCATCGTGCTGTATGTGACGTATGATGCGCTAGATTCCAAATCGTTAGCTCAACGCGAAAAATAAGTATACAGAGTACTTCAAAACTCACACTGAAGCACAAATCATGGCAGCCGTTCCAACACCTGCGAGAAAAGCTCCGATTCCTAGCACACGCTTGAAGCACGTAGCCCCGAATACAATAGCCAGTAGCACCAATCCCCAAGCTATAACTCCCACAAATAAGGCTGTAAAGACAAATGGGTTGTTTGCATTATACCCTGATGCCTTGAGGTTGGCAATCAGTGTAAGATAGTCTCCCAGGACTGGTATTTGCTGTTGAGGTATGTCCAAGGCAGCCGAAAAGTTGAAGGCTTGACTGAATTGGACATTGTTGCATGTGAATACACCTGATCCAAGAGGTGGGATGTGAGTTCAAATGATATGTTATAGGATCTTGTGTTATCGTACCGTTTGAAGAGAGGAGACAATAGCCCCATGGTGTGAGAGTCATATACGAGCCTTCGGCCTGAGCTACAAGTACTGAGAGCGAGTTACCAGTAGCAGTCAGTGTAGCTAGTGCTATACTCTTGACTTGGTATCCAGAGAGCAACACCAATATGGCGAGAATGAAGGTCGGTATGACGAATATCGAGGCAAGGAACTAGAAATAGAGGGATCAGGTGTGAGTCTAAAGTGTAAAATAATGACGGCAAGCGACATTGTTGATGTTGATGATTCCTCATGATCCAACCGGTGAAACAGCTGGTTAGGATAAGGAGACACCAACTCGATGATCAAACAACGAAATGCAATCCTCCAACATTCCACTTGCCCCTCTCCTCTTCTTGTTCCATTTGCGTAATTCCTCAACACCCAATTCCAGATTTAGACTTTTCACCTGGAACTTACGGCAGACCAACGGTAGTTCATTGTAGACATTGTGACTGGCTCTGGGAGTCTTTAGATCACAGGTAAGCTTATAATCCTGACCTGTTATTCACTCTGCCAAGTTTTGATTCAATTTGCAAAGCTACGGTTAGGTGAAGGAAAGGCACTGATTCGCACGTGAAAGGGACAGACGCATACCGGCCAGATCGGAACGTTTTCAAATGGATGTGCCAGCTCCTGTGGATAATCATGTCTCAAGGAACATCCCTACATCTAATCAATTGTTTCTGGCATTGGGATTTGTATCGCTTGTCTGTGCGGTAGTGGACAAGACACTAATATCAAGGAAATTACAAAATGGAACGAATGCTGTCGAATACGTGCCTCTGAATGGTACTCGTCCGGCTGAAGAGGAGGAAGGTGTCGCAGGAAGCTCGACGAATGGTGGTCTTGTTGCTAGTGTTGAAGGCGAGGAACCACACCAACAACCAAAGGCACCAGAGAATCCTATTATCATTCCGTCATTGATCCTGCTAGGTAATGTTCTGCCTGAGCCTCACTGCAAACTCTTTATGTCACTCTGGACTTTAGCCAAACAAAACACACACCCTTTACACGTTACGTGACTCTGATCTCACCACGATACAACCCGAACTCTCACAGGGATGGTCCTCTTCACAATCTATCTCTTTGACTACATTCACATCCTGCCAGCAGGAGAAAGGAAATACTCTCGAGATACCTTCTACTTTATATACATTACAATATTTGCCATCGCGTGCTACACGCGAGTAGAAGCAAACCCTTCAGACAGGAATGCTGATCAGATCTTGTCTCGGCAGCAGACTGAAGAATGGAAGGGCTGGATGCAACTCGGCTTTCTTATGTATGTTGCAAAGTTTCCTGTCTCATTCGTGTGATTGCCTGATATTTAACTCGCTTACTCTATAGGTACCACTACTTCAAAGTAATTCTTTCTAGGCTCTTTGAGCAGCTAGGATCGGAAAGTTAACAATTCCTTTTGTTTCTCAGGCCAGCGAAACATACAACGCCATCCGGATGTTCATCGCATGTTACGTGTTTCTGACTGGATTTGGAAACTTCAGCTTCTTTTACATACGGAAGGATTACTCCATCAAAAGGTAACAGGCTCGACTATGTTTGATTGTCATTTGCTGTCCCAATGTTTGTTGGTTCTCCCGCTCTGAGGAGGTCTTAAGACTGACCCTCATGCTCTGAACCCAGACTGGCCAAAATGCTCTTCCGACTCAACTTTTACGTGATACTGATTTGCATGGTGATGAACAATGAGTACATGCTCTACTACATATGTGCAATGCATACAGTAAGCCCGTTATAGTCAACTAGAAACTCAGGCTTCCAGACGACTCACTCACTGTCATTTCCCTAGTTCTGGTTCTTGTCAGTATACGCTGTCATGGCAATTAAACGAGATTGGAATACAATCCCACATCTAATGGGAATGAAGCTCGGGATCTATACATTGATCGTTGTATTCCTGTATGAGATACCCATAATTGGTCGAATCGTGTTTTCAGTACTTGGGCCGGACTCTCCTCTGCCGATACTGTCATACAATGGATCTCTTGATGAGGTATGCTTCAAATGTCACAGCTTCTTTTTTTGCCCCGTTCTAACCTGCCCCACGCTGTTATTAGTGGATGTTTAGAAGTGGGCTTGATCGATACTCTACGCTATTGGGTAACGAAATCATCCCTCTTCTCCTATTTGGACCAAATGCTGAACTTTTTACCCTCTCAAACAGGTATGTTATGCGCATGGTGCTATCCATACGTGGATGCACAGCTACGGCAACTGGAAGCAAGCAAATCACAATGGGTGAAGCCCGGCGTACTGGCTGGATCCATCTTTGTCCTACTGCTTTGGATTGTCGCCATTTTCTTGCCTTTCGACAAGTTGGTGTATAACAAGATACATCCAGTACGTATAGTAGGGCTTCGTTCAAGACGCACGTAATCTTGACATGACGTGTGCTGACTTTTTTCCGCTAGTACACGTCGTTCATACCAATTTTGGTATACATCACCATTCGAAACCTATACCCTGTGTTCAGGAGGAGCCATCTGTCCCTCTTTGCGTACTTTGGACGCATTACGCTAGAGACGTATCTCTCCCAACTTCACCTATGGTTGAGAGATGATGCAAAGAGTGTGTTGGTGTATCCAGCACTCGGCAAATACCCTCTTCTGAACTTCCTCTTCAGCTCTATGGTATGTCCCAATCACTTTGTCAAAGAATCGATGAAGCTACACTTCTTACATTGGTATTTCATTAGGTATACATCCATTTGAGCGAGACGGTGTTTGACGTGACGACGGTAGTCTCAGATTACCTCTTGGGAGGTAAAGATCAGCAAGCAAGGCTGAGTGGTGGTAGCCGTGAAGCTATACAAGAGTGGCTTGATGTGAACTTGTGGATTGCATGGCTGAAAAGATGGAGGACTGTGCTGTCGATAATAGCAGGCTGCTACGTGGTAGCCTATATTCTGTCCGAGTTCTTACTACGGATGGACTAGTGCTTGAAGGGAATGAAAAACTAGATGGTGGTAATCTTATAAAACAGCATTTTGCAGGTATCAAATGTAAACCAAGTAATGTTTAGAGTTAATCTATCTAATATATCAGTGCCAAAATACAAATACGATACGTTTTTTGCAGTTTCTTATATACAACGGAGGCAATACCCTTTCCTTCAAAAGTCTTCGTCCATATACTCTTGCGTATCATCACCACCTCCACTTGCAAGCCCCTGATCTCCAAACAAGTCCCCATCATCCTCCAAGTCCACTTCATCCTTGATGTCATCCTTCAATTCAGGTGTCCCAGCTTGCTGTTGCCCATTATTACTATTCTGACCAAATTGAAATCCACCAGCACCTTCGCCCTGCTGTTCCTGTTCAGCATTCTGCTCCCGCTGTTTGGCTTCCTCTTCTATATCGGTATCCTTCCAGCGATGCCCACAGTCCACACATGCGAAATATAGTACCATGGAATCGGCCATTTTGGATGTGGATTGGAAGAAGACTGCTTCGTTCTTGTCGCATCTGGGACATATTCTGGAGCGGGTGCGTGGGAGTGTTGGGTCTTGGGCCAGGTCGACTTTTTGGAGTGATTGTTCGCTATTGAGTGGTAGGAGAGTAGTTGTTAGTGCTGAGGGATAGGCTAGATGTTGGACGGTATGTTGCAGTGTTTGGAGTGTATGTTTGATGCATACAGCAAGAAGAGACAACACTGAGACACCAGCGAATCCATCTGCTACATCTCAATCAAATCCTTGACAACAATCCTCCCATCCTAACAACTTCCACAAGCTCGTCCAATGTTCAACACGTACATCATTGAATGCTGAACAATATGGCGATACACCAATGAATTCTGCGATTCTTCAAAGTGATCGCAATTACGACATGCCAGTTCGAGTATTCTATTATGCCTGTTCTCCCTTGGATAGAGCAGATTGTGACTGACGGAATTTGATGAGAAAAGATGTTAGATTTCAAGCTTTGAGCTGAATCAGTATATAAGAGACTTACCATTCAGGACAGAATTGGAAGGCTACAGTGCTCTGCTGTCTTGCTGCGGCTGCCATCTAGTAGTCTTTTTGACCAGTTTCTTTGCTTGAGTGGAAGATGTGACAAATTTGAAGTTGTAATTGAAGTTCTTGAAGCGAGGAACCTTCCACGCGTTGAATTAAATGAAAAGTTTACTATTGTGCTATATTTGCGTGGATTCTAACGTGTCAGGTCTCTATATCTTCATCTAGTACAAATATATTGTACAATGCAATGGACAATTGCGCCTCAACGCAATTTTCCTCAATTTGCTCTTACTACTCTGTACCGACAGCACAGACTACGACACGGCTTCAGCTACGGCCCTAGTAACATCAGTAGCACTGCTAGCGTCACGTATTGACTTTCACGCAACTTCATAGCTATGTCGCCCAACCCTTCAGCTGAACCCGCACCAATCTCTCCAGAAAACAATAGTGTTCCTGAACCCTCCAATCTTAGAGGTGGTGATATTTGAGGTCGTAGAGCTATAGCATGGATATGTTTAAGTGGTGTCGAGCCCACATCCCATATAAAGTTGCGTCAAACATTGCAAATCGATGACCAGTTTCGTCATTTGTCCAGTACTCATAGACAATTGGTTTGAGGCAATGAGTTCCAAGTGCGTGAGATGGGGCATAATGTTTGGGATGATACCGTAGTCGCTCTCGCTTACACTCGAGATTTGAAGGTTTAATACTGCTAGGTTGTCAAACGGGTCTACTCTATCGAAGAAGCACCAGCAAGAGCATCCAAATCTTGAAGCTGTAGCGTTCGTAGAGAATCAAAGTCACCGTGCTCAAATACTCCATTCCGTATCATTCGTCCCCCGCATAGCCTTACTTTAACCAAAGAATTTGATTTCAACGCTAAAAGGTTCTCTAGCTCTTTGGTGTTGACGTTAGCTTGCTTTGTGACATATGAGAAGTCCCCAATCAATGTTTGTATCATGGTACCTTCAGCGACAAGTCCTTCTACTTCGTCCACGTTCAGCACTTGTACATTAGAACCACTCTTTGACAAGACCTCGAAAAATCCAGTTGGCACATGACTATCTAGGAGCTGAATTCGTTCAAGTTGCTCGAAGCATCCAGACTCATAGCACGAGACTTCACCTTCGATCCCACTTATATATAAACTACGTAGCGTGTGTTCACTACCACGGACCAGCGACCACCAAAGTACAGCGTCCATTCCTGGGATTGCACCCACATAGATCTGAGTTTCGTTCATGCAACTCTCAAAAGTCGAGAGTTTCCATGCTTTTAAAGCTGCGACCGATTCCAGTAGGTGGAGAGCCACGGATTATCAGTTTCTGAATCTTGGGATGGCTGATGGCAAATCTGCACCAATCTGATACTGATGGTGACCTCACTGCGTTTTCATTAGTGACACTATTTAAATATATGGATTCCAACGGGACATGGAGACACGAAATCCAACAGAAATAGTTGATTGGTCTGGATCTCCACCGACTTGAGATTTTGACATGAGTTGATTACAGTTTTGACAATCAAGCGACGAGAGCTTTTAAACTCTAACGGGTACGTGTGCGTTACGAGTATTTTCATCCATATCAACGGGTTCTGGCTATAGCGAGGATTTGACGTAGATGGGGATTGCTGCATGGCATTTACATGCCCATACAAGAATCCCGGGCAATTCGTGTCCACTCTTCTATACAACTTCCAAATTACAGCAGCATTCCATTCTTTTGATACTAGAGCTGCTGAAAACAATTCGTTTACAGCCAGCTCCGGCATATGTTGACAACGATGGAACGAGTTATCGATGCAATAAACCACAAAAGTCCAACAATTCAGCTCAGAAAGGACGCCCAATTAACGCGATTTGATCACACAATACAGATCAATGATCATTTCAACACGATCTAGCCATCTTTTTACATCCAATTCTATCACGTGTAGCTTAAGTTTTTTTGACACATGGTCATGATGACCTGGGACTCTTCATCAATCACGAAATGATCGGATATGATCATCATCATCATATCGGAAATTATCTCGCATTCGTCTAAACCTCGTGCTTCATGTGGTCGATACGTGGAGGTCGATGGTTGCGTTTGTTGTTTTGATTTATACAATAACTACTGTGTACAATATATAAAGATACCAAACAAAATACATCGAATGCCTCCACAGCATACTACCAAAAGAATGACCAAGCTCTACGGGCCTTCACTCTAGATGCTGCAGCCAACGAAGATCCCACCAAACCATCTCCATCAGCATCTGTCAATGTCCCATCCGTCCAACTGCCTTCATTCACACTTTTTGGTGATGATGATGCCGTTGCATCTTCTTCTCCTTCCGACTCATCACGTACACCAACATCAACCACAATCCCCCGTCGTTTTAGCATCTTTACTCGAGAGTGGAAGGCAATATCAACAGTACATGGCGATTTCTGCAGGAATGGTTCACCATCTAGCTGCATGGCCATTTCGGCCGTCATTGGGAAGTATAATCGTGCTACGGATGCTTGACCTAGCATTTCAGGTGATGACAAGCCTGCTATCGAGGCTCCCATGTGGAATGGACCTCCAACACCTAGAGCTTCAAATTGTCCATCATCTGATAGTTGACTTGGAGCTCCAAATGCTTCCAGAGGCTTGTATATCTGGCAGCCACCACCATATGACGATATGTTCAATATTATTGCACCACCAAGATGGTCTAGTGTTATAGGTGGGCTTGATCCTAATTGTAGCGTCGATCCTACTAGCTTCGTATGCTGCGGTGACATTACCGTTGGTGATGATGCTGGTTCGGATGGTTGGCTTGACATGCCCATCAAGTGTAGTATGTTGAGTACTACTTGTCGTCCTCCTAATACTGCATACCAGGCTTTATTTATTAGACGGTTTCGGAAGAGCTGAGGTTGACTTTCCCTGGCACGATGGAAGTCGAGCACGATACGAGCATCTGCACCTGCACTAAAATAGTTTGTACAGACGAGAGTCTTGGTTGCAAAAGCAGGTCGTTGAGCGAAGGCCATGGTTCGAGATACTAATGAGGTCGATGCTGATATGCTGGTGTTTAATATAGCTGGAGACGAAGATGGGTTTGATGATGGTTTGGGAGCTGAAGCTATTGTTATGCTCCATCGATCCAGTTCAATCACTTGAGCTAGGTTGATGGCAGCTATGATAGGAAGTAGTTCTTCTCCAGCCCAACCTCCTCCCCAACCTAAGGACCTAGCCTGTTCAAGATAAGAACAAGAGGTGTGAGTGAGCAGCGAAAAAACAAATGCTATATCAAGGTATATCGAACTGACCAAGTCATTGCCTGTTCCCATTGGTAGAGTACCAACAGGAGGTCGCTCATCTGGATTGAGACATAGCTTGTCAAGGACCTAGAGCAATTTAAGAGATTCGTCATCTTGACCATTCATCAACCCACACACAAAAAAACCGTGTCGACAACATAACTTACGTTGAGCACCCAACCAATCGTACCATCACCACCACATACAAGTACACGACATTTACTCAGGCATGATGAAAAGATCATCAATACGTCTTCAGGAGACTGTCGGGACGTATCTACAATCTGTATCGGATTGAGGATCTGATACAACGACCTCAATAGTATAGGAGCATCCTGAGCTCCCGATTTCGGATTGACAATACAGAGTAGCGGCCTTACATCAGCAGTCTGCGACAGGTCGACACGTAGACGAGGCTGTAGTTGTTTACTTGGTGAGGTTTGTCGTTTGGCAGACGGTGATGATGAAGATGGTGGTGGTGCGGGGGTGGTATTTGGCGATACGCACCATGGTGGAACTACTATGCTAGGTATAGGTCCTAACGAGCATGGTTGTGGTGGTAGATCGGGTAGACAGTGGTGATGCACAATGATTGAACACCACGAGCAACGGTACTCGGAGTGTAGTCCTGGTTCTATACCTACAGTGACATGACAGACTGCACAGCGTGCATCTGGTATCAAGTGGAGATTTCCTTCCACCCATTGATGAGGAAGGCTCGTGATTGCTTCCGATGAAGCTGATGGTGTTGGAGTCGATGCTGGGATGTAGTGCTTCTTGCACGGTTGATTATTGACCAGGTGGTGGTGGTTCTTATGTGCACATCGTCCACATATCTAAGAGGGAGAGTGTGAGAGCTTGACTCGTTCTTCATAGTAGCCCCCATTTTTGCAAATACTTACGAGACATCGAATACCATGCAAGACAATAGCAGTCCCACAAGCATTACAAAACTTGGGAACACCTCTATCATCACTTCCCCCTGTAGTCCAGATGTGTGAGAAGCTTGGAGGGGTCTTTGATGATGATGTGCTCGTTTGAACTCCAAGATACTACGAGAGGCAGGGTTTGATCAGCACGGTGAATCTTGATGGCTTTATCTGATCCGAAACAATGCAAATCAACTTCATGACTAGCGTACCGTCAGAGTTCGTGGATACAAGAATCTAAAAATCTGATAGGTGATTGCCACGCTTATACATGACACCACGAATAGAGTTCCATAGACCCCAAAGATACTACGTAGAGAATCTTGGTATTTATACAAGTAAAAGTCACTAGACCTTATCATCTTCCTCTGTTTAGTCTAATGTCAACAAAGGAGAATGTGTCGTTTGTTAGATTGTTGATTTCCAACAAGAAAATGACTTCCAACAGATGCGGGCCTTACCAATCTATTCTATGAGATGCCTCCGATGATGGCAATATCCTTGACTCCTTCCAAACCTCTCGTTGAATCGCCAGATCTCACGTGCCAATGAGTTCTGGAAGAAAGCTTATTTTAGCGACAACGAGTGCGAGAAGTGGAAGAGGTCAGACGGTAACTCCCTCGAGCTTTTTATAAGTTACAAGCGATTGAACCGTGTCAAACGCGTCGCATCTCCGTTGGCTTAAAGTTTGGGCTACCCCATATTCATACGTCGATATTTCTACAGCTTTCGTTCATGAGGTCAAATGAACATGTTATACACGCGATTTCATGATTTCGGCATATTTGACTCCTTGTCCGTATGGTATATCATCGTGCTTTATTCAACACCGTCAACGTTCAGTCATCTACACGACTCTGGGCAATCTGACGAAGAAAGAAGCCCAAGAAAATGAATTTCAAGAAAGCCAACTCAATGCCAAGCGCAGGAGCACGTAAGCTTGCGTTTCTTTTATCCCATAAACCGCTTTATTCATGAAGCAATCCCTCTCTTTGTCGCCATGTTGTAACATGATACAACTCTTGCACCATCTTACCAGTTCGAGCTATTGGAGGCGGTGTCGCAAAGGCCGTATCATCCAGATCATCTACTCCTCAAGCTCGCCAACCAAAAGCTGCTTCCAATGGTCCTGCATCAAACACACCTCCAAAACCAAATGCTCCTGTAAAGACTGAAAAGGACAAGCAGAGAGACGCTTGGAGATCTGAAAGCATGTTCAAAATCATTGATCTCATCAAGGTATTTTCGCAGATTGGTTGAACAGTATTGAATGATGGACGTGTGTGTGTGATGTTGCCGAATCTCATTGCCTGATTCCAACACGGCTTAGAGCGAAGACAGAGCCTTCAAGTTTGCAGAAGTGCAATTACATATGGGTGGGCAACTCTGGAATAAGGATGCTCTGCTCATGAAGTCACTCAAAGACAAGCTGAACGTTGAAGTAAATGCTGACGGAGAAACTATACGATACAAGGTAAAGACAATACGCCACACCCGTGCGATGCTACAGTGCATGTATCGCTTGCATTTGAATGCTTCTGATCGCTACTCACACTTGCTTCATCAGTGGAAGTACTCGATCAAAACCAAGAATGACTTGCTCCAAGTGCTCAAAACACACCATAACAAGGGTGTTGTAAGGGTAGAAGAAGATCTAGCTGCCAACGCTTTCTGCAAATCATTGGGTGCATTCGCTGAAGTACGTACTACATCATAGTTCTCGCATGTTACTTGTTTTTGGGTGGGGTGCTTGCCAACACTCCCTCAAACAGGATTTGGCACAAGACGGGTGGGTCAGAATCTTGTCACGACAAAAGGGGACTGGCAATCCGGCCAGTATATGGTATGATCCTTGGTCTCAGAGTGAAGAGTGTCGGACAGTCATCATTTCAGCTGGCAAGTTTTTCTTTGAAAAGTCGTTGTGGCTTTTTTGTCCAGATGGTGAAGTACATGTCTGACTCCTATTCTCGTTGGTTCACTTAGCTGATCTTGCACTATGGGAGTCGATGCGAGTGGATCCTGAACATGTTGACGAAGAGTTGAAGAAGCGTAAGTTCGTTGATTGATGTCACGTCTGCTCTAAAAAAGCTTCCATGTTCTTTTTTGCTCACTACCGCTCACCTTCGTTCCTAGTCGAGTTGACAACGATCGCAGTCGCCGAGCAACCAAAAGCAAAGGCACCTGAACCAACAAAGAAGAAGGGGAAGGGCAGTCGTGGGATGCGGGGAGTCAAACTCATGAACACTCATTTGACCCTCGACTGGTTGGAATTCATGCAAGCGCCAACACGCAAATAAATTATTAGAAAGGGAAACTTAGATGTCAAACGCATATGCAATTTGCACAAAATGTTATATATTCTGAATGGACGAATGGGATCCCCCCTACTTGTAAAGAAAGATAATAAAATTTATGGAGGTACTTCCCTCTTATTTGCATCGCAAACGACCTGTCGATTGCTTTACTGAGCACTGAATTGGGGGAGGGGGTTTCGTATAGCCGATTCCCATCTTGTACGGCATAGCCCAAGTTCGTGACTCTGATGGAATTGTGTCTAGTGCTGATTTCGAGTCTGATTTCGAGGTCCATCACACAGCATTGTGTTGGAATTGAGGCGCAATACACACAAGGCAAATTAATATAATACTGTTATTCGAGATATCATCGCTACAAATCTCATGCTTTTTGGAAACAATGAGTCTTTACAGAGTTCAAGTGTGCGGTCAGACAGAGAAAATTACAGCACGAGCAGCAAGTTTGGATCGTGAATCATTCTTCTTGCGTTCGTCCTCTGCCTTTTCAGCACGGATACGTTCCTCTTCAGCTGCATGGACACTTGCAATACGTTTCTTTTCTGCAAGTTGGGCGTCGATTTGTGCCTTGTTTTCAGCAATTGGGTTCCTATACCACATAACCAACTTCAGATGCTGCTCTTGTATCGAAATCAAAGATGCAAGACTTGTATCTTACTTTGCAGACGCATGCATCTGCTGCTCAAAAAACAATGCACGACCACTCAACCCAGTCGTTGCAGCACGTCCAGTAGCTGCAGTAGGTGCCTCGTTGACTGGTACAGGTACATTATCAGGTGCAGGAGCTGGTCCTGAAATCATCTATATCAACATCATGGAATATGTCAAATCGTTGGACATGCGATCCTTTGTTTTTTGTTGCACGCCAAAAACTCACAGCCAAGAAATCCGAAAACGATATCTTTCCATCCTTATCAGCATCAACTTCAGCAATAGCCTGTCTGACTTCCGTGGCAGTCTTGGCTTCACCTAAAGCTTCAAACATTCGCGATACTTCGAATTGGTCCATGAGGCCAGTGTTTGATGTGTTGTGTCTATATACAAGCAAAGAGTAGTAGAATATGATTTTTGTACAAGATTCGAGTCTCGTTTTGGTGGTCAACCCAAAAATGTCAAAACAACGAAAACTGCTCACTTTTTGAACAATGTACGAATTGTTTCGACAGTGTCTCGGTCTACATTCTTGAACCGTCCATTGTCAAATAAGGTGATGTCGGCGTATGAAGAGTCTGGGTTTATTGTCGTAGGGCGTTGAAGAGCCATTGTTTCTGTTGTGGTGTCTGAAGGGTGAAAAAATTGTTAGGTGATTTCAGCAAAGTGACGGTGATGATCGCGACACTTACTTACCAAGTGTTTTAAAATGAAGACAAGTATGCTTGCGAAGTACAAAAATTGTGAAAATGAGTTAAGAGAGTTCGCTTTGTTGCGGGAAAGTTTGTGACGAGGGTTTGCGGCGGTTATTTGAGATAACCCAAACCTGAAAACAAAACACACTCCGAGCACTCGCCAAGCATCGTCAAAAGGAGCAAGAATATTGAAATGGTAAAGAAATGTATATATATATATATATATATCTTTTATTACAAATCTGAACTAAAACCAACCACTTTTCCGACGCACTCACAAACCCCCTAACCGTTACCCCTCCTTATATACATTCCTACGTGTTGACAACATCTTGAGTGATATCCGTAAAAGGCGCACGATTCGAAGAATTCTTTCGAGATCGTGTCGACTTTGCAGATGATGGAGTTGTGACTGTCGTAGTAGAATTGCGTGATAAGCGTGACAAGTCAAATGTACCAGCATCGCCATGTCGAAGCTTTGTACGCAGAGATGGAAGAGTATAGTTGACGGACTTGCCACGAGTGATACGTGTCAAGGCCACTGTACAAAAACACCCAAGAGAGAATGTGTTGGCTATACTGAGTGACTTGATGGGAATCATAACACAAATACTTACAGTTTTCATCAGTAGGCGAAACACTTGAGGAAGCTCTAGGAGCTACTATGCTAGCAACGGATTTAGGCATAGGAGTGTGTGCACGCTTCTTCTTAGACTTTGCAGCAGCCTTGACCAGTCCTGGAGTCACTATATGTTGTGTTGTGTGTTGTTATTGCCATCGGAGGTGAAATGTAGTTCTTCTGTTACTGAACAATCACATACCTGCTACCTCACTATCACCTCCTGGAGTATGAGTAAGGTTCTGGGGCTGCTTGTTGACTGTTGGTGAAAACACCACTGGTACGACTATCTCTTCATATACAACGTCCTTCTTCCTTCCAGGACTCTTATTATGAGACTCTCCGTCTGTCATGATAGCTTCCTTTTGCAGATCAGTGACATCGGTCTGCTCCAAACTATCATCGTCGTCTAGAACACTACTCGATATATCCTTAGCAGCAGGTTTTAAAGCTCGAGGAGCAGGAGTTCGAGCTCGGCGACGTCGTTTGGGTGGAGACTTTGGAATGGGATCATTCGACGTCGTAAGCTGCGAAGGCTCTACAGGCTCTTCCGATGGTTCAATGACTTGCTCCACGAGCTGCTCATCAACAAACTGCGAGAGAGACGGTGGAGGCTCGTCTAAGTTCCTGGTGATTTGGGGCAAGAGTCCCTGAGGATCATGTGGAGTTGTCATGCAGTGCATCGATGCGATTTCATTACGGAGTGGCGATGGATGGATGGATGTGCGTAGGTGCTCCAACATATTGCGACCGGCGTAAGGTGTCATCGAGGCATCAAAGGATACAGGCGAGCATAAGTCCATGGATGTTTCGCCATCATTGGTTGATGGTGAACCATGTGCCTCACTTACATACTGACTAACTATTTCAGTAGCTCGTTCAAGAGGTACTGTTGGAGGCATTGATGCTGGAATAGTTGGCACGATGGCTTCTATTTCGGTACTGACTTGATGGGCCAGGTTATCAGGAGCATCATAAAAGTCACCGTTACTAATATTGGATTCCTTTACAATAGGCTGTTTCGAAGGTGTGTTCTCGAGAATATCATCATCAATCAAGAGACTATCCAAAGCTGCTTGAATCACCGCATCTGCATGTTCAAGCTCGTCCTGCAACAGCAATTCCTCTGCATGAGTTCTACCAGATTGTTCTTCGTCATACTGTTCTTCAGGTATGGACTCCAAGGTACTCCAGAGCTTGGAAAGTCCTCTATTAATATGCTGAATTAGATTCAAAAACTACTAGTGAGAACAAGCCTTTCAACTCGACAATACCGACACGGCGATACGCCCATCTTAGATCTCCATGTGCTGCTCTTCAATTCTAATATGCCATCAGCTGCATCCACTTCATCAAGAAGTTTTTCGTTCAAAGGCGATGTATAGATTGGAAGCTATGAAGGCGTAAGGTATTGGTTTGCTTTGCTGCATTGATTGGTGTAAGCAAGACACATACTGATTCTAGATGAGCTCTGACTTTGCGCAGCGAAGGAGAATGATCTTCTAGACCTCCATGTTGTAGAAGTGTTTCCGAGACTGACATTGAAGAGACGTGACTACTTAGTTAGGAATCGTTGCAAGAGAGCCGTACTCAACGAAGATCAAATCTACCGTACTCACCACTCAACGAAGCCAAAGCACGTGGTTTGAGCAGCGACTGAAGCTCTGGAATGACTTTGGATTCCACCATAGCTAGTTTCGTCTTGACGACAGTTGTAAACGAATTCATGATGTCCAGTGTCGTTCTCGATAGATCCTATTAAATCACAAGATTGAGATGAGATGCGACGATCCATCTTGGTATTAGTTCAAAACGAAGCTTACTTGAATGGCATTAAACTTTTCCATTTGCATCTTGCATTCAAGACTCGTTTTCTCCATTTCACGTTCTTCAGCCTACAACAGATACAAAAGGAAGAAGATAATCAGCAGGATGCGCAAGCATTAACTTGCGACAGAGTTTTCGATTTTCTCCTACTTGTAAGGTAAGCTTTGTCACCTGGCTGCTCAAGTCCAGAGTTTGTGAAATCAAGTTCAATCTTTCTTGTTCTAAGCGCCTCAATTGTGTAGCATACAGCGCATTGACTCTGATAATGTCGCTGTTTTGCTTTTGGTATCGTTTCCTCACTAGTATAAAGCGTAGTTTGTGAGTATCGTGATGTCCATAAGCAAAATGTTTGATGTAGTGATCATTACTTGGCTCGACATCTCCCTGGAGAGTTCTTGCCATAGACATATTTGCTGCTGGCAAACGAGCCGACTCTCCAAAGTTGCCAGCCTTAGCCTAGTTGGTGAATGTTTTTGCCAAGTTTGAATGATTTGGCTGGCATCCTCAAAGCTTGCTCACCTTGATGATGGAAGGTCGACTGACACCGCGATCAAGGACATTTAAAGGCTCTCTGAAGGCCAGCTTACTGTCCATGTCCAAGGTCAATAGGAAATCAATTAAAGAACTAACTTGATTTGTTGTGTCGTGATTTAGCCATTTCAGCACTTCAGCACTCAGATTCGAACGCGAAGCGACGCGAAGAGCTCATAAGAACGTGACGAATAGCAAAAAGAAATTTCGCACTTAAGCTCAGATCGTACAACTCGCTACGCTTACCAAAAATGTTTGTCGCAGTATTCCCTGCTGTAGGATACAAACAGCAGTGGTTGCTTCAATGGGAATCTATTGAAGATATCCTCAAACAGACGTAACAAAATAAATGGCTGACAGAGCTGTCATTACTATACTTACCGTGGATCCAGCGATTTTTGGCACTAGTACGCGTCATGAAACCACTTGAAACCTCTGGTAAAGGATGGTCCTTTGAATAACGGGATTTGCAGTGTGAAAAGGTTGGTAACGTACAAGGCGGGGTACTACCAAAAAGTATTCGCCGAAAAGCCTGGGAAGGCAGTGTATTGTCATAGTAGCAAGGATTCTTTTTTTCTGTTGGTTGCAGATGACAGCGCCTGTTGGATAGCAGCTCCTTTATAACCTCGTCCTTCCACCATCCATTCAGTCCCTTCGTCACAGTCTCGTAACACAGTGCTGCCAATTGGTGATGGGTGATCTTCTATATTCTGATGTCGAGACTTGACTGGCTGATCCACATACGTTTTGCCAGTCCTCACGTTCATCTAGCTTTCTTTACGCGTTCGAAGATGACAGATCCATATTTCATATGATAGCTGCCAGCTAGCGTGCTTGGTCTTGCATCGTGAATATTGTCAACCTTGATCACATTTCAATTCCGAGCAGAGTTTCGTAAGGTGGCATTCCACGCACCGAAAATTTTAATTGTTGGAGATATTAAAACGAATTTTCCAAAGCTCCATTGACTGCGAGTAAGTCTTGGTGCTGGTGTAAGCTTGCGACTTGTTTTTTGATGAATGTCTCGTCATTTTGGGTTGCAAAGAGGGATTAGATGCAGCTTGGAGGGGAAAAATTTGGATTAAACTCATGTCAAGAGTGCATTCGATTGAGCCCTTTGTTGTCTTGCTCTTTCTGGAGCTTGGTGTCAACCAGCATCACAACATTTTGAATCTACGTGCAAGTCAAGACAAATTTAAGCTCAAGAGTTCTGATACCAATTTATTTCTACCTCAATTAGTAACCTGAAAATATGGGCAAGAAAACTGAAAAGGAAAAGGCGTTGGCTGGTGAGCTATACAACGCCAATGACAAGGAGCTCGTAGATGATCGTGAAGCTTGCAAGAAATTGATTCGCAAGTACAATCACCCTGATCGAGAAAGAGGTACATCGCTGTCGCATTTAGCATTGCTGACTTTCGATCTGCACTATTGGATTGTCGGTCTTCTGACGTTACAGTGTTTGCTTTAGAGGAATTACCAAAGATTTTGAAGGAGTTGCTTGTTGATGATGGAAAGACGGATCCACCATTCATAGAACCTCCATTTTACTGTGATGTACGCCTTGCTTGATTCGGTTTCTTTGAACACGCTGTGACACTGTCCCATTCATTTCCATTTTTTCTTAGTATGGGTACAACATTACATATGGCAAGAACGTCTACATGAATCACAACTGTATCATCTTGGACTGTAACAAGGTATTGGAACCTGATCAGGTTTTGAGTATAGTCTCGCATCCAAAAACTCACATCATCTGATGCCAAACCTGCATACCAAGGTCACAATCGGTGACAATGTGATGTTTGCTCCCAATGTCGCTATCTATGCTGCAACACACCCACTTGAAGCTGAAATTCGAAGGGATATGGGTCCTGAATTAGCTTTCCCTGTTACTATAGGGTTAGCGTCATTACGATTCCGCTTCTTATCAGGATATCATAACAGCCCTTTCAACCATACTGTAGTTCCGACGTTTGGATTGGTGGCAACTCTGTGATCCTGGTATGCATGGGTTTGTGACTCGGTTCGATCTCATGTTCCGTGGAAAGCTTCCTGACTGATAGCAATGCTGAATGGCACGAGCCGAGTACTTTGATTTCTCTCACAAATGCTTATCAATCCAACCTTTCTTATTATCTCTAGCCTGGCGTAACCATTGGAGATGGAGCTGGTACGCGTATGGAGACTGTTGCGACAATTGAGAACTCCATTTAACACAATATTCTTTTGAAGTTGTGGGTGCTGGAAGTGTAGTAACCAAGGATGTTGCTCCCTACACAGTAGTTGTTGGTGTGTATTGAGCTGCTTACTCGTGATATTGCCTTTGATCTCTGACTGAAATATGACAATAGGGAATCCCGCACATTTCCTGAAGGACATTCCGCGTGAAAAGGAAAAGAAGCCTGTATCCAAGAAGAAGGCAGACGAGAAGAAGGTAGAAGAGAAAAAAGCCGAAGAGGCTGAAGTGACAGAAGAGGCAGAAAAGGAAGCTCCCAAGAAGCGAACTTCCAAGAAGAAGTCATCGGACGAAACTGAAGAGCCAGAAAAGGAAGCTCCCAAGAAAAAGAAGCCTAAAAAGTAATTTGTGTATTGATATTCGCCAAACAAAATATAGATAGATCCATTTTAGGTTTGGTACTTCATCGTGTGTTGACCTCGTTACAGGCTTTCGCGTTCTGAAGGCCAATCGCTTTCAGTAAGCAAATCAAAATAATTATAAAATAATAACATTAATCAAGATCTATTCCACGTGGCATGATCGCCCAGTCACCGTTCTGAAACAACAGCAACCTTCTTGAAACTTTCCAAACATCATATCCGCAGCAACCAACTCATTGAACGAAAACGCCCCATATGAAAAAGTAAGAAAGAGGGTAAGCAGTCGATAGACAGTCATATATTACCTTGAATCTTCATTCTTCCATCATGCAAACTAACTTGAATCAACTCAAAACTAATTAGAACAAGAATGTTAGCAGCCGACGTGCCAAACTACTTGCTACCCGAGTATGACCCATCAAAAGCCACGACACCTGAGTTGATGCGTATACTCATAACTCATGATGTCCCTCTGCCTCCAAAGAAAGAGAAAAAGGAGGTCTATGTAGGCCTGTTTCAGCAGCACATTGTTTCTCGACGAGGGCAACTGATTGCTGAATATACTCGACCAGTCCATGCCACGACTCCACCTGGACCTGGTCAAGCTTCTATATCCACTCCTATCACCGAAAGGAAACGCAAAACTGGAAATAGTAGAGCCTCATCCTCGAAAGCTCCTATAAATGTTGACGACGATGATGAAGAAGTCAACTTCTCCGATGATAATCCATTCCAGAGTGGTGGTGAAGAGTCTCCAGAGAAGGCGGCTGATCGCAAAATGAAGCTCAAACGTCGTAAATCTGTCGCACCACCAGGAACTGCAGGAGGAATCATATTCTCAGATGATGAAGCAACTACTCCTGCTAGTGCCGTTAAACGAAACACATTAAGGAACAAAACAGGAGCATCGCCACAACCATTCATGTTTAAGACAAGAACTCCAGATGTAAACTTTAGTAAAACAGGACTCGATGGACCATTTGGAGCTGAAGAAGGAAGTGGAGGAAACGGTGCTGGTGCTCCGTCTGGTAGTAGTAGGAAAACAACCAAACGACAACCTGCAAAGCCTCGTCAACGAGCTGCGCAACGAGCATGGACGGATGATGATGGTAGTAGTAGTCCTCCTAAAACTACGGGTAACATCATAGAACTTGAAGACTGGAAGTCTGTATTGCCTTCTCCTACTACCAGAATCGCTACTCCCAAACCCGCAGCAACACCAACAGCTCAACGAACCGCTCTGAAGAAGGCCGTACCTCGAAAAGAAAGGAAAGAGGACAAGCCAAATGAAGTCACAGCTGCCAATATGATATTTAGGGTCGTGGTCTCTGTCTTCATTATATTGTTACTGCACTGGTTGTATATGGTAAAGGATACTATTGGGTATTGTGAACCATCGAACTCTTATAATAGCAATAATCTGGAAGCCATGCACGGTGGAAGATGGAATCCCCTCGTGCATGTATTACCCTCACATCTTTGCTTATCCTGTCCGACCGGTGCAACTTGTGTAGGAGACACAGTTTTATCATGCCAGAATCCCGAGCATATCCTTGAACCACTGTCTCCCATTCCAACGACCATATTCCCCCTCAACTATATGACCTGTGTTGAAAACAAGTATAAACTGGCTACCGAAGCTCGTCAAGCTCAACAAGTAGACCGCCTCGTATCTCACTTGGACCAGGTGGTCAGGTCATGGATTGGACGAGCTCAGTGTGGTGAGTTGAGTGCTGATGAAGCAAGCATGATACCTGCATGGGCTAAGGATAATGGACGAGTGTGGGGAATGCCACCTGCAGAGGCTAAAAGGCAACTACAGCTAGCCATAGGTCAGAAATGGTCATCACAGCGATTTGAAGAGCACTGGGACTTGCTTCTTCGTCGTATAACACCCGGTAGTAGCACTCATTTACCAGCAGCAGCAGTACGGACGGCATTTGATAAAACAGGGCGTCATTTATTACTCGTTTCGTCACTCGAACCAATTATATCCTTCTCGTGCCGTATCAAATCCTCGGTGTGGCAAACCATCCGTACCTACTCTACACACTTGGCAGTCACGTCTCTAGCATGTATCCTAGCTGCCGTGTGGTATGATAAATCGGTAACGACCACTCGAGAGTCCAAAATGATAGGATCTCTTGTTGACGACGTGCTTAATAGTCTAGCTCAAGCAAACGAACAACACCAAGACGAACCAGATCGTTATCCTTTACCCGGTATCACTGTAGACCAACTCCGAGATCATTTATTACCAGTACCCGTCCATCGTAGAAGGCTCTGGACTCGCACATCTGGTAGCACAGGTGAACAACAAACCAGTAAAGATGTAGAAGGACGTACGAAATGGCATCTAGATGATGATGCATCACGAGAACGCATATGGAAGCAAGTCAGTGATGTGGTGACACGTAATGCCATGGTACGAGAAACTAGTATGGAAGTCAAGGGCGAAATGCACACTATTTGGCAATGGATTGCAAATGATGTCTTGTCGCCACGTCGATCAAGTAGCATGGGAAATTTAACGAGTATGGGTAGTAGAGCTAGTGGATTTGGTGGTGGATTCGGTGCTGGTGGAAGTGGTGGAGGAGCAAGTGGTAGCAGCGTTGGTCAATATGGATCGCCTGTTGTCCCAGCCCTTGCGAAGAGATTGTCAACCGCTCAACAAGGTCAGGAAGCTGGTCAAATTACATCTGGTCCTGAAAATTACCCATCATTGTAGGATTGTAAACTAATGTATATGTAGAAAACTTGCAGCTTTCTTTTTTTACCAAAATAAAACACGCATTATTCTATTATTCGCTGTTACTGTATGCAAACAAAAAGCGGGTGACTTGGCGAGCTTTTGCTCAATGCTTGTCAGTTGGTTTGGCCGACGCACTTCCTAGAAACGAATGCAATCCTCCTTCTTAGCGAAAGGGCTAAAGCTCTCAGTGGTCCAGTGTCCAGCAGCATGATCGGTAGCAGCAAAGGCAGTCTCGCAGTGCTTGCTCTGCGCAAATGTTCAGAACATGAAATGTTTGGCACAGTTTCAGCACAAACACAACCCAATTATGGACGAGTTGCGTAAGTTAAACAAGGAATTGGATTTATTTGCAAGTCAACGACCGATGCAGGTTGCCTCGGTTTACAATAGCCTGTTTGTGTCATCACATTGATAATGAGCATCAACGTTGATCTATATCTCCTTTTTAGCCAAACGAGATCTGCAGGTGCAAAGAGGCGAGACCACGATCAATGAGGACGGACAGGACTCGGATATTATGTGGAATGCTGATGATATGGTTTCAGTCAGTCAGTCTGTGAAGCTCAACACAATTGACTTCATGAACTGGACCACTGGATTGTATTGACAAGCACTCTATTCAGGTAGAAAACGAATGGATTTCTTATTTCACATGATGTGCTTGCTGGATGAGGCACGCTGCTCGAATATTACTTTGCTTCATGGGCACCATTACATGACAGGACCTCAAAGGAATATGAAATGGTTGATTTCTCCTTTGATTCAGTATGATATTAGAATTGGATGCCAGCGTACACTGGTTAGTAACCTTATGGACTTTGGCAGGCCATCGGATGCGTACTGAAACAGTTTAACATATAGTGGTGTTGACGATCTACTTGTTTGTACTCGTGATTTCGCTCTTTTTTCACAACATGGAATGATAACTTGAACGGTGAAGCTTCTGTGGTGCTTCTCAATCTAGACTTGCAGGCTAAGAGCAAGAAGTATGTAATCAACAATAAAAATGTACTAGTCGTTGGATAACAAATGCATCTAGAAAGTCTGACGCTGTTACAACACTCTTATAGTAATTATTCATATTATTCTTGTATCCAAGTCGAGACACGTTTGGCTGGAATGCAGGGAAAGGCCATGCGATGTATCGACAGACGCCAAGACTGTTGGGCTATTCTTGGGCTGGTGCCTGCACGTCAAACCACGGTAATGTAGCTTCTACAGCACCGTGTTTATGTTTCAATGCCAGATTCTCATTGGGTGGTGTTGGAGTGACCGAGTCAAGTACCAAGTTTTGGCAATGAAGGATTCAACGTTGGCAAGATATTAACTTGCCAAAAGATCAGCCTCTTGTAGTGGAGCGATGTATGTACATTTAACTACAGAAGGTCGCCAATGTCTTCGAAGGCCACATCGTCTAGAGCTTCCACGTCGTATTTACATCATAGTGCTGGTCACACGTCAATTGATTGGTCTGAAGATCATATTGCTAAAATAGTTGCCTGAAAGGAATGTGGAGGAGTGGAATTATGGCTAGTCTTTCGAACGCTGCATATGAGAACCGTTTTGGAAGACACGAGTAGTCGGCGCTTTGGAAGGTTGCATATACGAACAATTTTAGAAGATACGAGTATACAGATACTGTAAGTTTGATACAACAAGAAACCATGCAGTTTCGACGCCAAATATCGGGACCTGTCTGGTTTATAGAGCAGACCCGTCTGCTGGTCCATTAGATGAATGGATACAAAGAACTTCCCGATCCCGTCATTCCCATTCCCTCACAGGACGGTGTCCTGATATTGGGGCATTGGATGACTTGATTTATATGTTTTTTTTTTCCTGGGCAAGTCTCTTCAAGCATTTGCAGATGATCTTGATGCCATTGTTTGATGTGCACGCGATGCCTTGTGGGAATATTTCTGCTCAATTGTTGGAGATATCAAGAATCTCTTCTCTGTAAGCTCATGAGGGAACCCCTCCATATCATTTTTTGGCACGAATGACTTACCCGTTTCTACTAGTGTGTACAGAGTGGTGCTCTGGATGCCACCACGCTATCTTGTTATCATTCAGGCGATGCAGTCAGCTTCCGTTAGAGGTGAATTTGCAATTCGTTTGTTGTAAAGAGAGTTTTGAAATCGAGGACTGTGAGGTTTGTCGAATTCGGTTTGCCAGGCGAAAAGGGATTATGAAAGCGAGCCTCATATTCCTTACTCGTAGACTGACAAAGCGCTTTCGTATGGCATGATGAGGTGCAAATGGTGATTCGTGTTGTCGCTGTAACTCATTGTAACTATCAAAGAGGGCATGAAGCACCTCAAAGAGAAAGCAAAATCAACAGATTGCTGGGTCGCTAACTTCTTTTTGTTTTTTATAGGAATCGGTCTGATATGGCTGAAGATTGACATGGAGCTCTCATTTCTTTACACAGTTTGGACGCGATCTTCCACGTGAGAGCTGGGCTTCCATCTCTGTTTATTCATTCAACTATTGCTGCTAGCCGAAGACGCGGCTGTAGGAGATGGCACTACTTCTGCAACGAGAATGGGACGGAAAGATCCTGCTTCTGCCTGTCCTTCTCCATCTCTCTATCATCAGTCAATGCTCAGGTAAACGGGCTGTTCCTCTCTCAGATCTCAGTCAGATCTAGTCACAGATCTGACAGCATCGGCAAATGAAGAAGAAAGTTTACAAGCCATGATTCGAGCAACCAGAGAATGCTGAATGTGGGGAATGTGGTATTATTTTGGCATCTTTGGCTATGCATCTTTTGCTACGGATGTTACTGGGCGTCAGAATGACGGAGGTGCTGCAGTAGAAGCAGTGATCTACTTTGGTGAATACGAACATGTGTGTACCCAGACAAAAGACTTCTACCTGTGGTTTCTGCAAGCTTTGCGCTTTCGCAAAAGCCGGTCGCCGTGACTCGATTTCTTGACTTGGACGTGCTTGTCAGCGGGTGCTGACAATAATAATAGAGGGAGACCCCCCATATTGAAAGCGCAACCGTCGCGTGAGCTGATGATTGCAATATATGTGGACGTAATGTTTATTTGGCCAAAATAATATAGTGGTCAGGACAGCAGTAGTGGTTGCATTCTTCTTACCCCTGAGATCCAATAGAAATGATTTATTTGAGTACACATATACACCGTTATGAGAGCCACAGAGTCATAGAAGTCTCAAATATGCCGGAGTGAAAACAATGACAAAATGACGAATGGTTATGAAATCCTAGTTCTTTGCTGACCTTGAAGACTTTTGACTAGTTTCGGTACTTGACAAGGAAGCTAGATACATATATTGTCAGTAGTACTCACAGACTAATCACCTGTTTTCACCAAACATGAGTCGAATCTAGTCCCTTTACCAAATCGCCAAATCTTGCATTAACGATGACGGCTAGTGCTTGGTTCCTTCGAGCCCCAAAGTAGTCACCTGGCTAGCATCGATGCATGAATGGATTACGTTGATCCCGTTGCATTTTCCCAGCGGGAGTGGAATCTGGTCTCCCTGGCCTCGGGAAGAGCGAGGGGATGGAGATTCTTGTTTTAGCAATGCGTGATGTTTAAGACCAACCAGGAGCAACAAGCTGTCACCGTTGTTGATGAGGCGTATCGGATGAACGTGGAGTATCTTGGTGGTGTTTCTGAGTGATTTGGTGAGGGTGCTGGTGTGAAGCACGTAAGTGTAGTGGCATTGGTGTCTTGATCGAGAATCGCCTCGGAATGAGGAGTGCTTGAAGAGGATCTCCTCGAGACTAATGTAGCTAAATATTCTCTGCTTTAAAACGACACCGAGTGGAAGATCTATGTCAGACGGAAGGAATTATCACGTGCTCGAGCTTTAAAGTGGAGCTTGGGGACGGAATGTTTCGAGAAACGGACTGTGCTGCAAAATATGGTGATGTCACCTATTCGGCAGCTCATCTATGCTTTCTTGGTAGCTCGCCCCTTCGACGTGCTTGCTCGTTCAAGTGTTCAATGGGCTGGGAAATCAATTGTCGAGTTATCACTGCCGGAAGTTCTATAACGCGTCGGATTTCTTGGAGACGTGACAGGCTGGCCTGGGAATTTTTCTTATCGATAAGATGGAGCCACTGGCATGTGAAAATTGTTCTCATTGGTGGGCAGGATTTTTGTTGTCTTTCATATCAGCCCTGACGTATGTGGTCTCGGATATGTTATGGAACGATATCGGACTAATCGGAGTCTGGGGTGATCTTTCTTGCGGTCGCAGACCAGCGTTAATTTAAGCAATCAGTCCTTATGTGCGAGTGATGGCGAGAAGAAGCATATATAAGCAGTGTAAAGTGATGATTGTCGCAATACATACTACATTTTTTAGATTCCAGCTCTATTTCGGTCCAATAACATTCAATACCTTATCTTGAAAACCGTTTTTGGAAACTATAACCAGTGGTAGCGAAGTTGCATCTCCCTTCCATACATATCGATCTTGATATAGATGCAGCGATTACCCTGCTGCTCATGGTGTCATGTGTGATCTAGACACACATATGCATACAAGTGGCCAACTTTTGGATTCAACGACCAGCCATGACCTATTCTCATCTCCTCGTGGTCTTCGGCGTATCGTAAGGTGCCATGCCGTTTATGGCGAGGCTGCGACGGCTCACGATAGGCAGAAGTGATGTTGAGATGGCTTTGTCTCCGTAGACTGCTCCACCCTTGATTACATGACGTGGGCTCGGTCGAGTTTAGAATTTCCAGATAGGTGGAGAGGTCTTTGCACATCCTCGAGGCACCGTGCAAAAGTCCCTACAGTCAAGGATTTACAGATCCTCGTCGACGTATTCCAGAAAGGCGGATTCAACCTCGCATTATTGTAATCCCCAACCAACCAAGGAAGCACATACCAGATTTTCTACCCAAGTGTTTTGGAGTGACTTTCCCACCTCTCAGGTAAAAACACTAGCTTCTAGAGCTCGTCAACCAAGCTTATTGTCTAAGAATTCAATTCCCGACACATTTGGGTCCTCAACAAACAAGCAACCGTTTGCATTATAGAACTAGTTCTCGACAAGATCTACCATTTTCGGCTATTCTCCCAGTCATCGCAACTAGTTGACACGATATATACCTCGGCACGACTGGACTTTTCGACATAAGCTCAACATCAGGGCTCGCATACCAAGACAATACAACAAACGCGGTGAGTTCCACACCATATCATTTTTTGAAAATAGTCATCCCGCACGTGAAGTGGGGATACAATCTTAAGCGATAAGAAAATTTTGTTGAGTTCTTGAACAGTGGAGCACTATCGATATGCAATAAAGTGATGACAAAATTGTCGTGCACTTTTTTAAAACACTTTTGGTGGATTGCTACATTGAGAATTTTTGGTCACACGCTCAGTGTTATAAACACTGTGTCGGGGAGGTCGATGACCTGCTAGTCATTGATGACTAGGTCGATAGCAACAATCGATCACGTTGCGTAACATGGCACTAACGACCTCCGCTTTTCGCATTCTAGATCCTCGGAAGGACGAAAAACATCACGCAACGTTTGACTCCCTCTATTCAGATTCGCTCTTTGTCTCGAAGAGCGTGATCAAGACTGCAGGCGGTCGAAATCCATACCTGATCTTGAGTTAACGTCCTCCTTTTCAAGGTATGTTGGTGTTTCGGAAGCACATGTTGGTGACTCAGTTTCAAGCTCGGTCGTTCTGCTTCTTGTATCCTATTCGATTCGTATTGCATATACAAGCTACTCGATGTCATTCACTGCAAACACGTTTCTAACCACATCTCAATCAGATAGAAACCCCGCTCGCCAAATATGCCTAGCCAATCCCTCACACCAGACGCAGACAATATGGCTTCTACCATAAATGAATCCATCGAAATGCAACAGCAACACAACCACCCAACAACCAGCTATACCTCATCGTCCTCAAGCCTCTCGAGTCTGTCGTCATATGCAGTATATGACTCACCTCCCAACACCAGTATACCATCAACCCCGCAACAAGCCCACACCACAACCGACAACATATCTCTCGAATATAGTGAGCAAAGCAGTAACGCAGGTGGTGAATCTGAATCTGATGACGTCTCTGTCACTGATCCAGATGAGGTCACTGAACAAGTCAAGCAGCAACCAGCTCGAATACCGTACTTGCCAGAGTTATTAGCACAGTATCAGATCGGTGGTGAATTAGGACAGGGTGGTTTTGGATACGTATGTGAAGCTAGACGGAGACGGGATTCAGCACCGGTTGCTGTCAAGTTTATATTCAGGGACAAGATACCTAGTAGTTCGTGGGCTCGGGATGCTGATTTGGGAGTGGTGCCTATGGAGGTCTTTATACTCAAAAATGTATGTGCATTCACCTTTCCTTCCAATTTTTTGCTCAAATTTCAACTCTCTAACCTTCTTTTCCCTTCAATTACAGGTGCAACACCCAAACATAATCCAATACGTCGACTCCTTCGCAGACGCCAACTTTGTCTACCTCGTAACCGAACTCCACGGCGCCCAATGGGCATCCACAAAACCAACACCAGACTCGCCTTTCCCAACACCACCAGAAGAATTCGTTACCGGCACCCCAACTAGCGATATCTCCATCGACCTGCCAACACCATCACTATCACGTAGAACATCCTGTGACTTGTTTGAATGCATCGAGCAATATTCCTTCTTCACAGAGGAACAAGCCCGACATGTATTTAGACAGATTGCATCCGCACTCTTCCATCTCCAGTCGCTCAAAATAGTACATAGGGACATCAAAGATGAGAATCTGTTGATTGATGATCAATTCAATGTCAAGTTGATTGATTTTGGAAGTGCTTCGTTTATACCACATGATTCAAGCAGGTTGTTTGATCGATTCCTTGGGTGAGTATCTTATTCAACCTTTGTTGAACGAGACATGAAAAAACGCCACATGGTATATATGAGTCACAAGCTAACTCTCAACCTCTTTACTCAGCACAATCCAATACGCACCACCAGAAATACTTCGAGGAGAAAAGTACCGTGGGCCAGAAGCCGAAATCTGGTCTCTGGGATGCTGTCTATACATAATGCTTAACGGAGAAGTGCCTTTCGAATCGCCCCATCAAGCGATTGACGGCCATCCAACACCATTACGAAGCCCTGTATCTCGAGACTGTGAACAGCTGCTGAAATGGATGATGGATAGACGAGCGTCTAGAAGAGCTACCATTCAGCAAGTATTGGCGCATTCTTGGCTCAGAATATAGCACAGCTGCTTGGGGGAGGATGTAGCCACGTTGTATAATGGTCGGGTATATATGTACAATGTACACAACTACGTGCCTGCCCAAAAGGCAACATATTGTTTTCCCTTTCTATCTCAACAACAACAAATATCTCTATACATTACTTACTATACCCTATATATAATAAAGAAAGAAAAGTACATATTATCAAAACAAATAAAATCTTTTAAATACTAGTTCAAATCCTTGGTCGTGTCTTCGTTCATCTTTATCTTGTACGGTCACGACGGGTATTAGTAATTCTAGTCAACGGGGAAAGTTCGGCCGTTCGGCCTAGTCCTGCTGCGCGTGCAATCCATTTGAAAAAGCATAAAGGCCATGTGTCATCGGCCATGCATGTTGTGATGCTCCAAACAAGATTTCTGAATCCCTCAAGTGAAGTAATCGTTATCCTCTCGTATCAGCACAATACGGTCGGCTATCTCTACAAACGTCCTTCCTGCCGTTTTGCTTTTTCCACTTGTAGGGGCTTCTGTCCTGTATGTTAAATTGCTTGGACCCTGTAATATAAGATGGTAGCTTTTGAGAGCGAGGACGATACCGGGCGGTGAGATAGATAAGGGATGGATACATTATTGGGCAAATTACGGTGGAACAACTTCAAAACCATGTCTCTTTCCTTGACAGGAACAGGAGGAACGTGCTCTTGTTGACTTGTTGTAAATCTGGATTTTGGCTACTCTGGCCGACGCAAGATCTTGTGACGGTCAAGTAGTTCTCGGCATCCTTTAAGTATGTACCGAACGTTGATGGTGCTAGAATGCATACCTCTATGTAAGGCACGGCTCCAGTCCTCGTTGTTCCTTGTTGCAGCCTAGTGGCTTGTCTCGTTCAACGCTGGCCGCAATTTCAGCTCCAGTTGAATGTCAGCTCCTAAGAAAGAACGTAGACACCACCATCTCGTCATTCACGTATAAATAAATAAGATCGCAAGTCTCACATCATCCGGGACTAGACAAGGTTTCGGTGTTTATTTGCTCTTGCGTTTCCATCTACAAAACAAAAAAGTCACAACATTTACTGCTTTTCCGGAAATCAAGCCCCCCCTGCAATGACTCCTCGTATATTACGGACAGCACCGTCTGTAGCTACACTCAGCACCAAGACTGGACGATCTAAAGCAAGAGCTGCAACTCCTTTCAACTGTTTGGTATGTGTGTTTGCCAAGTTGGTTGCAATGTTTTTTTGAAGCTCCGACTCCATGAATTCCAGTTGGACTGCATAGAGGAAAGCTCAGCATTTATGGGCCGAATGATGATTTTGGCCTTCATAAGCCCTCGTTTGGTCAAATGGCGACAAACATTTTACATCCACACACACAACGTCACTGTTCTCATTTCCATTCCTTTAGGTATGTGGACATGCAAGCAGTGGCAAATCTGCTCTGATAAGAACGCTGTATGAGATGTTTGACGTTACGGGCATTTGTTTCTTTGACGAGAATGCTAATGTGGATGGAAATATCCTGCCACCTTCACATGTAAAGGCTGGTGTTGCTCCTGCCCCGGCTGGTATCGAGTAAGTTTTGTTGCTATCGCTGTACTGCTGTTGCTGTCGCTGGTGCTTGAAGTGATGAAAGGATCAGTGGACTAACAAGGACAGCATCTTTTTTTTTGGGTGAACTCACCCTTCTCTCGTCAATAGGTTTATAGCAGAAGGAGGCTCACGAGTAGCATGTCGATTCTACGAGGCTGAATCCCTTAGTTTGAGTTCATCAGGTCTTGACCCAGCTGATGCCAAAGCAGCTACTGAACTAGGTACGTCTGTTGCTATTGGTGTTCACTTTTTTTCGCTCGTCTAATGCACCCATCTCAACAGGTACAAAGTGGGCAACCACCATAAAACAATTCCTCGAAACCCAGTTCGCCTCCACCTTGAGTGAACAAACCAAAGTAAAACGAAACCCACGTCAACAAGATACTCAAATCCACGCTGCCATATACATGCTGGATTCTCTCACCATCCTGGCTGCTGGCGGCCTTACTGCATCAGATATAGCAGCACTCACGATATTGGGTACACGAGCACCGATATTCTTGAGTATCGGACGCTGGGATGTCCTAAATCTTAAGCAGGGCGAGAAAGTTAAGGAGTGGGTTGCTAGAGACATTGTCGTAAACAAGATCCCCGTATATTCGTACCCAGAGCACCCTGAATTCGAGTATGAGGAGGATGCGCAGAGATTGAATAGCTATTTGAGGAGCATGGTGCCATTTACGGTTATCAATCATGATGTTGAAGGGCTGGTGAGTTCATTCTCTTCTTCTATTGAAGCTACATTTTTTTCTGTTTCTAAAAACATTACCATTTGCTAGGTCCCACCAACAGGCTCGTCCGTAGCTGCAGCCTTCGCATCGCTGCTAAACGGCAACGATACTATGAAACGAAACAAGCCTCATGACGGCGAGGACGATGAAGTCGTGCTTGGCCAAACATATCCGTGGGGAAGAGCAGAGACTGAAAATCCAAACCATTGTACATTATCGTTGCTGAGGAGAACACTGTTTTCGACCCATTTGGCGGATTTGAAGGCACTGGTTAATGATGTGTATTATGAGGATTGGAGGTATGTGAAGGTTGAGCCTTATTAAAGCATCTACCAGTGTGTCCCTTTTCGATGGTCTTTTGAACTAACCGCGGATTTTCGTCTCATGTTAGATTAAACCATTTACTCAAAGACGAAGGGTCTCAAACACAAATTGAACCTCATGAACTTGTTGCTACGTATTTGAGTAGATTGGCTGCTGCTGAGTCGGAAGAGTAGACAGAAATAAGTAAAACGAAATACTTCACCTCTTGAATGGGTGAAGATGGTAACATACATTAAAAAGGACGTCTTATTTGTATACAAAATGAATCATACATGAACTACATAGTTAAATATTGTGATTTCTTGTATTTTGCATTGGAGCTTAGCAAGAGTACGGTACAAGTCTCATATATGATTCGTATGATTGCTGAATGTGCATGCGCGTGTGGTTTCTCTTCAAGGAATCAATATTCCAATGATGCACGTTGTGGTCTTGTTCCTTGTCTTTCTAAGGGTAGGTCTGACAACGATGGGCAGCAAAAAAAGTAATATGTTCGTGAATAGAATCGGCAAAACGACAGCTCGCTTCGCATCAGTCCATCTAACCTTGATCCAGCGTGTGTTGAAGCATTTAGTGATTTGGATGCGTTCGGCGTGTCTAGGGGGGGGTTTGTTCCTTGCAAGTCATTAACTCCCCTATCAATAGGGCACAACACAAATTGCCCCCTTCTCTTCAACCCTCTCCGGAAAACAGTGACAAGACACCTAAATCCACGCTATCATGTTCATACTGAACCTCTCACAAGTGTCAATTCGGTGGTATTACTACCTCGAAAACATTCAGCTCTCACGATAATAGGTACAAGAGTATCAAGATTCTTACGTATTCACCTGTTGAATCTGAAGCGCTGTGAAAGAGTCAAGAGAGTCCGGCATGAGATGTAGTCGTGAACCGGATTCCACCTCAAACGTATCCGGTGTGCTTCGTGTATGATGTACAGAGACTGATGGGGAAATGAGGACTGTGCTGCGATGTTCTCCATGATGTTGAAGGGTCGGTGAGTTGCAGACCATCAGAAATGATCTGCGAACGTTTTTTTGACTCTGGCACTTTCCTTTTTGCACACACAATCCCCTCTTCAACAGCTTTCTTGGTAGCTGTAACACTTGCATCCCCTCCTCGTCAACGAAGAAGCAGAGTCAGAAAATCCAAATCGTTCTTGCATTGTCATTATTAAGGAGAAGTCTCTTTGTGACCCGTTTGGCTGCTCACAATGTTTGCTCTGAGCATTGGAGGATGAGGTTGCTGAAATCCTATGGTGCTGTTTGCCTGGATCGTTTTTTTCGTCTTCAGAGTTCAAGGCTTCGCTCAAAGACGAAGGCTCTCATACCCGAATAGAGCTTTACGAGCTTGTGTATACTAATTTGAGTAGATTGGCTGTGGCTGACTGTGACAAGCAAGCACTTCACTTCATGTAGACAAGGAATCGCCACATAGATTGGTCATATAGATAAGGCGTCATACTTGTATGGAAGAGTTTAATAAACGGATAAACGGTGAGCGGGTAATAGCCTTGTGATTCTCAATCACGCTGTTTATTTGAGGTTGGGCCAGAGTGACATTACAAAGTTGCATATTCATGGCTTTTGACAATGGCTGTGTGCGTGTGTACTATCTTGAAGGTATTGTATCTGAGGAATGCCTTTTGTATTTGGTTTCCTCCTCTATCGGAGGAATTGTTGGTAGACCTGCAGGGGGAAGGAAGAAAAAGGTCAACATCGTTAAGTAGATCATGACGACACCAACTCGTCTTCACTCCAACTCTCTCATTAGGATGTCCCTGTTCAATCACAAACCCCATCGAATTCATTCTAACACAAAATCCAACTCATTCGTTCCATTCACCAACGGAGTCATCACTGCCATCAAACCCCAAAAAAATGAGACGAGGACGACAAGGTATAACTTACAGCATTAGAAGTCTCTTCCACGTACGGATATTTCAAATCACTCAAGAATGCATCAAACTGCACATTGGTCTCTGGCGGCACCTGTATAGCCACCATGACCTTCCCAACATCACCTCCATAATTCCTATAATGAAACAGCGATACATTCCATTCACTCTTGAGCGATGCCAAGAAGTGTTCTAAAGCACCAGGTCGTTCAGGGAACGAAAACCTAAATAATCTTTCATTTTCCACTCCTTTACTAGTCCCGCTAGTACTGTTGCTGTTGCTGACACTACTACTGCGGCCACCAACCAGGTATCGAGCATGAGCTTTAGCCATCTCATTCTGTGATATGTCGTATGCATTCATTCCATTCGCAGTCAGATTACTTATGACTTGGACTGTTTCAGCGGGTCCCGATACAGCAAAAGACATGATGATGTGTGCTTTGGCATCATCTGAATACCGGTATGAGAATTCAGTTACGGCTCTCGGTGCGACTGTCTTATACAGTTTCATAAATGCTCCAGGCTGTTCGGGTATAGTAACGGATATCAAAGCTTCACGGAATTCACCCAATTCAGCACGTTCAGCGACAAATCGTAGCCGATCAAAGTTCATGTTTGCTCCGGATGCTATTGCTATAAATGTCTTGCCGGTACATCCAGTGAGTCCTACATATTTTTTGATGCCTGCCACACCAAGTGCACCAGCTGGTTCAAGCACTGATCGGGTATCAAGGAAGACGTCCTTTATGGCGGCACAGAGTTCGTCGGTTGATACGAGGATCATGTCATCGACATAATCTTGAGCTAGTCGGAATGTTTCTTCGCCGACTTGTCGTACTGCTGTTCCATCAGCGAATAATCCTACTTCGGGTAGCACTACACGTTGTCCGGCTTTCAGACTACGGGTCATGGCATCAGCATCGAATGTCTCTACACCGATAATCTTGATTTTCGGGTTTATACGTTTGATATAACTGGCTATACCAGCGAGTAGCCCACCACCACCCACACAAATAAATATAGCATCAATCTCGGTATGATTGTACTGTCGAAGTATTTCTAATGCGATGGTTCCTTGTCCTGCAATAACATATGGATCATCGAATGGCGGAATGTTGGTTTTACCCTCCTGAAGTGATAGGCGAGCACATTCGATCTTGGCTTCATCGAAATCGTTACCATATAATACAACTTCTGCACCTAACCTCTTGACATTCCTCCATTTTATTGGTGGTGTAGCCATGGGCATGACAATGGTAGCTTTTATACCCATCTTTTGAGCAGACAATGCTACTCCCTGTGCATGATTCCCAGCAGAGCATGCTATAACTCCCTTTTCTCGTTCTGCAGGAGATAGATTCATCATACGATTATACGCTCCTCGTAACTTGAACGAGAAGACAGGCTGTGTATCTTCTCGTTTGAATAATATCGTATTGTTCATTCGAGCTGAGAGATTGGTGGCTACCTGTAGTTGGGATTCGATGGCTACATCGTACACACGGGCTGTCAAAATCATATTTAAATAGTCGGGCAAGCCTTCTGATGGTTGACTTTTACATTCGGCGTCGGATAAACGATTTGGATTATGGTATATGGATGATTCGAATGGTGATCCTGGATCATCTTCGAAGCGTGGTGATGGTGATAACATTGGTGAAGCTGTACGTTTCAGTGGGTCTAGTTGCTGTTGTCGTGACGGTAAGGGTGTGAAAACCGATTGAGTAGAGCTACTGCTACCAGTAGCATCACTAGCTATTGGATGATACTGTGTTGCCTTGTCACCAACACTAGTTACAACCTGTGATGCAATTTCAGCGGTCTGAGGAGCAAGAGTAGAAGTAGCTCTAGATTGTAATGAAGGGACTATATTTCTGGTTTGAGTTCCACTTTGCGTCAGTTCTGGAGGTGGTGGTTGAAAAGCTACCATTTTTGTCCAAGTTTTTGATGTCACTGATTGTGATGATGATGTTGTTGTTCTATATGATACAGTAGTAGGATTAAGCCTTCTAAGCAAGCTACAAGTCGCTCTCATTCCTAACAAGATAGATGCGTTTGATGTCAGTTGAAAGGAATTGAATGAGTCAAGGTCAAACAAACAGAAAAAAATTTAGTCAGGCCTTATAGGAGATCAGTCAACGTACCCTATTGCAAGCGATTATATCGAAATCTGCTTGCTAACAACACCAAAGTCCTTTCTTTAAACCAACCTGCGACTGATATTGCCAAACAGCTCTGAAATTTGGCAAAAGTTTGAAATAGTCAAGGACAGCATGGACGCGACTACAGAACTGCTTGCTCGTGAATTCATTTGATCTGTCGGGAATCACATATATCGTTACAAATCACGTCGAGAACTTGTTATTTGCGTCCAATTCAATATTGAAATCAAAGCTCCAACAACTAGTGACAATTGACCTCGCATTGAAAATATTGTTTAATGCAGAACTATCCCTTCATGACGCGTAGAACGGCGAATACTTTCCTGTTAAAGATGGACTGCATCTCTTCATGTTCTTCATGCTTCTGAAATCGTACAATTCAAATCAGCAACATACAAGACCGAGAGAAAGGAATGGAGGACAAGGAGGAGCGCCATTCCTCCATTCACAGACAGGCTACTGATCGTTGGTATTTATCTATTCAATATGCCTTTGCATCCTTCGCTTACAACATTGTTAAACACAACTTGCCGTTTGTTCGATTTTTAAGTATTCGTGTCCCAAGATCCAAGTCAATTGCCATCCGCATCATGATTGCTGGATCGATTTCCATCCTACTTATTTAGGTACAGTACATCCTGGTCTTATTTGAACATTGCCATTTCGACATCAAAAATCACCGTCACACTCACATCCTCCTCCAACGATACCTAGGCATCCAGTACAAATCAAATATCAAGCAACGACCTCACACACATCAACCCGGTGAGCAGTGAGATCACCGGATTATCAGGTTTCCAATGGCCGTTGATGGTCTATGGGAAGGTTGAAGTTTGGACTTTCAGCTCGAAGACCTTGAACTTGGACTAAGAATCGCGTATTATGAGTTCATTTGAACTATCACAACTATTCAAATCAATGCTGATCGTGTCGAGATCGTATCCGCCGCCTTCATGTATATTCATATTGAAGCCATGACAATACATGTAGCAATGACGCGAATACAGATCGTAGAATGCAGAATGCAGCACAAGTGTATACTCTTGACATGTAAAATCGTGCATACTCCGTCTACATCTGGGAGAAATGCCAGGCTGCGATGATCATGGCTGCGTTGACGGTCTTTGAGCAGCGTACACAGCTCACTTCTGTCCAAATCTCTCTATGTAAAGTGGCATTAGATTCAGACACATGTTCTTGCTTGCCTACACACTCTATTTGTATCTCATTTCGATTCTGAATGTCAAGTGGAGCAGCAGAGTGTGATGGTGTCGATACTAGGGATTCTTTCGGTGTAATTTATGCTTCTGAGCGTTTGTCACGTAAATGAAGCTCAAAACCTGGTCAAATTAATGGTTTGCCATGTTCTCTTGTCTCAGCTGCGTTCAATCATTAAGCGCTTCTTTCCATCACAAGCGAGGAAGGCGAGTTCTGGAAAGAGGAATGTAAGAGTGTCGGGAGAGTGTGCTGATGATATATAGACATACATCCGTCCATTTGGGTGGGTGAGAGAGGTATGTCACCATCTATCATCATTGTAATTCAGTTTCTGGCTGCCGCTTGTAAAAATCAACTGACCATCTCATATCACATCGTAGGATGCGCTGGCTGCTGACTGTCTGGATGGATGGGAATATCAGCAACTCCTTCTCCGCAGTAGCTCATGATTCTGATATGCTCAGTTCTGTTTGACATTGACTCAACAGAACAAATGAGGTGCAGATGAAGGCATGCGATGGGCTAACACCAAGCCGGGTCGCCAGGACGCTGAGTCGTCCTACATGCGACCGTACTGGTGGTCTCCTATTCCTATCGGTCTTTGCTTCGGGCTACTGCTCTCATGGAGATGTTTCTTGATCTAACCTAATGTGGCCAAAGACGGTCCCAAGCCGGTTCAGTAGTCAAGACAAGTATCTGGAATGTGGTTATGGCAATTATGAGAGATTGGAGGTTCTCGCCAATACGCTCTAGCAATCCGAGGAACAACCCGGTGAACACCAGCGCCAATGGCCGTTGATGGAAGCATGGAGTGTTAGTTTTAAGGATCAAGTGAATGGCAGGAGCTGCAGGGTAGAGGACCATGGACGACAGTGATTTGCATATTTCGAAGACCAAGCAACCCTCACCATCCTTTTCTCATCAAACAAACACCAAGTACACGATTCGCGTATAACTGCACATATTAGACATGCTCTAGACCCCTTCTTGTCTGTATTGAGCCTGGGACGGTGAATGTTTACTTGGTCTAGTTTGGCTTCATCCACCGGCGCGACTCTGGAGGTTTCTCTGGTGATCTGCTTCTATATTCACAGCTTCTGGAGGAATAAGAAGGTGATTATGACAACAATGATGAGAATGTACTTGTGATCCATGGCAGGTTGGCTCTTTCGCAAATAGAGGCAAACAATTATAAACATGTTGAACAATCCAAACCACCAGACCACCAAGGTTTCCAATCGCAGTTGTTGGCTTCGAATTCGTGTGTATCAAGTGAGCAAGTGAAGGTATATTGTTATGTATCCCTGAGTAAGGCGCTCTTGTTGGTTTTTGGTATTGCTTTGGTTATTGACTTTGCCGTGGCATATATCGAGACACGTTCATAATACACGGCCTTCACATTTACATATTGGTATGATTCTGTTTGATTGGCGAGTTTTTTGGGAAGGTTGAAGTTTGGACACCACTACTACACCACTTTCAGCACAATGGCCCTACTGAGACTAAGAATCGCGTATTTTGATTTCATTTGAACTACTAGAACTATTCAGATCAAAGCTAACCGCGTTGAGAACGTATTGCCGGCGGCGGCCTTTTTAGTACTTGTATCGAGCTCAACGTGAAAACCGTGATGAATTTGTAGCAATAACGCGTATATATCGTAGCATTCAATATAAGCGTATACCCTTGACATGTAAAATTTGCTCCTTCCCCACGAAAAACCCTCGATCCATAATGCTCCAAGTCACTCTTTTTCTTGTGGCCCAAATTACATCACAAGCCAAACTTGAAGGTGAGAGAAAACAACGACTTGACGATACCCAATCGCTGCGACCCTCAGTACTAAATCCTCCCCCGTACACAGCACATATACAGCATGTCTGCTCTCCGAACATCCTCCCGTCTCGTCCTGAGCACCACCTCCCTAGCTCGCTCCCAAGCAATTCGAAATGTCTCATCAACCCCATCTGCAAACGCACAGGCCGCCGTAGCTGAGAAGCCCGTCACCGCAAAGAAATCTGCCTTTGCCAAATTCAACTGGGAAGACCCATTCGATACCGAATCGCAATTCACGGAAGAAGAAAAAATGATTCGTGATACTGCTGGCGATTACGCACAGTCAGACCTCATGCCCAGAATCGTACAGGCTAATCGTCATGAGTCTGGTCATGAAGGTATGTGTTGACTGGGGTGTTGACGTTGGAGTGTGTTGCAAGTCTTGGTGTTTCACAAGGTTGCTGGGATTGAAGAAGAATCGAACGTCGCTTAAAGGCAGATATTCAATGTTACGACGCGTCATACATTACTCTCGAAATCTTTTCTCTCTTACCTTCTTGACGCTCTCGGGGTTTTAAACCGGAACTTGAGATCTCACGAAATACCTCTCATGACACTAGCCTTCAAGACTGAAATCTTCCCAGCATTGGGCAAATTGGGCTTATTGGGTCCTCAATTGAAGGGATATGGTTGTGCTGGTGTATCGAGTGTCGCTTATGGTCTGATTAACAGAGAAATGGAAAAGTGAGGTTTCTCGCTAACGAGTTCTTTCCGCCTGTTTTTTGGTGGTGGGGTTTGATACTAAGCTGTCTGTACTTCTTATGTAGGGTTGATGCTTCATACCGATCCATGATGTCTGTACAATCATCACTTTCTATGCCTGCCATCGTACGTTGAAAGCAATAGGACGATTTTGATGTAGGCAGCCATATCGTGTCGCGATGCTAATGTCTTTTTTTGGCTATACATAGTACATGTGGGGTACCGAAGAACAAAAGAACAAATTCCTCCCTGGCATGGGTACGTCACTCCCCCATTTCACACCATCACCTCTCATCCAAACTCCATCCACTAAAACCTCTCTCCTTCCCCACACAGCCAAAGGTGAAATAATCGGCGCATTCGGCCTCACCGAACCAAACCACGGTTCAGACCCAGGCGCAATGGAAACCTATGCCAAAAAAGTCCCTGGTGGGGGCTACCAGCTCTTTGGATCCAAGACATGGATTACCCACGCTCCACTAGCAGACGTGCTTGTATGCTGGGCGAAATCACAATGGGATGGCAAAATCCGTGGGTTTTTGATTGAGGGAAACCAACGTGGAAAAGGATTCGATACGCCCAAGATCCAGGGCAAGTTTGCGTTGAGAGCGTCGCCTACGGGTATGATGATGATGGTATGTGTCTGTATGGAACGTTAGGCGTGGAAGGTGTTTTGCAGAAAACAAGGGCAAAACTTCCAGATTCGTAATTTTTGGTTTTTCTTGGTGTATCAGATTCGCAACACAAACTTACATGTTGTTAATATAGGACGGCGTTCACGTCCCCGAAAACATGGTCCTTCAAGTCGAAGGCCTCAAAGGCCCCTTCTCATGTCTCAACAATGCCCGTATGGGTATCTCATGGGGCTGTCTCGGATCCGCCGAATTCTGCTTCCGTCACGCCCGTGAATACACACTAAACCGCACACAGTTCGGACAGCCTTTGGCACGATACCAGTTGATTCAAAAGAAGTTGTCGGATTGTTTACAAGAGGTAATTGATGCATTGATTTTACCGCTTCGTTTTTTTTTCTGTGGTTTATGGCAACTTACGCATGTTTGTATGGAAATTAGATCAATATTGCATTACAAGCTACCATCCGTGTCGCAAGACTGAAGGACGAGGGACGTCTCGCACCTGAGATGCTGTCGATTATAAAGAGAAACAATACGCAAAAGTCGTTGGATATTGCGAGAGTGTGTCGGGATATGCTTGGAGGGTATGTTGATACATTATGGCTGAAAAGTGTGAAACGTTTTCATCTGCCTGCTGTCTGACTCTGCCTTTTGTGCTTCCTTTAGCAACGGTGTTGTTGACGAATACCACATCATCCGTCACGTCATGAACTTGGAGGCCGTTAATACGTATGAGGGAACTCAAGGTAAAAACCCGATTTCTTAGCACAGCGTCTGTGGTTGGCCTGCCAAAAAAGTCTAAGCTGTCAAGTGTCTTTATGATGAAGCATATCACTCACAAAACACTTCATAGACGTTCACGCACTTGTCCTCGGTCGTCAAATCACTGGTCTCAGTGCCTTTGAAGCCAAGTAAATGTAACGTCTTGGTACTAGGACGTTATGTATTGTGTCTCTATCAAGTCTCTCGCTCTCCCCAAATCTTTGTTTTGTATCAACCCAAAAGAATAGAATGCTTCTGTGTTAGGTATCTGAGTTGAGTTTGAACAGCGAAAAAAAGCCTCATTAGCTTGAACTAGTAGACAACCCCAAACCCAAACGCACGACTTCGCTGTGTGATTTTTTCTCGATTCTGTACAGGAAAGATGCAAAAAACCGGCCCTCCAGAAAGAATACTAGAGCACAACTTAAAACGACACATACAACCCGCCCTATGATAGCTCTTCCTTGTTTTTAGTCTATATGGATTTCTCTCCCTTTTACAAAATCACACCCTTATATTTTGCAACACTCACGCTATACTACTAACTTTTCTCTTTCATTTTTTCACACACTATTCTCTCTTCACACTCACTATCACATATACCGCCCTCTCCAAACCACCACCACCTTTTCTTCCTTCCCATGCAAAGTAGAAATAAACGACAAATATGAGATACTTTCTTCTTTTTTACTTTCGTGAAGATGGAGGAGATGCTCTGGCTCCAGCTAAAGCAAAGAAGGGTATTACAAAACTATTGTTTCCAGCCAAACCACAAATCTCATCAACTACATACCAGTTTCTCTCGCCTTTGTACTCAAATTTGGCGATGAGGCCTTCTTCGGAGTTCCAAATCCAGCAGGCAATGGTGCAGAAGACGAGAACGCAGCTTGAGCAGCTCCAAATGATGATGAAGTAGGTGTTGTAGCAGCAAGCGGCGACATGGCTCCTGCTCCTCCTCCACCTGGTGATTTACGACCACTAGCAACAGATAATGGGGTAGCAGATAATGGAGATCCAAGGACTTTTGAGACTTCATCAGTTGGTTCATCAGAATCTATAGTGAGTTTTCCGATCTTGGAGCCATCGGTCAATCGCTTTTGTCGTCGTGTGAATTCCCTGCTGTCCCAATCTACTCGATATGATCCAAAATCTGTAGGTGCTTGTGGCTCTTCGGCAGATGTCAGAGATGACGGGAGTGGTGTGGTTGGTCGTGGAGGCCTTTTGGAAATGAAATGGGAGGAGAAGTGTGAGATGCTACCAAACACAAATCCCATCCAACCAATGCCACGAGATCCTTAAGGCAAATGCTCTGTGCTTCAATGGTACACATGTAACCACTACAAAACTTACAGAGCAGATACAGGCATTTGGTATGGGAAATTCACAGGCTTGAAATTCCATCCCGAGAATCGACCTCGTAATGTATGGACTTGATTCAATTGACCACTTATCGAATATGTATCGAATATCGTCCACCATTTCTGTACTACTTCTAGTGTCTGTGGAACTGAATGGCCTCTTGGGACCACAGAACCATCTGTGAAACGGTCATACATCCATGGTTTGAATTCTCCAATGAAGTGGACAATGGCAATGTTGGTTCGGTAATGAACGAACGCTGGCAAGTAAGAGTATATGGCAGTTGGGGTGACATTAAAGATAAAAGGAAGACGGGTTGATGTTGGAGGTGTTGGGTGATCTGTTGGTGCTGTTACTCCAGACCAAGTCGAGAAGAAGGTGTTGAGGAGACCTTGATCACCACCTAACAGAAAATAGGTGATTGCCTTTAGAATCATTCATTCGGGGAGGACGCAAAAAAGGGTGAATGATGGGTGGCAGATGTGCGCGATCGTGCGATGAACGATGTGTTCTCGTCAAGGCATCCACGTTATCCGATGATAATCACTCGCTCAAAATCATCCCAAGCTACGATATCAGACTGAAAAATCCACCCTATTCATATTGTTCAATCAAAACCAAACCTACCATCAAACGATCCTTGAGCTTCAGCATGTGATTGCAAAGCGACGTGGACAGCAGCATCAGGTTTGAGCACGAATACACCTGAATTGAAGCAATCTGGCCATCCCTATTGTGATATGTGTATGTGTCATTAGAGAGTCATATTGCCAAGCCAGAACAGGAAACGCCGATAATGTTCAAATGAGTAATAGGGCAGTCCCGAATCAATATTCCGACTGGTGTTATGTGATATTGAAGGCTGTTCCAGACCCCAAAAAAACATCCATCTCCCTTCACTCGACACCGGAGTTTGTCACCAACTTTCCGCAACACAACCAGTGAAAGCTTTGCTTCCATTCAATTCAATCCAAGCACAATATTCCACATTGCGTTTGAGCACGGAGTATTAATTGTTGCAGCAAGCCCCAAAAAACGGCCGATAACAAACCTCACACAGTTCATCACTCCTTTTCAACGACAAATGCTATCATCTCATCATATTTACCTGATCAGGAGCAGCAGCAAACGCCACATCACCACTGACATACTCAAACAACTCATCCACATTCCTCAATGGTAGAGTATCGGCATCCAGAAACACGACCTTGTCAAAAGGCATGACCTCAGGATTCCACAAGTGTATCTTGGTGAATCTGTAATGGAAAACGCGTTATGAATCACTTAGAATGTGACTTCAACATTGTTATAAAGCTTTAAACCCATCCGCGATTCAAAAACCAAGCTAAAGTTTGTTTCAAACAACGACCATCATTATCAAATCACTCACGTCACATCAAGCTCGGGTCTACCTAGCAAGCCCAGACGTTCCGGATCACCTGATCTCAATACAGGGACAATAGCAACATGGTCAAAGACTCTCCGTAAGATGGGTATGGCCGTAGCCGAGAGCGTTTCGGGCGTCACGATACAGGATAGCGAATGCGATGTGCCTGATTCTCGGAGGGCGTGAGCTAGGACTAGAGCTCCTGGTAGATATGAGTCCGATGTCAAGAGGGTTGCGTATGAGTACTTTAATGTCATTTTTGTAATGGTGTTGTTGATGATTCTACGATGTTGCAATACGTTGATGTTAGCTACTTGATAGGATGCGATATACGTAAACATGGATGAAACAAGATTCAATTGGCATCAAAATGGATGATTTGCTTGGGTTAAAAGACGACAAATTCAAGGTCCTTGATGTGACTCTTTGAGGTTGAACTGAAAATTTGGACTTTTGTAGCAAAGCTCCATTGATTCAGTATGATAACATGTTTTACCTCGCTTGCTAGCTCCTATATAATCCACTCCAAATATATCTCTTCTCTCTCGCTAGAACTCCTGCTCTTTTCACCGTACAAGGTACTTCGAAACAGCAACGAAATCAAAACATCAAAAGGAACTTTGAAAATTCGACCTGTCAATCGCACAATCTTTTTATTGCCACATGGACGTGTTTCGCACCATACATATTAATCCAGAGGCAAATCCACCGCGTTGCTACCCTGCTATTTGAAGCTTGTCACGTAACCGATGGCTAACTACGTTACGTTTTGCCAACACTGCCATCTGATATGATAACGAGAAATCCCATAGGAACAAGAAGGCAGAGCACTACTAAATCAAGCTTGACTTGCCAAAACGTTCATAAACGTCAAACAGAGTCGGACGGATTTGCGGGGATTCTCGCAAACTTTATTTGTTTGGTTACCCTTCACAGGTTACAATGTTTGAGAGCTACGAACTCAGCTGCAGTTGGCGTATTCACGTGCTGTAATGAAAGATTCTGAGCAGTATCACCATTCACCACCATCAGATCAAGTTTGGCAATATTTTGAAGACAAGAGAGCAATGATGCCCTTCAAAACGAGAGCACCATGATCAAAACTCGCCAAGAGAGTCAGCATCGAAATTATCCTTCCATGGTCCTTCAGCTTGAGGCCGTCGACGCGTCATCCAAACCACAGTTGAGGTTGATCAAGTGAATGGCTGCTGGAATGACATACTCGAGCAGCACTACGACTTTGGATTTCTTAATCAGATGGAATACGGGCTAGATGATTGATTGTGGAAGGTTCGGTTAGAGAACACGTCAGTTATAAGGTTAAAAAAAACTTGCAAGTTGGAACGGTGAATACTGACGACAGTGAGTCAAACCGCCTGATACAAGGATATATACAAGCCAGTTCCAAATCAATTAAAATCAGTTGAGGCAGGTAGAGCAGTTGGAGCAAGACTTGTTTTGAACCTGGCCCGGTTTGGTTCCTGAAAACTTGATATAATTTCTGGTTGACCTGATTTGGAGGCCTCAATAGATATGGTATCCGCGGTAAACCTGGAAGGAGAGTAAGCAACGATAAGAATTGGATGGATGACCACGATCAACAATTCTGTTTTTTATTTCAAGCTTACTGCTGAAAATGTCGTTGAAGCTGCACCAAAGAGAGACTCAAGATTGAGGAACCATGAATGTGTTGATATGCATGTTTTCTTCAAAAGGGAATGACTCTCAATGTACTCTGTGTAGAAAACTAGAAGATAATTGCAAATGTTATCAAAGAGCTCCAAAATGGCAGGTACTGAGCAAGAAATTCACATACGTGACAGTGGATTTGAGTAGTGGCCTTGGAAGTAGTTATAGTCAACTTGAATGAGTTAAAGTCCAAGTAAAGGCGGGAGTCCCGATATCCAAGTCGAAGAGCAAGCTATAGAGGTGGCAAAAGCTATAGAGGAAAGAAGCATCTGGGAAAGAAATATTCAACATCATTGCCTTTTTTCCTTCCCGAAAACTTGAATGACAAGAATTACCAGCCTTGTTTCAAGATCCAACGATTCGTCTCAACGTACAAATGTACTTCTTTGCAATTCTTGATCACGGGTGATATTAACACGAAGACGTGACCAGTTCGGGATGCTAAGTGTAGAAGGTTCAAACAAGGATTTGCTGTGATATCCAAAAAAAGCAAGTGCAAGTCAATAGTAAAACAAATCGAAACTTCACTTGCCAAAACAGTTTGATTTCGCTTGAATGATCAACTTTTTATTTTTGTGTTGTTGTTGGAGTTGTTATCCTATGTTACACTTTTTCCCGATAAGTCCAACATTTAACTTCTCATTTTGCGTGTTCACGTGCCCTATTATTGTAAACGGTTAATGATCAGTTGATATCTTCCAAGGTTATGATCAACCTTGCACGCATTGATCCAATTCAAGGCCACAAAACTGGACATTAATTTACAACTAATACTCACCAAATAGCAGCTTCAACGACGTTCTTGAGAGCTCCTTCAGTTTCAGGCCATTGTCGTGTTTTCAAGCCACAATCTGGGTTAATCCACAGAATGTCGGCAGGAATGACCTTGAGCATTTCAGCAATACGATCTTGGATTTCTTGTACCGATGGAATACGAGCTAAAAGAATTCGTAAAAGCAGGTTGAGATTTCAACACAATAGACGCAAGGCAAACATGTCCCAGTACATACGTGAGTGAATGTCGTAAACACCTAATGTAAAGAGATCAGAGTCACTTCCAAGATGTGATATAAAGCCATGAGTTCGCTGGTTTTTTTACCTGGTCCAATAAAGTTGGTGTATGATTGATCTTTGAAAACTTGAAGCAATTTCATGCTTGATTTCGAAGCTTCAATGGAGATAACATCGGCATCAAGGTCTAACGATGGGTGAACTTGGTTCAAATTGCAAGAACATAACTCTGCATTTTTTTTTTAAACTTACTCTTGATTGAAGCGAAGATGTCGTTGAAGCTAAAACAAAGGAAAATCGATTGAGGACCGAATGTTCTTGATACAATCTAGTCTTCCAACGTACTCTGAGTAGCAAAACTAGGAGATGATTTCCAAAAAGTTAGGAGAACTGCAAAAACGGGCAATCAACACTGTGATTCTCGTACGTGAGAGTGAATTTGAGTCGTATCCTTGACAGCGCATGTAGCCAACTTGAATGAGTCAACAGCCCAAGTCAAATAGGAGTTCCAGTCAGCACGACGAAGAGGAAGCTAAAAGGGGACATGTTTTGATGATATCAGAAATTTGTCTTGATTACTGCACTTTTTTGTCCATCACAGATATTGCAAAATTCACACTTACACCTTCACGAATAGCTGGTTCATCAACTTGAATCACCACAATGCCAGCCTTTTCAAGGTCCAAACATTCATCTCGCAGAGCAAATGCAATTTGCTTGCATTGTAGCTCACGAGAGATGTCAATACGAGGGAATGACCAGTTCAAGATACTAGATATGCAACAAAGAGCATATATAAGGTTTGGATGCAGATGCAACATCAAAGTGACCAACAAAATCGATGAATCTTAAGAAGACGAGACTCACGTTACTGGACCTGTAGTCATGCCTTTGACTGGTTTGGAAGTGAGACTTTGGGCGTAAGAGCTCCATCTTACAGTCATAGGAGCGGGTCGATGAATGTCAGAGACAATGATAGGTGGGCGTACATAACTGAATGGAGAGAGGACAAAGAATCAGTGGCAAGGAGGTACCATCAATTTCCAAAAATCAGCAGGCAAGGCTCTTACCGAGTACCATAGCTTTGTACCCAAGCATGGTCCGTAAACACAAATCCTTTCAATTGCTCTGCAAAGTATTGAACCATATCATTTCTATGACGAAGAGAGGGAGGGAAAAGGTCAGTTTATTACGACATCCCGTCTGTGTAGATTTCGTTTTTTTGTTCTCATTCCAACGATCTCACCTTTCCGGTTCACCATGAACAAGAACATCCAATCCAACTTGTTCTTGGAATTTGATGACTTTGGCAATCTCAGCTTCCATAGCCTCTTCATATTCAGCAGCAGTGATGAGACTTTTACCAAATTGAGCACGAGCATTTCGGATATCCTTGGTTTGCTAAAAAAAAACAGACCAGTGTGAGAAAAGAGCAGAATTTTGAAACATTTCGAATAAAATGACTTCAATTTAAGTCAAGCCATTCAAAGTACGACGGGCTCTAATCAACATTGCAGCAGCTAAATGCACTTACAGGGAAACTTCCAATGGTGGTAGTAGGGAAGAGTAGTAAAGGAGTCTTTGCTTCCTGAACTTGACGACGTTCAGGGAAAGCACTTCTGCGTTTCATCATATCTGGAGTGATCCCAGCAACTCGTTCACGGACTGCATTGTCGGAGGTATGTTCAAATGTACGACGGGCTTGGATGTGCTGATGATTGGCTTTAAGTTTTACGTCGTCGTATTTAGCCAAGGCAGTCAATTCATCACATTTCTCATAAGCAAAAGAAAGCCATTCCTTTTGCTCAGCGGAGAGATGAAGTTCGTTTGCCAATGTGATTGGTACGTGTAACAAGGAGCAAGAGGTTGCAACTTGTACATGACCAGCACCCAATTCTCCTACAGTTGAAGCAACCAGTTTACTGACGTTACTCAAATCGGTCTTCCAGACATTACGACCAGAGATGACACCCAATGACAAGACTAGAGACGTGTGCTTCTTGACTGCTGCTATAGTTGGCTTCAAGTGTTCCGTGCCAGCACGTTCAGACAAGTCGATGTGAAGACCAGCGATGGGTAGAGATGGAATGACTTCCAAAGCCGATTCCAGACGTCCAAAGTATGTAGCCAACATGATTTTAGGAGCATGTTTGGCCAATAGAGTATATACAGGAAAGAGGTGACGAGTAAGAGACTCGTCACGATCAAGCACAAAAATTGGTTCATCGATTTGGACCCATTCTACGCCTTCCTGTTTGAGTCCCTCCAAGATTTCTAGATATACTGCCACCACATCATCTAATGCATCCATTGGAGTATATCCAACAGGAGCATCGTGACTGGCTTTGGAGATGGCCAGGAAGGTGATGGGACCAAGGAGTACTGGCCTGGTTTGGATGCCAAATGCCATCGCCTCTTTATATGCTTGGAGTGGCTTGTTGATGCCCAACTTGAATTTCATTGAAGGCGAGATTTCGGGTACGATGTAGTGATAGTTGGTATCAAACCTGGATGGAGATGGAAAATTGATGAATGGATGAGTACTTGTTTGATTTCTGAGTAAAAATTGTCATGGAAAATCACATGTCAAAAAGTTACATCATAAAAAGAGGCGTACATACCATTTCTTCATTTCCATACTGGCAAGATCAATACCACGAGATGCATCCTGATGACCACGACCCATAGCTATGATTTAAAGGAACAGTAAGTGTTTCAAGAGTACTGCCACCATCCGACATTGACAGCACCATACCAAAGTACTTGTCCAATGGAGAGAGTGCGCTGGACTCATATCGTTCAGGGACTGCATTGATCATGACAAGAGTGTCAAGTACATGATCATACAAGGAGAAGTCACCGCTTGGAATATAATCAACACCAGCATGAGACAAATGTTGCCAGTTTGATTTGCGAATCTGAGCAGCAGCTGTAATTAATTCAGCTTCTGTGAGCTTTGCAGCCCAATAGGATTCGATAGCCTTCTTGAGTTCACGGTTTGGACCTATATTGACGTGAAAGAAAAAAAAAGTCAATGTGCATGTTTTGATGACATGTATGGAGCGAGCTGCAAGTTGAGCTATAGCGAATTCAGAGAGGAGAAGGAGGCATACCGATTCTTGGGAAGCCCAAGACTGCACTGATGAGTTGCTGTACCATGATGCAGGTTGTTCTGAGTTGTTGTTGCTTGTTTTTGGTATTTGTGAGGGCTCGATTTGTCGTTATTGAATGGACGGCGAGAGATCCCGAACCAAACACAAGGGAAGTGAATAGAGATTTGGCCATCATTTCCTCGCGTTTTTTCAACGCAGAACGTTCTGCTAGATGGAATTCATTGGCTAGCACCAAAAGAATCGATCACCACGTAATGTAGGTCAATCACCATCACAGCCATATTTAAATCACTAAAACAACGTCAGTCAAATTCAATAAATTCGAGAAGATAGAGATCTAATCATTCTACACACTTCTCATCTTGGGAATGATCACGTCTTTGTCCACGTTTGATGGCCACCACGATGTACATGAACGTGTTGTAGATCTATAAAGACAACGAATCAACATTCTACAGCGATTGACACGTCCAGAAATTCTTTGCAAGATATGTTTACTACTCACATGGTTGTCACTTCCACGAAAATCCAAACCCAAATTTTCACAGCATACAAGAACTAGTACAATGTTGGGTATTCAAAAGATCGTCGTGCTTGTAGCGTTGCTACTGGTTGCGCTATTGCAAGTTCAAGCATCGGAAGGGAAACTACCAGCAGTGTCCACTAAGGTGTATTTTGACATGAAGCAGGGCGACAAGGACTTAGGAAGAATCGTTATAGGTCAGTGTTTTTACATCTTTTGAACTTATTATCGATATCTTCATTTATTTTACATCTCCATTTAGGACTCTATGGCAAGACGGTACCAAAGACCGCTGAGAATTTCCGAGCGTTGGCGACTGGTGAAGTGAGCACACACCATATGTTGGAAGTGAAGTATCTGGAATTGAATCTCATCTATTTTTCGCATTGCAGAAAGGATTCGGTTACAAGGGATCTAAATTCCATCGGGTCATCAAGGTAATCGTAGCTTCGCGATGTGCGTTCGTTGTGATGATCAAACACTAACAAACTGCAAGTTATATAGAACTTTATGATTCAGGTATATTTGAAATTGATTGTACAACCAGATTACTGAAAGACTCACGATTCTCTGGACATGTAACAAGGGTGGTGACTTTACACGAGGTACTCCAAACTCTTGACGTCCACTACAACAAATCTCACACGTTTTACTCTACTCAGGTGACGGAACAGGTGGCAAGTCCATATACGGAGAACGTTTCCCAGACGAGAACTTTAAATTGCGCCACACTGGTCCTGGAGTCCTCTCGATGGCAAACGCAGGAAAAGATACCAACGGTTCCCAATTCTTCATCACAACCGTGACTACATCATGGCTAGATGGCAAACATGTAGTGTTTGGACGAGTTCTTGAAGGAATGGATATTGTTATGGCTATTGAAAAGACTCCTACACGACCAGGCGACAAGGTACGAAATATGGAGTGACAAAAGCATAGTGGGTTGACGTGTTGTTTGGAATATCTAACGATTGATTCTGTATGTAGCCCAAGGAAGATATAATCATAGCCGATTCTGGTGAACTTCCCGTCACTGAAGATTTGTAAACCATTTTGCTTGTGAAAACACTGCACAAATAACAGATAAGGAGTTTGTTTAGACTAGCACAATGCACTGATTATAGTTCGAATCTGGTTTTGATACATCTTGTTTGGTATTATTGAACAGCATGTTGGAAGTTTGGATTTTGTGAAACGCAACCAACACAGCTGCTGTGCAACGAATACTCGATTCTGATCAATGGCTTGGATATTTGTGAGGCTTGCCGTGCTGTTCTTCAGTCCGGACGATGTTGGCCGGGTGCCAATTGCTGGTGTCTACACCTGTCGTTCCTTTGATCGTGTTGAAACAACGAAAGAAGTTGCTTGTACTTGACTGCTATCTTATTCTAATGTTGCTATGAAATTAACGGTATCCTGGAGACAAACGTCTTCTTTCGTGTTTGGGGCTTGGTATGTGCTCACCATCGGTACGTGATGTTAGTGTGTGATTCACTCCGTCGTTGTTTCTTCTTCCAAAAGCGAGTTTTTGAAATCACAATTTATTGTCATTTACTGTAACAGGATGATGTTCGGGGTGTATTGATGACTTGGCCGCTATTGCAGAAAAATTTGCGTCTCGCTGCTTCAGGATTACCATCATTGTGCTTTCATCTCTGATTGCTGGCTGAACTTGATTTTGGATTTGTTGGGGTGATACGTTATGAAAAATTCGTTGCTTGCTACTAGTCAGTATGACCACGATTAGGCAATGAAGTAAAATTAGGCCCAGCGTTTTTCTTGTGACTTGAAAGATTTCTGACTATGAAAGCTCCCAAGTTAGTCAACGTGCAAGCAGTATCGTATTGATGGCAAACTGTATTGTAATCCTTTTTGGTGAATGTCTTACGATGAAAAGAGACCACGCCAACACGGACCAATCTGATTGTTTACGATCATCAACAAGTCACCATCTGCAAGAAGCAAGTCGATGTCGAGGATCCAACTAGTCTGCAGCCTCTAAACAATAATCTCCAACAGTCTATGAATTAAATGGAATGAGTCCCGGGAAAGATTCAGCCTTCTGTAAATGTGTGGGTTTTTGAACATATGAAGCAAGAATGTGTGTCTTGTGTAATTAACAAGGTGTGAACTCCATTATGATATGTATAGATTGACACTGTTGGTGTCTGTACACGAACAATCCCAAATTGACGATGAGTTGTGATATTCAAACTACACAACGCAAACAGGAAGTGGACCCAATCAAGTTTTCGACGAAGCAAGTGCCATTTTGGATGCAATGTGGTCTACACGTGAGCTGGCTCTGCACACGTATCCTGGTCCAGCATTCCTCTGCGAAGACTTGGTAAAAGCGCAATTTGTCAACATCGAAGTACTTGGTACTGTCGTGATACTCACCGACCTAACCTTTGTAGATGCTGCCTCTTGCACTCTCATACACGTGTATGCTAATACAGCCTACCTCGACGTTACAAGACATTTAATGCTCTGGGTTGGACTATTCAGGCAGGCCTCAAACGTCTATAAATTTGATTGAATCGAGTTTTGCTTTGTACCTTGGACTATATCGGCTGGCTCCCATCGACTTCTAAACGTAGTTGAATTTAGGCTTTGTACCTTTCTAAATTAGAGGTTTACAGTATTTCGCCTTCATTCTCGAACGAGCGAAAATCACAGACCCTTGTGAGATGTTCAATTCCTTTATTTTTCATGTTGTTTAAAGGAAGCATGCATAATACTACTGGTCTTTCTAAAGATCAAACTTTATAAAGGAAATCTTCTTTTGGGATCACTCTCCGGTATGGTTGGCATTTCTCTCATACCCTACAACCTTCCTGTTTCCTAAAACCCCGAGATCCATAAACCGTTACTGTGAGCAGCAAATCGACTTGAGGCATACTCTGCCACAGGAGACAATGTTGTTGTGCTATGATAATGAGTGGGCTGTGGTGTATGTGGGCTGATAGTAGCGGGACTCTTGATACTGTTATACGTGGGTGGCAGATTTGGTAACTGAGATAATGGAGATGACAATGCGGAGCTGTTTATGCTATTGTTTGTTGAGCTGCTTATACTGCTACCCGACGTGGCGGATGCTGTTGTTGCTGGCCACGACGATACATATGGTGAAGTTGTTTCTTCACTCCATGGTGTTTGTGGTTGAGACAGCGAGGCCTCATCGCTCCATACACCACTTCCAGAACCCCATGAGGTTTCCAGGAGTTCTGCAGAGACACAACCACGTGGCGAGACATTGCTACATACATCCAGTCCGTCTTGGCCTAGACTGGTGGCCATCAGTAAGGCATGCAATTCTTGCCAATCGTCCTCCTTTTCAACTGGCACATCATTGGCTTCATCTTCCATGATCAATGCCTTGCTATTCCTACTTATGCTATTGGTATTGTTGCCGCCCATATTATAAGTATGGACATCCGTTGAGATTGTCAGTGGTGATGCCGATGCAGATCGATCAAACGAGCATGGATTGGAATACGATGATGCTGGTGATAAACAATCCAGCACACTATCAGAGGAATCTTCTCGGTCCCATTCATCTAAATCTTGTTGGATTCGGGCATCTACCAAGTCCTGATTAGATGGCGATGATGACGTAGTGGATGATGCAGCTGACGAGTTCGATGCTCCTGATAGTGCCGTCCAGCTACGTTCCCGAGACTGATTTGTACCTGTCGTAGATGCTGCTGAAGATGGTGTAAAGATGGTACCATAGGACATTGATGGTGGTGGCTGAGACGGAAGACTGTTGCTGATACTACCAGTGCTGCTACTAATACTACCAGCACTACTATTCCCATTCGGTGATGATATGGCAGCATCTACAACCAAAGGTGGTTTCACGGTCGTTTGGCGAAGACTAGATCGTAGTTTAGGACGATTCGTCAACGCGACAGCCTTCAATCCTTTAATCGTAGTGACATCTCTCAGCGGTTCTGCTTTCATTACGGAAGGCTTGAGAGGGATGGTACGGTTTGGTTTTGGTGGCATACTGGTTCGAGTAGATTGCATGACCTTTTTATCGTTGTTATCACCCTTCTTGGGAACAAGAGCTCTTAATCGAGTCAATTCCTGTTCTTCTCGAAGCTCCAAGTCTCGTAACCCTGCACTCTCCTGTGGTTGTGGAGGAGCCTGTGCACCCACTTTAGCCCATTCTGAAGACGACGAGGATGGTGCTGATACAGCTGGTTGAGTCAGGCTAGTTTCACTCAACGATGGCTGATAGATTTGGGTTGTGCTGTGAGTATTTCGTATGTTGAGCAATTTAAGCTGATGTGTTCTGATCAGATTTAACACTTACAAATTGAGCGTCAAAACTTGAGGGTTCAGGTACTGTCTTTGGAGATGGTATCGAAGAAGGAGCATTGCCTAAAGAACGGAGACAGCAGAAGAGGAGTAAGGCTACGTATTATGAACAAAAAAACTTGCCAATGCCGCAAAACACACCATGTGATTCCAATGATGTTTCAAGTATCGTCCTACGACCATTATTCGGTACATCCTTTTTCAAAGAAGGTCCATTCGACATGAAATGACCCAGGGTCTTTGAGCTCAAACCAACAGGAGGTGGTGGATAGATGTGAGGCATCTGATTCTGCATCTTGACATTACCACCTAGTAATCTACGATCCATTCTACCTCCCAACCTCATCGAATTACTGGAATTGCCCTCCATGTTTTTCGGCCTTTTGGTATTATGAGGTTGGGAGAGCAGTTTTCTGGTCCACTGATTGTTCTACTTTAGAGCGAAGCACAGAATGAGATTGGATTAAGTCTTTGTGAGTGATTTCAAGTAGCAGCTTAGAGGGTGCGGTAGTCGTTGTAAGTGAATGGCGACCTTATAAGAATGAATTTTGATGATGTGTCAAATGTTCCGATTTGTGTGATGACTTGGCCGATTTCAAGGTGGGTATAGATGGAATAGAGGTCCGATATATATCGAGGCAAAGTTATATAAAATGGCAGCCTCCTATCTACTTCCGACGAAACGGGTTTGTGTCTAGTCAACTACTGCTCTCAAAAACAAAAAAAAATTAGTTCCCACCAAGTTGGCGAATAGTGAACTATATAAACAGCTGGATTCGAATGCCGGTTGGTAGCCAAGCAATCACAATGAGCTATATCTTTGCTGCTTATCCTTCAAAGAGAAGAAAAGATGTAATGCAGTGATTTTGGCAAATTGAAGAGTTGTTACTGCGAACACATACAAAGAGCGAAAACGTATCACGCAGCGTCCACATTCATTTCAACTCTTTCTTGGCGTCCTAAATTGCATAATTCATATCACTAAAAGCAATCTTGATCTATTGTATTTACAAAAATCGACATAAACATTGCACTGTTGTTACTTGTCAACAATAGTTCAAGCCAGTTCCATCTCAAATTAGTTCCAAGAGCCGGCTGGTTTTCAAAATGCTATAGCTCGCGTGGAGTCTAAAAAGTAGCAGCAAAGATTTCACCAAAAGGAGTATCTAAAATTCAAAGATCTGCTTACGTACAGTCCAAATCTGACTGCAATACCTTCATTTTGCTCATACCAACATCAACATCATCTTTTAGAATCCCTAGTATCCTAACTTATTCAGAATGCCACTTGTTATGTCCAGGTCTCACCTCCCTCACATCCACATCCATCAGCATATACAGGACGACGGCCTTGCCACCATAGTAGCCAGGAACTGCATGTTGTAATGCCACAAATGAAACATGTGTCAGTAACAGGAATCATAAACAAACATAAGAGAATAACTAGATTCATTGACATACCGAGAGAAGTGGATATGTAAGCTGTTTCCCCGTTGTTATCCTCGAGTCCACTTGAAAGACGAGCCTCATACGTCAGGTACGCAGCGTTTTCGCTCTTTCCAGGTGTCCATCCACTGGCGAGGTGCGAGTCCTGCATTGTTGGTTTTTGAAGAAAGTTACAAGCTCTCAGCTTGGGCAGCAAGCCACCCAATGTAGGTTCGTGGTATAAGACAGACAAAGGTTCTCCAGTTGGATCCTTGGAACTGTGTGGTTGGGAGTGCTGACGGGCTGTTGTTGGGGGTATTGTTGCAAAGGTGATCGGGAGGCTTCTCACCAACTGGGAACTCGTTGAACTATGTGCCTTGTGCAGAACAGAGGCGCAAAAAGTCGGTCGAGCTTTCTGAAATTGAGAGAAATTCAAAATAGCGGCGAAAAAAGCAAATGTTTGATTGTCGTTGGTGTGAGGTCCAAGGAGCATCCAGGCAGAGGGAAGAGGCATCCCGCTCTTGGATGCGTCGGTAGGGCGACCATTAGTGGACCTAATACAGAATAAAAACTTGGTTAGCATCCGTTTCCCAAAACATGATGTGATAAACGTTGCAAAAGAGATTTTTTGCAGAGATTTCTTCCCCAGAGATATAGAACGCTACCATGATATTGAAAAATAATGGAAATGCTCGAAATCTTTCCTACACGTAGCGTTCGGACGTATCAAAATCGGGAAACTAGAGGATGATGTCAAAAGTTCAGATGAGTCAGATGAGCCTCAGCTTGTACTTGCTTGCACTCAGCTACGCACGATTTCCCAATAGTAGTTAAGACACTAGCCCATCAGTTAGCCGCAAGATCTGCCCAAGTGAAACTAGTGTACTCGATAAATAAGCCGATTTTCTAAATCATCGAGTACGTAAAGGTGGGTGCGTGCTCTTAGATTCTCATAGTCTGCGCTTTCAACTTTTTCTCATCGACTGACATACGACGGTTGAAACACAGGCTTTAAATGAACAAAAGATCATTTTTTAAAAAAGTGTTCGAAGTGCTTCCGCTTTATCATCCCCGATTAGGTCTTAACGAGGTAAACCTCAGAATTTCACAAGCTTAGTCGCTCACATGATAAAAAACTGTTGCACCAAACAGGATAGGAATACAACACATATCATTGGTGACGCGGCGAATGGTCTCATGCTACTTATCATCTCTGGATACTATTTTAGCGACCGGATCGTTGCAATGGCTGTTACGTTACTGCAATTCGCCTTGTGGGTGTTTATACTGAAGTTTAATGAAAGACCAACTGCAAGGAGAATATTGTACTACATCTCTAGGGGACTGGCCGTTTATCCCATGTATCTAATGACTGGAAATCTAACCGTCGCTTTCGGGTGGTGGCTTACTCTGCTAGTTTCGATTGGTCAAACTATTGTCAATCAATCTAAACCAGATCTCGTGAGAGAATGGGACAATGAGATCATCCTGATAAGTGCAGCCATATATACGGTCTATACAGGTTGGATCCTTACGTACTACGCGACCCAATTAGTCCGAAAAGTACTCTGGATTTGCAACCTCACAATAATGCTGAGCAGGGCCCAATACTTAAATCTGAACATAGATCCTCAGAAGGTTGACTGGCGGTTTTCTGCTGTGGTCGGTTTAGGTGCAGCCTATGTGTTTGATGCAACATCCTGTATAAAATTTTATAAATCTAGCAAAAGACCCAAACAGCAGCTTTTTGGAAACCATACAATGTCTCTGGGTTAATGGCTCTTCTTCTTGAGGTATTCTGTAAAACCTATTCAGATTTTCACATTCTCGATTTACTCACTCATCTAATCTAAATCTAACTATGAAAACATTTCAGCTAGCCTGTAACACTGTATTCCGCACATGTTCCTGTAGTAAACTCAAACAATCATTCATACCTTTTCTCATATCCATATAAAGCAAAGCACTGGCAGTATCGTAAATTTACATAAGTGACGTCTAAAGTAGAATGCTCCTCGTTAGAATATGTATCGACTGAAATAGTATATATCGTCTGAATTTTGTTCTATTATCATCGACGTTCGTATTCTCCGGATGCCAATTTTGCAATGTCGGCAACTATGAGACGAGAAAGGAAGGATGAGCAAACCAGGACCACGTGTAAACGTAATGGAGATATTTCCCCTAGATGAAGTGTTCCTGATATCCCACTCAGTACAGTATGTTCAAGTACTACCACATCAGCGATCCCTTCTCAATACCTCCTCTGAAGCATACAAAGACGGTGATAGTCTTCTCTCACTTGGATTGGGGATACTGAACGTAATACTTTCAGTATGCGTCATTGTCATCTTGAGTAGAATCACTCCTTGTTAGAGGTCGTCCATCAAGAGCAAGTCAGTATATTGATTCGCGTGTGTGCACATGTCCTCCTATAACAGCTGACGGGTGAGATAATTCAATAAAGGGATGATTGCGAATGAGCTATGCTCAATGACTTTCTTATACCCTTTTTTAATTCTCCTCAGATATCCAAAAGCCGCATACCTGCTGTTAGGTGCTGAATTATACGGCTCGTCACAGTAAAACAAGATTGATCTAGGTCCGGCATCACGCCACATCTTGTCCTCTCGAATTCTTTCTGGATCTCTGTTGGGTATTGTAGATACTGATGAAAGTACCGGTGTAGTTGCCGTAGCGTTGACGTCACGTCATTCATCTCCGCTGTTGATGGTCATGCAAGATGTCTCCTACACTGCATCGTTTGCTGGAGCTCCTTCATCTTGCTTTAAAAACTCTTAGGAATCATCAGAGTAAAGCAGAAAACATGTCTTGCACCATTAGCCTTGTGTGTCTCAAACCATCGTAACGTCATACCAAATCCATATTTCTTGAAGTGAAGCAATGTATTCGGCATATACAACACATTCCCAAAATAAAGAGAACTAACTAACAAGATGTGAGCAAAAATCGTTTCCTTCATACTCCTTGACCAACAAATTCGATCAAAGAGTCTGATTATTTGGTTAGAAACGACTCAGACTGTTCTGGCAATTCATTCTTCGCTTGGTTTGACACTCTTATAAGCAATCAATGAAGGAGGAGTACATTGAGCGAGTAACACTACAAGCGGTTTCTTGTTTTCGGTCTTGTTTGCAAGACAACGGAAAAGTTCTCAACCCAAAAACAAAATAAAAATGGGACAACCATACATGATCAATCAACCAAAACCAACCATATCACGACGGCTTGCAACAAGGTATCATGAGCTTCGCCTTTATTCGGCACAGGGTACAACAACAAAATCTAGCAAGACAAGGAGATTGTGGTCAGTCACACTGCAAATGAACAAAGATGCAAAAAAGAAACAACCATATAATCAAATACCTTTACAAATGCTCGTCTCCTCACACGACTTCAACCTAGTTCACCGCGTTAAAGTATTCCTTGCTTTTGACTGGGTCGGGTTTCATGGTCTTGGCACCCTTCTTCCAGTTTGCAGGACAGACCTCCTGAAAAGATTTCAAACATGTCAGTCAAGTTTTAGGGCGCAAAAAGACATTCCCTAATAAACGAGCTGCACAAAACCCAACACTCATACATACCCCATGAAGATCCGTAAACTGGAATGCTTCCAACAACCTCAATGTCTCGTCAATAGATCTGCCAACAGGTAGATCGTTGATGGTGATTTGACGAAGTATTCCCTTAGGATCGATAATGAATGTGCCACGTAATGCGATACCGGCTTCTTCAATCAATACGCCATATTCTTTTGATATTGATTTGGTAATGTCGGAAACTATGAGCAAAGAGACGCAGAAGGGTGAGCAAGAAAAGATGCCCGACTCACGGTTTGTCACTCTCGATGAAACTCCCTTCCATATCTTTGCAATAGCAAACCGCCACTTTGATGAACTTACTGATGGGTATCTTCATTTCACCGAGACCACCTGATTTTCGCTATAAAGGGAGAGCAAAATGTTGTTATAATCGAGTTATGATCCATACAACTGTCTTTGTAAGTTTACTGGGGTATTTATCCATGCAAGATGAGAGTGTACACTGTCAACAGAGGCACCGATAACCTACAATTTGAGATGAAAGACGAATTCAGCTTCTGAGCGAGAGAAAAGCGTGTTTAGAAGAGCAGCATACCTCGCATCCAAGTTTCTTGAAATCCTCTGAACGTTCAGAGTATTCGATAATCTCGGTGGGGCATACGAACGTGCTTAAATACGTAGTGGTGAGTGAGCAGACAGAGATGAATAGAATGGGAGCCAGGGTAACATTTTTTGCGTCTTACAAGTCCAGAGGGTAAAAGAACAAGACGACCCATTTCTTTCCCTTGTAATCGTCCAAGTTGACACTTCCAAATTGCTTGCTTGGAAGAACAGCAGCAGCCTTAAATGATGGAGCCGGTTTCTATATAGATGAAGAGGTGATGAGAAAAAAAGACCTGATGTCAGATTTGTGATGTCTCCACAACCATCCAACACTTCAATAACGTAAACAAACAGATAGTAAACTGCAAGACAATTCCACAATTATCACTCCATGTTCTCGATTTCGATGCGACATTCAACGACCAATCAGACAAATCGTACCTGTACGATAGCAGCGCAATGGTGAAAAGCAGCAGGAGTAGCTGAGAATGCTCGTAATGGAGCCTTGAAGGCAGGAGTGGCAGCCAATAGACGTGGTGCGAATCGTAGAGCTGACATCGGAATAGTCGATTGGTTTTTTTGATGTTTTGAAAGATTATCGATGACGAAAGCTGGACGTGCTGACTAGTATAAACACTTGTATTAACGCGTAAAGTCGTGTATATTACAATACACGTGAAGATATCTATTCAGCTATCGTTCTAATGCTCTGTAAGCACTCTTACTGCTCTCCAAACTCGCAAATCGCCAAAAACAAACATTTGACTATATAGGCCATAGGAAGCTCCCGAGTCAATGGACATTACAACTCATTTCTTTAATGTCTTGAGCACACATGAGGCTCTGACTGCTAAATCGAAGGCTGCCTCATCAAGCTACGGACTACAGCCTACCAATAATTCATCGCACATTCTGAGAAGGAATCACCATGTACTGCCAAAGGATGATTTCAGTAGAACGGCTATAGACATTGTATGTGGAAGTGGCAGATTACACCTTTATTTGTATTTGAGATGGTTGTGATGTTGTTGGTTTGTATTTGATCTAACATTCCCCCAATTCATAGCTACTGGACATGGGCCATTTACGTGACTTCTTACTTGCATCACGAAGATCCTATCTAGGACTTCCACAGTCACATGGTCTGGAACACTCGATACGGGAATCAAATCATGGTGCCTTCTTTACCAAGAAATCACCATTCCCTGCGACTACGCCAACCCATCTGACTGATAAAGGCCGAGATGAGTTGGAAGGTGTTGCTCATTCGTTTGTGTCGGCTTGTATCAGGAGGATTGAGTCGTTACAGAGACTTGCAGGTATGAATTGACCTTGTTGTGTAGAGACACTAACAAAGCGGCCAGAAACTGCTTTTTTTGCTCGTCTTACCTCTTTCTTTCAATCCACTGATCGTCTCGTTTCGCTCTCTCTCCTGTAGAGGTACTGCATTCTAAAGAAAAGGGATTACTGCATACTAATAACAGCATTGGTCTGAAAGAACACCGTGACTCGATAATATGGATGTTACAGCATCGACTAGCTCAAACCTCTCAAATACTTAAAGCGATGCAAGAGAAACGGGTTCAAACTGCTCTACAGAAACGTGAGGGGTATGTATAAACTCACACTGCTTGTCGACTATGCGCATCCAACAACTATTTTTTGCTTCTCGAATAGTCTGCTATTCCACACTTCCTCTTCAGAATCTAAATCCGCCGATACACTAAATGGCAAATCACCACATCCACAGCCATCACCATTACTATCGAATAGCACTCATACGAATGCTTTTGGATTCTCGATATCTTCAGTCACGTCTGCTGCTGTGTCGTCGCTCTCATTAGCAACGTCGAAAATCAATAATAATAGTGCTAGTACGGTTAATAGTACTAGTACGCCACCTCAGTCACTGGATTATATGGATGGCAGTAATAGTGATCCAGCAGCGTCGATGCCAGAAGAACAACGAATGTTGTTAGAAGCTGAGAATGAACGTGTGTTGGCTGAATTGGAAGGGCAAACTGATCAAGTCAGGTAAGGTCACATCGCTCGTGTTTGACCGACCATAGTGCAATCCAGCAACTCTTACACCTTCTTATCCATTAGACTCGCTACACAATCCCTCCGCGAAATATCCGAACTACAAAACATGCTTGGTCGACACCTAGCTGTTCAACAAGAAACCATATCGACCATACACTCGGAAGCTATACAAGCTACTCAGGATATGCAGGACGCTAATAAGGTGCTGGTGTCTGCTAAGAAGACGATGGGCAGTGCTAGACTTTGGGTGATTGTGTTTTTACTGATGGCTTCCTTCTGTTTGTTGTTTCTGGATTGGTTTTATTCGTGAACGTGAGAGGAGGAAGACGGTATTGGATTTTGTGGCTGCATTTGTAGAGGTTTGTTTATTAGATCCTATGTATATATATATATATATATAGATTAGATCTGGGTTGCATCCAAGAACATGGGAATCTCACAATGCTCAATGATTGCCGCAGAAGCAGTCCTACGAATTGACAAAAATTCCAGCGATGGTTTGGACACGTACGACTGCTGCAGCTACATATACCTAGCAGTCGCATATGTCTTTTGCTGTTATTCCGTCACAGAGTATGTGCGGACGTGTTTGGAGAGTTGAGAAAAGTAAAAACCGTACAAGAGTCTTTCCGTGGTTGTGAGGAGACCAGTTCTGAAATTCGAATCTGACTTAAGTCTGACGTGAATGTGACCTCGTATAGATCGAGTCGGATCACGTACAACTGCCTCGGGTCAGCAAAGAACACCACAATGTATGAGGACAATGCATGTAAGTGCCATTGTACATCTGAAACAAATAGTCCATGCTTCAAATTATTCATACTCAGAACCTTTGGCCGTCTTCGTATTACTCGTCCAGGCTTGAAATCGCTCTGTCACGGACATCACGTTCACCACTTTTTTACAGGGATGTGCCGGAACGATGACTTTGATAGTTGGTTGTATGAAACTAGTGGTGAACATTCTCGCACTTTTGAACGTGAGGAGTCTCTAGTAAGCTAGCACTCGAGGTTGCAGGATTTGGACCAAGTCTCTTACACAAACAATCGTCCGCATTGCTTAAATTACACCTTCACTTTCTTTTGAAGTGGAAGTGTTGATATCGAGATTTGCTTTAATTGCTGTTGAGACTCGATTGTATACCACGCGGTTGAGGAATGATGGGCTTTGGAGTGTGTCTTTTGGGGTGAAGTATCTTGGTTTTCGGAAATTGTACCTTCTCTTGTCTTTGGAATGAGAGATTGAAACAGGAACCTATTGATTTGAATGCGCGGATTCGAACTTAGATGTTGCAGTTGAGGAATGATGTTACTTCAAATGTCTCTGCACTCTGTTGCACGCACTTTGTCGGATGTTCAGTCTGTCAAACAACTTAAAGTTACTTACAACCAACTAGCATTATCTTTACGCATTATCAAGCCGCATATATGATCATCTAAGGTTACAAAAAGGATTGTAAGAAGGGCGGTCATGGGACCGGTAAAGCGTTGCCTCAGAATCCAAATGGTGATGGTTTTGGTTACAGAAAGGACTGGTCTCATTCTTGTATACAAGAATAAGGCAATATCATTCAGCTAATGATGATTTGATGGGTAGATGACCTTCAGACAAAACGTCTCTCTGGGCTCTCATTTCTTGTGTCGTACAGAAGTGGCAGTGTATGTTAGAAATGAGGATGAGCCATGAAGAAAAGTACATGTGAGAGGAATTCGGTCTAGATAGATCCGAGCATGCAGTATTGATGCCGTCTCCTAAACAACCATTTTCGACAGTTCCGGTAGTACCACGAAAAACTCCGACGAAAATATGAGGTGGGGTTGTGATTTTTCATACGTTAGAGCTTTGTCACGATCAAAGTCGCTGTTTGTGGAATTTTATGCCGTTAGTGTATTATTATGTATATGATCTCCTGTACTTGCCTATAAAAGCTTGGATTTGTGGGTAGCGACGCGGTAGGTTTTGGACTTGAAGTTTAGCAATGATGGTTGAAGCTAACAAAAGATGACAAGAGATATGAAAGAAGGAGGTTTAATACGTTCATACAATTGCTGCAACGTGAATGCTACCAAGACCTAGTTTTCCCGACTTGACTTGTGATATCATTTCAATCATGTGTTGATGACGAGCACCAGGAATCAAAGACCGCCAATGATGGCGATTTGAAGATGGAATAAGGAGATTACACGCGTTTGCTAGTGTATCCGAGTTTGTAAACATTAAATATACTCCGTTCTGGTCGACGTTATTGAGTGAAAGTGCCTTGTTTCTTTAGTTTTCGGGTCAGTCTCAGCACGAGTTTTTTTCCACACAAACTTGATTTTCAAATTCACCACTGACAGAGACGGCAAGCAGATAGGAAGGCCAAACAGGACGATTGATATACTGTAAGTACATATGCGTTGAACAGACTATTCAGAATCGGCATCATGAAGCATTCATTTGATTCATAAAAGCTTGCAAACTGTCATTAAAAACCAACATTTATCATTTTCAACATTAGTGAGCTGCCAAATAGCATTCTTTGGACGTGACTGGACCAGTGCCATCATACCAAGTAATAATATCCATATATTAATCCTACAGGGCACATTACTCTCATCTTGGTAATTGCCATCCATTCGACATTCTGCCCAAAACCCCACATGAGAGTGGGATTCATCAGATGAGAAACGGAGCTATGCAGACTACGGCTCCGCCAGCTACTCCAAACTCTGCTAGGAAACGTCAACGGGATCCATCTGATGTCGAAATTATTCTACCACAACACACCCAACATCAACACCAAACTCCATTCAATAATCAGCAACCATACAATATCGAGGATCGCATCAGAAAGAAACCAAGACCTTCCGATCCACAACCAACTACTGCAAACTATCGAGTAAAGGCTCGCAATACTGCTGCTCAACTCTTCAATCAGGTCGTGAAGAACAGTCATGATCCTGCTAGAGACATTCCACCAGTCAACAAGTTCCCTACTACGACCCGTACGATCGTCAGAGGTCAAGTAAACAACAACACCACCTACAATAATAATATTGCCGTACAACAGCAGCAACAACCGTATCATAAAGCAACATCTCCACCTATAGCAGCATCAGTCACTTCGTCAACACTAAACGCGCTCGTATCCGAATCTAAATCATATACCTACGACGATGATCAAGTGCTTGATGAGGACGAGAAGAGCGAATCGGAAGGATCAGTGTACGATGATGATGAGGAACAACAACAGCAGCAACCACTTCCGCAAGCAAAGAACGCTGCTGCTATTGCTACTACGCCTCATCATAGGATACCTCGTGTCGAAGTCACTGTGCCAGTATCGGGTACTGATGGAAGATCAAAAGCTTTGAATGCTGTCAGGAATGCTGTCAAGACGTCGATACGGCTATCAAGAGATTATGAGTTGTCACATATATTGGGCTGGGGCCATAATGGGGTTGTCTTGCTTGGATCGCAATACAATTCGGCTACGAGTCGACGCAAGAAGGTAAATGTCATCGAAGTACTGGAATTTTCCCTTTTTTCGCTGTCTTGGAATGATCACTCTATTGTGATTGTTCTACTTCTATTCCGACAGATGTCTAACATTCATATCTCCCTCTTCTCTTCTTGCAGGTGGCAATCAAACTCATATATAAAAGGAACGAAAACCTTGGTCGCCTTGAAACTAATGCTCCATCAGAAATCACTATGCTACAAGGTATACGTCATCAATGTATTGTACAATATGTGGCTCATTGGGAAGATCCAAATGTATGGTATCTCGTCCAAGAGTTTGTAGGGCCTTCCACCATCAAGGGTCAAGAGTACATCACTTGTACTCTTCCACCAGCCAGGAATCATCCACACAGTACCAACAATGCCGATGCGCAAGGACGCTTGACCATCGCAAACGACTCTGGCTCTGATTTATGGGTGTTAAACAATCAATATCATCGAAAACGTAAAGAAGCTGTAGCCAAATATGGTCATGCTGCTGGAAACGAAGGAATGCCACCATCACTACGACAAAAGCTCTTCATTCAGATCGCATCGGCAGTCGCACACCTCCATTCCAATAATATAGTCCATGCCGATATAAAGGAAGAAAACATTGTCGTGACATCTACTCTTCAACGACCCAAATGCAAATTGACGGATTTTGGGCATGCATTCTATACGAATGGGACTGCCCGACTCAAATATCATTCAACGTCTCGATTATCTGCCCCGGAATGCTGGAAGAATGTCGAGTTGAGGAATGAAGGGAAACAGCATCAAGAGCTCTTTGAGGGTAAAAAACAGGATACGTGGTCTTTAGGTTTGGTATTGTTTAGTATGATAAATGGAGGTCTTCCTTCCAATCACGATCAAATCGTCAATGGTGACAAGAGTATCGGGACGAGTGATTATTACCCTGCTATTACAAGGTTGCAAGAGATTGCTACACCTGGTATGATATCGTGTGTGATATGTTTCGCGAGTCTGTGGTACTCTTTTTTTCTTTGAATGAATGATCTCTCTGTGATTCCATAACTAACTGTGATATCTTCTTTCCCACTTATAGACGAAATGCATCTCTTAAAACGAATGCTGGCCATCAATCATAAAAAACGATATGGAATGGACGAAGTCATGCAAGATGTCTATGTTACCAACAAACCATCCAAACAAAACCATGCATCATCGTCTGGTGGTGGTGGTGGTGGTAGTAGCTCAAGGAGGTAGTTGGTGTGACTGTCCACTACCCAAAAAAGCAAAAAATGGCTCCAACATTTTGGACTAAATATATCATGAACGATCTCTCGAAAGCCCATCATCAACACCATCCCATCAACACAGGAACTCTATTATTTTTTGTCGTCCTAACATTTGCACACACAAGCATCAAAACATCACACCCCACTAAACTTTTTATATATTTGAGAATTTGCAGCCCCATAACACCAAAATTATATATCTATGAGAGAAAAGAAGCCTTTGTTTTTTAGAAGAGGTGAGAAAAAAGCAATATATATCGCTAGGCTTGTATAAAGAACTTGAAATGTTTTGGGTGTGAAGAGTTTGGGTGTTGAGTGAGGACCGCAAAGAAAGGAGAATGACGATGACAGTAGTTTGATAAGGCGGATTCCCGTGGAAAATCGAGTAAGCGCAGCAGTTCGATAAGGCGGATTCCTGTGAAAATCGAGTCGCATTTCCCGTGGAAATCGAGTCGCCCAAGGCCTCCTCACAGACGAAAGCTCTAAATAACGGTTGTCCTTTCTCCCAACATCGACCAAAACAACTTCCAATACAAAAGCCAAGTGGAAGGACTTCAACGGATCTGGCACCATGTCCTCTGCCTTGGTATGTACTCCTTCCATTGATGCCCAGTGCTTCAGACATTGGGAAGGCAGATCGAAATTCATTTATCACATGTTTTGGAAAACGTATGCTAATTACTTATTCGTCTATAACAAGTCCAGCACTGGCATCTGTAATAATGCATCCAACGTTTAGATGACTCTTCCTCCTTCTTCGGTGCTCATTGGACCTGGCTTCCAAGACATCAACCATTTCATTTTTCGCCGCTATTTCGAATTCCAGAGCAGCAGACTAACTCTTTGCAACTCTGTTTTGCTCTAGACACATAATTTAACCGTGCCCAGTTGGTGAGAAACCGCTTCAAAACCTTGTCAATAATCCTTCAACATTCATCCAGCAATCCCAACAACAACGTTTCAACGACCCGACTGACGCCTGGTGGTTTTTATATACCACGAGATGATTTGTTTTCTGCCCGAGCAGAGGACTTGTAATCCTCACTTCAAAACCTACAACCGAGGACACGCTCCTTACGCTCCAGTGGATGGTACCTGGGAATAGCGTCAACAGCTGTGGGACCAATACCCCATCTCCCCTTGCCTCGAAACCAATGGCACGAGTTGTGGAGTCAGGCGATGGCTTTCAAGCCTACTTATCGTCTCTGCTGGGTATGTAATCGTTTGTTTGCACGTTTTGAGAACATTGTTGTACTCATTCTGTCTTGATTTTTGCTTTATAGGCAATATACTACGCTGCTATGGATCATACGTGCAAAAGGGCAGTTATGCAAATGCTCAATCAGAAGCCCCTTCAAGTCAGCCAAATCAAGTAGCTACTTCTGGATACGTGGTGCGGGTCTGCATCAGTCGCTGTTGGTGTCAGAATAGGCATAAGAGACAGTCGATTAGTGTGAGATTTGCTCGATACTTACCACCGGCTTTGAGCTCTAGATGCTTCGTTTATGGTGGACTTCTTGCTGCTATTCTCTAGACCACAAGAGGTAAAGTACGTCTTCTTAATCAGCTGGATTGGACTATCTGGACTCGCGAATAGTGTTTTGAATTGTACGCTGAAATAGACCACTACTGTAGTTCCTCTTCGCAATCAAACTTGAACAGTTGAGAAAGTTTTCGAAAGGGTTGATGAGCTTGTAGGAACAGTGTTTGCACTGCTTGCTGTTGAAGATTTAGCTTGCATCGCGTCAGAGCAGCAACATTAGCTACAAGGTAGCGTCATTACAGTAGTAAACGGTGTAAAAGCAGCATACCCAGAAAACTGAAGGCTTCTCTCAATGAGGTGGTGTTTATTAAAGTTCTTTCCTTGTGAAAAGACAAACCCTGCTCTGACAAGGAGAAAAGCACTCAGAGATCATACAAGTCAACTACCGCTTGATTCGCCATCAGAGTCTGGTCCATTCCCTTGACAGCTACTCGATTCAAACTTGATTACGTCTTGGGTGCCTTGTCAGAAGCAGCTATACTAGCTCTAACATCTACACTAGCTCTCCCACCACCACCAGCATTAATATTCTCAACCGAATTCGAAAGCTGTCCAGTAGCAACACCAGCAGTAGCAGTAGTCGTTATTACAGGTGGCAACACTATCGGTCGATCCTCGTCACTATCATCATCCTCATCCTTGTTCCCCTTTCGTCTCTGGCTGCTACCAGCCTGTATAAGCTGATCTCTCGAATCACGCTGATCTCGTGAATCCCTCCCACCACCACCATCATATTCATCTTCTTCCACAAACTCGACACGAGCAGGCCGTCTCTTTTCGAATTTCTCTGCATCGTTGTATATTTGTGTTGACCAACGAATCAGCACGTTGGATCCATCGTCGATTAGGCGCGAGAGGACTTTATATGTTTGCTTGTATTTAGCGTCGGTTGGGTATAACGGGTCGTGAGAGTTGGCTGTTGTTGGTGTGTGAAGGGATATGAATTCGTCGGCTGGTGTCATGAATTCGCCATTGGTGGCTGCTGATGGGTTTGCGCCACGGATGATTCGGTAGAGGATCCAGGATACTGTACGGAGGTTCTTGGATGCGAGATCGTCGATGCGGAGGGCTAGTTTGTTTTGTACAGGTTGTAGTAGCAGCTGTAGTGAGTGGGAGAAGACAGGTTAGCGAAAAAGGTGAAGAAGAAAAAGCATTGAAACAGGAAGAATGACTTGAGGAGTCGCTTTCCAATTCGCAATACCTTGAGTATAAACACTTTACAAACGACAAAATGCAGCATCAGCAGCCGATGCTTCAACATTTTCGAATCGTCCGTGGCACTTGCGCCATCGAATCCAGATGCACCTTCAATCAATTCCAGTCCGGTCTTTTCATTCGACCACAAGAAATGAGGAAGGTCGATTAACGATGAGTCACATGTGAAGAAGAGCGGGAAGAGTCGGTATGTCGATACAGAGGAGGAACCGTCTGCGATTGTGAGGGAGGATAGGATGTAGTCTGGAGTTAACTAAGAGACTTGTAGTTTGTAAGTAAAATATTCAAGCAAGAATGGATTCAACCAAAAAAAGCTTCAAACAGAAGACTCTGATACCTTTTTGAAAATGGATACAACTTGTTCGACGATCGATATCAGCTTGGTTTGTACTTCGGTGGACGGCCCTTTAGAGAATGGGATGAACATTCCTCGTGCTTCAACCTAGTAATAAATGTACGATGGATAAGAATATCAAAGCGAAAAACAAACATGAGACTCGCTCCTGTAGACTTACAAGCAAGTCAACCCCCTGTTTCGAGGCACCAAGAATGCTTTCCAGCAGCTCACGGAATGCCGGCATTTCTTTAAACATTTGAATCCATTCCTTTGATGCAAGGAATATCATTCTTCTTAAAACACCGTGAACTTCGGCGTGTGGATTTCTCTAATTTTCCAAAGTAGGGGAAGAGTGTGACGATTTGAATGCTTGAAGATCTCGATTTGCGGTACTGAAGCTAGAGACAGAAAAGAACCCTCACAGTGTTACCTCATACGATTTTCGTAACGACAAGGCAAACAAGATAGCAAGAATGACTTTTCGAAACTTTTTCTTGTTTGCTGCCAGGTTCGACGACCTCGAATTAGAAGCATTGGAACTCAGTTGCTTGATTTCAGACTGTGTGGTCCTTCTTTTCGTTGTTTCCCTAAGAGCACGAACAAAGCGAGACTTGGTATCAGTGCAAAATACCGCTATCGCTTTATCGCTGCCTATAGATACCTTCTCGGTGGGTCTATCTCCTCAGCACTGCCTACAGAAACAGGCACAGAAGGTGGCCTCCTTCTCTCACTTCGCTCAAGGTACTGGTCGTTCCGTTCGGATGCATAATTGTCGTTACGAGTAGCTTCATTCCTCGTCGAAATTGGAGGGCCAGGTCGCACTCGTCCACGGGCTGGCCGATATGTTGGTTCTCGTGTGCGTATGTATCCTCCTGTAAGGTGAAAGTGGAATAGGTGGGTGTGAGCGAGAAAAGCAATGCTGTAATATTATATGTAATAGTTCCGTTTTCTAGCAATCTTTCTCGGTCACATAATATCGTACCTGCTACATTTGGTGGCGCATAGTAAGGCTGCGCTGGTGCGTAATAAGCTAGATTTGGGTCTGGTTCCATGCTAGGTGCTACTCCAGCATTCAGTTGTCTGTTTGAAACGCGAAAAAATGATGTTGAGTAAAGCAACTACAAGTTGGTTTCCAACAACACACCACGCTAACACTTACTGTGGCACCAAATTCCCTCTCATAAGAGCAGCCATATGAGGACTAGACAACAAAACGCTACTCAGCATCAGTTGCTGAAGTTGAGCGTTCTGAAGAGAAACAGCATGAAACATTTCTCTCGATTGCGCAGCATAGACTTCTTCTCGTGTCCTTTCTGGATCCTTTGGTGGTGCCGGCGGTGGTATTGGTGTGGCTACAGGGGTGTTGACTTTGGCTTCAAGTCGTTCAAGTCCGGTTTTCAGCTCTTGTAATGTGTCCGTGACTGCATCTTTCGCCTCTGCTGCTTCTGCTTGCTTTGAGTAGTAATAGAAGTCAATTAGAGAGCTTGGATGTCAGACTTGTTTGAAAGGTCGAGACAAACTCACTTCGGCCTCTATAGTCAATAAAGAATGAATGTTACCACTCGCATGAACGGTCAAAGCTGAAAGTTCGAGTAGATCCATTTACGTTCTTACCTTCCTCAGCAGATTCATATTGTCTTGCAAGCAGCTCCCGTCTTTTCAGTTCGATTTTCTAAGTACGATTAACTGTTAAGATGATCTGGCGGGTCGAGACATCGAACGAGACCTTACTTGCTCGATGATCCTCAACTTTATGTCGAATAGCTGCTGATTAATTCGATCATCCATTTCGATACCAGACGGGTCTTCGAATAACTAGCAGCGATGAAGTTCAACAAGTAAAAGTGATGGTGTTTGGCAACGTGATCCGACTAGGTCCTGTACAGCGGAGCTCCAAATCCAATTTAACAGCTCGAAATGAGCAATTTGAGCGACGTGACGATGCCTTGGTTGTAACTGATATCCTTGAAAGGAGAGCTCTGCGTGTTTAATAAAAATGACGTGTCAGCATTCATACAATACGAGACTTTACGCGATTTCAACACTGTCAGGTCGTGCAAATGCAAGAAATATAGATGCGTAGGCTTCTCTTTCCTTGACAGAAAGTGGGATGTGGAAGCTTAGACGTGCTCTTCACCCAACGTTCAAAATTATCATCAAATCTCGACAAATCGAGCTACATACCATAGAAGAACAGACAGAGAGACTAGTAGAGAAGCACCCAGTGTAAACTGTACACACATATAAATAGGACATCGTGCTGGAGCCTTGGATATGTTGTCGAACATGGGCAACAGAGGTAGTCTAGAGGACGAAATTCGTCAAATGTTTCGTCAATGCGGAATCACGGATCTTCCTGATCTTTCATGTACATACAATGAAGAAGATCAAGCACATATATGTACTTGGCACACTCATGACGGAACAAGGATTGGATTTGGTCGCGCTTCAAACCCCGCATTTGCTATTCGAGATTGTTTGGCTGATGCACGCGTAGAGGCTCAGAGTAGGATGCCTATTGCTTCTACTCCTACTCCTCCAAGAAGCCCTACTCCTTCGAATGCTACTCGTTCTTACATGTCGGATTATTACTCGAGAAATGTCGTGAGTAAATATGTCATGCAAGCTTTGACAGCTCATTCAGTATGGACTCGTTATTGATCTATTTTCGTATTCTTTATTCGTTAGGCTGACAATGAATATCAGCGTGTGCCAACACATGTGGATCGACCGAAAGCTTCACCATTCAACGAAGCACCAACACCTCGTACGTACACTGCAGTACGCTCTTACCAAACACCTTTTCATATTCACCAACAATTTCTCTTACACGTGACACATACTTCTCATAGTCAAAGCTGACTTGGGAAAACTCACACCTGTGACCTTGAACATTGCTACTCCACTCAAGTCGCGTCTTGTACGTGAGCTTGGGCCAGGGGGTTTTGAAACGCCTTCTGAGCTCGGTATGCATGAGCTCGCATTGTCTCGTTCCTGTCCAATCACTCACCCTAACTGAACACATACGATAGGTGGTCAACTTCCATCTTTGGCCGATCGAATGGGTCTCTTTGGTATGTTGATCATAAATTGAGCCGATCGTTACACTCGCTACACGCAATCTTCACAGCTACAGTGATACACTGATCGATACATCGCTTCTAACATCCTGCATATCATCATCTCTAGTCGGCAATGCAGAAGCTCGACGAGCTCATGTCGTATACACATGGAACAAATTCAACAATGAAGCGTATACTGGCACATACCAATTACCTTTATTCAGATTGAATCTTCCCATAGTCAAGGAACTCCAACGATGTCTAAAAGCCATCAATGATGAATTACCTGAATTGTTGATTGTCGAAGCACCTGCTGGAGCAGGAAAGACATCTGAAGTTCCTCAATTGATATGGGAATGTATGTGGAAATGAAGCTACTGATCAATTTGAGTAATTCGATCTTCTGACATATCTTTTTTGCTCCTTGTTTCTAGTGGCTCTCTCAAAGGAAACCAATCCATTGGATGTCAACATACTTGTAGTATCGCCACATCCTACAAGCTGTATTGTCGCTGCTCATCGTATTGCCGAACTACGTGATGAGCAAATAGGTGATATAGTTGGTTATGTCACAGATAAGACAGTCAAACCTCCTGAATACGGAGGATGTATCTGTTTTGTCACTCCTACTGTATTTCTTCGACATTATTTGGCGGCTGAAATTGGAAGTAATAGGCCAATTACGCGCTTTTCGCATCTGATTCTTGATGAGGTGCGTCTAATAGTGCTATCCACACAGAAAAACACCTGATAATCTCTACTATTCTCGAACTTCGATACTACGGAATTTCTAACACACCTCCCTATATCATATCACAGGTGCAAGAAGACAAGCCCGCCATGCAAATCGCCATGTCATGTCTGGCCACACTCTTCGCGACAAGAAAGTTGACTACCAAACTGATTGTCATGGTCACGTCATACCACAGACTCAGCCTCATAAACCCTATCAAATCCTTCTTCCAACCATTATCATCCGAAGTCATATCCATCAAGGAAAAGACCCCTGCTGGTCAATGGATGCATGCAATGGAATCGACCCTCAGGATATTGAAATTGGCATACCAACACGACACTCCATCAACATTCGAAAACGAACGAACCCGTTTCGTTGTTGATTGTGAAGCCAGATTCAATGAGTTGTATAGGCGTTTGGGGCCAGAGACTGCGTCTACAGTCTTGTTGAGGGGCAGCTCTGCGGCGGCCAAGACCGCTGATATAGAGATGTTTGCTAGAGAACGCATTCCGTTTGATTTGATTGCACTTTTGATTGTGCATTTGTTGAAAACTTATAAAGACAAGGTATGAGATGGTGATGTGGACAATATTTCTCGCTGGCCAATGTGTTATATTATCGCTTCGTCTCAAATTATGATTCAAATGCCTGTACTCGCTCTAATACAACTCTCTTTACATAGGATCCCATCGTTGTGTTTCTGCCACATGTCACAGACATTGAGACTCTATATTTGTAAGCTTTGCGATTTTTTTTTGTCGTTGCGACCCCAAATGTCTTGTACTCACTCACACATACGCACCACCCATCATTCTTAGGATGCTGGCCGAATCGCCATTAGGCTACCAAATCGTTGGCAGCAGCATAATTCATCTCGTCAACGTTTGGAATCCAAAACCAGGTGCAGGCTCTCGAAAGGATATATACGTAGCAGCCAAAAACACCCGTACAATTATTCTTACGACGGATATCTCTGTACGTCCCTTGCAAACAGATACGGTCTGTTGTCATCTTGCTCGGTGCTTTGAAAGCCTGGCATTTGCTATAGCCTATACTGACTTTTTGAACATTTGCAATAAATAGGAGAGTTGCATCACCTTGCCACTAGTAGGACATGTGATTGATGCTGGGTTTACCATGATGGCTGATGGTTCCCTCCCAAACGTTGCTCATGCCGTTTGGGCAACGCAAGAACAGCTGGATCGCCGAGCTGCATTGCCCAAACGATATACTGATGGCGAGTATTGGGCCATGTATTCTACTGAGAGGTAAAGTGACGAAGACGAAACATCTTCCTGAATTGTATGCAGCGAGTAGTTTTTTTTTGTCACTGGTGAGTTCCAACTGAATATTTGTAAACGATCTCTTCTGCCTCTAGATACAATAAGCTTCCAACTCATCGCCAAACAGACTTTGCTGCTCCTGGTCTATTGGAGTTGGTGCTTCTCATTCGCCGAGTCTTTGGTGATTCTGTCTCGACGAAATCCATTCTGGAGAAGGCTTCATCGTTCCGCGCTAATGAGACAGTCGTGTTGAAAGAGAACTGGCCTCGATCGTTGCAAGCTGCTCAAACCTTCAGACGTACGTTGGTGACGAGGAAGATTCACAAAAATCATTCTTAGATTCTTTATGCGGCTTTTATTAGCTCACCCACAATTTCATCGTTTTTTTCATAGTCGTCTTGCGGGAAGGTCTCACACCACTTGGTCGTATTACTTGCACTCTACCATTACCACCTCCACTTGCCAAAATCCTTGTCTTTGGAACGCTCTTCTCGTGTCTTGATCCCATCCTAACAATGGTATCTATACTGCTGTTGAATGTCAGCTTGATTCCACATGAAGAAGCCATGTCAGTGTCTCAACGACAAGCTGTTCAAGTGCATTGTGATGGACGAGGTACTTTGGCTGGTTCTCTCAACTTGTATAATCAGTGGGTTGAGTATGCCAGAAAGGAGTCAAAGCAAGCTCTTGGTGAGTTATGCGTTTTGCATATGGAGAGTTTTTTTTGCTTTGGATGACTCACAATGCTCTTTTCACATTACACAGAACGCTGGTTGAAGGAACAGAAACTCAAAGCAGAAATTCTCAGCTCGATTCGAAACACTCGTCAAGACCTATTGAATCACTTGACACGAAACGGTCTAGTCCATTGTGCACATCACTTGGACTCTACAAAGACTCCCAAAGTACCTGATGTCATGCACGCCATCTTGACTGACTATGGCGCCAACTCTCATAATACTCAGCTCGTCTTGCAACTCGTATCATCAGGATTATCCATAGCTCGCATACTTCCACCAAAAGAGAGGCCTTCTATTGGTGGCAATAATCCAGGCGGTCGATGGCGTCTCAATGATAACGTTGTCAATGTCAATGGTGGTAGTAGCAGTGGTGATAATAAGCCAGTTCGATATGTCAAGTGTGATGAGAATGCTGTACAAGGGTATTATATGGTGCCAAATCTTGATGCGTATTTTAAGAATGTGCCACAAATATTGGGGTATTATATGAGTCGTGCTGATTTGGCTGGTGCAAATGCAAGCAACGCCATCAACAGCAACGACAGCAGCAACAAGGAAAATAGCAGTACTACCGACAATGTTGAATTATTGAGGGGCAGTCTTGTACAGTTGGTATCTGTTGATCCTGCTACGGCCGTTCTACTATGTGGTCGTGAGCCTCGAGTCACATCGTAAGTTTGTTTCATATTTCCGGCATCGCCTGCGTATTTTTTTCTTCTTGTTGCGCCAAATCGCTAAACACAACGTCTCTTTCCAAACCAATAGAAGGGAAGCATTAGGCGGCAAAGTTGAAGTCGTGGCCGAAATGTCTTCCATCTTCCGAGTCTCGTGTGTTGAAAACACTGTTGCCAAAGGATCTCTTGGACCCATAACCATGCTCGACCAATTACTCAGGCATTTCAACAAGGCTATGGAATTGTACTTCAAGTACCTCTACCAGAATATGAGTGTGGGTGGTGGTGTGATTGTCGTTGGTGATGGTCAAGGAGTTGGAGGTTGGGCGTTGGCACATGTTGAGAGTGATGAACATCGAGTGTTTATTCATGGGGTGTTGGATTTGGTTGTTGCTGTGTTGAGTCAAGATTAGAAAGAGAGATTAGAAGAGAGGGCTGGTTGTGTTATTAACGACGGAGAGGAAGGGGGGTGTGAATAAGTTGTTGCATATACAAAAAGTTGTAGATTTCTTGTAGATAGCGAGAGAAAGTAGAATATAAGATACCTCAAATTAAAGAACGATGGTCATCTGGGCGGGATAAACTTAGCGTTTTTTGCACATCGAGGTTATTACACAACAGATATTTTTCTGACTCTTGTTACTATGTGAAGGTAATCGTGTTTGATTGAACTGATACAGTCGGGACTGCTTTTGTACCAAGGATGTAGAAAATATGGAGAAAAAAATCTCGCCGTCTCTTGTCAAGTGTACCACGACCACCTACCTCAACCATAGCCTGGAGCAAAAATTAACTTCCATACATCATAGCAGGTGTGAGAATCACGATGGACCCATCAGTTGCAGAAGCTCACTGTGCTTGGGAAGCGAGAGTGTGAGATTGAAGTGAGTTTGTGTATGCAGACCCACATACTTTTGGTTTTGACGTAAACTACGGACTTGCTGTAATATCAAGTTGTCGAAAACTTAATCCAACTCGTTCAGCAACTCGCGAAGGGTCTTGCAACCATGTTTTACTTGCGATTCTTTCATTCTGAATGGATTCTACAAAGGACTATATGCCATGCTCAGAACATTCAAATACAAGACTATTAACCCCCTCTGTGTTTTGTAAACGGGCTTGGGATCGTCTTTGGCCACATGTTAGTGAATTATGGATGGTTGTCAAGAAACCAAATTCACCTCCGTGCGAGCAGTACCGATAGGAATAGGAGACCACCAGTTCACTCGCATGTAGGACGACTCAGCGTCCTGGCGACCCGGCTTGGTGTTAGCCCATCGCATGCCTTCATCTGGACCTCATTTGTTCTGTTGAGTCAATGTCAAACACGACCGAGCATGTCAGAATCATGAGCTCCTGCGGAGAAGGAGCACAGCATGACCATCACGGAACAAAGTTTCCAGAAAGATGGCTGCAAGTACAAGAGAAGAAGGCGGATTCAGTGATCCCAAATATTCACAGCAGTCAATTGCGGAAAGGAGAAACTGTTTGATTTTGTACCTCGACAGAAAGCTATGCTTATCTAAGTTAAGTGCTTTCGACATGGAGTCAATAATCTGTCTGCTTGAGATACTATTCCTTTGGATGCCGAATTTATATGTGGCGATGTTGTTAATGATGCTGGCATGACGACAAGTAGGCAATGTGCTTGCTAAGGCAACCCTGATGTGCTGGCAAGTCTAGGTGGACTGTAGTTTTGAATGGTTGCACGTAGCTGATCGAGTGATTCTTCTCTGTTGAGGCTATTGGTACCAGACAACAAATCCAAGACGGCATTTACGAGGATATTTGGACCACGATTTTGTAACTTGTCAAGGATGATCTTGAGCAGGACCAACATATCCAAGAAGGGTTGACGTAATTTTGCCTCCCAATCCATACAGCCGAATCCTTCACCAGCCTCGTCAAATGCATTTATCATTTCTTCCATCTTATACCATGATAGGGATCTTGCCAGTCCAAACTCGACTGGTAAATCCAATATTCGTGCACTGCTATTATTACTATGCATAGACGACGTAGAGGGATATGTATCGGTCTGAGCATTCTTCTTGTTCTACAAGAAGGTGATCATGGTTAGATGTTTGGAGAAGTAGTTGCTGTCAGATTCTTCAAGATGCGAAATGAGCTACAAGCTACCTAGTCAATGACCACATTCTTCAGCAAAACCTCCTGGTTTACCGTCAGATTCTTATAGGATGATACAATAAATTGCTTCGACATTCGATCCTTTACGATTCTCTTTAGATCCTGCTCCAGGAGTTTCGAGATTTCAGACCTGGCATCGCCGTCACTGATGTGATGTCTTCAACAAGCGCAGGTACAGTGGTTATAGTACAGTGTTCCCAATCATCCAACAGAGCCTTTCTAGCATTGGAGATGGCAGCCCGACGAGCGACAAGCAAGCGCTTCTCTGCATTGAGTGTAGCTGATGATGAGGATTGCGGTTGTTCTGTGGGATGTGAGGATGATGGCCTAGGTGACGGTGGTCCGTAGACCCGATCCAATGACTTTTGTCTATCTTCCTTATCCGCCATACTGCTTTTGCCCTCAACAGGCCAGCTGTTTGATTTTTGGGATGTCTCGCGAGTGCATGCAACTACATGAACAACTAGAAACAGAGACAGAACGCGCATACAAGCGCGTCATTTACTTCTAGATGATTATATGTTGTGTCGACTTGGTAATTACATCTTGTACAATCAAAAACTACCTACAAGACTAGAAACAAGACTAGACGGTGTCGTTAATCCGTATTACACGCCCTCCCCGACTTGCTTCCACATGCACACTCAATCATGCATTCAGTCTTAATGACGCGGCCATGCTCCCATAACGTTGAGCAAGCAAGACCACCGCCAGGTAGGCTGCTTCAAACAAACAAACACCTCCAACTGCAACGAGTCAGGAGTGTGCAACGAGTCAGGAGCGAGCAACTGGTCGCCAGCGTCCAGTCACAGAAGCTACCTGCCTCGGTCCTATATACGCAGAGAGCAGCACTCTCATACACCATACTCAACACCCACCACGGACAAATCATCATGGCGACTAGTAACTACATGAAAAAGATTTACTTATGAGAATTTGAAGGGAATGCAAGCAAAAACAATTTTTATAGACTAGTAATGGATCAGTTCGAGAGTAAGCATTCCCCAGCAAGAAATAAAAGGTGACTGAGAAGTGATCCAGTGTCACAGCTTGTCTTCCATAAACCTACAGGACATCGAAGAATAGGCGATACTTTTTTTCCAATCAGTCAATTTCACAACCAAATCTCATATCAGCACCCTCCCAGATTCAAATCCCATTAACGAGCACTCTTCCCACCACATTCTAATCCCATCATCCATATACCTCAACTCCAAAATCCCAACCCAGCACACACAGCGACAAGGATCCGAAAAGAGATACCCATCGTTATGTAAAATCCGTGAAAAAGAAGGGGCAGCCGGCCTTTGCTTGAGAATGCAAAAAAAACTTGATCTCTCGTACAATAAATAGTTTTGAAGACCTCCGGCAGTTGACAGAACACGTCCAAGCAGCTCCATACGACGTACACAACCTTTAGATGCCCTTCAGCGATACTGTCAATCAATCAGACAGCATACTGCGACAAGCCTGAAATTCAAGATCCTATGTCTAGCCGTGCAACCGGGTTTGATTCCGTGTCGAGGCTTCCACCTTGCAAACGACTGGTCTTTCCAAAACCATTTTCTTGAGCGTGAAATAAATGATTTCACTGGAAAGTCGATGCTCAATATCACGTTGTAGTCAGTTCACGAGATCGCATCGAACTTAAAGGTTGAGCATTCAGCAAGAAGAAGTAACGAGTATCAGAGCGTGTCTTCCACAAGACGACAAAACATTCAACGTCAGTCCGTAAAAAAATTGCCATCAGCCACAACCCCAACAAACAATCTCATACCTTCAATTATCAGTTACTGATCCAATCCCATCAACTAGCACTCTTCCACCACATTTCAACTCTGCACTCTTGTCCATCACCTCAAAACTCCAACTTCGCACACACAGGGTAAGTTGATGCGAAAACGATATCCTTGTTATATAAAATAATACTATAACCTGTACAAAAGAGCAACTGACTTGCTTGAGGGGCAAAAAAGGCGCCGACTCACAACTTACGTACCAAGTGGCACACGAGCATCCACATCAACCATACCCTTGAGCAACGAGCTTCCATTTATGATATTGGAAGTCAGTATCACGAATTCTCGTTGACCTATGAGGTAACGAATCTGATGAGAAAAAAGGCATTCATGGCGGCAGCCTCAAATGGCTCAAACAAACGCTTTCATACCTTCTAACTGCTGTCCCAAGAACCTCAATGCACTTATTTCAGTAAACGTGCATCCTCCGAGAAAGACGACCAGAGTCAATCTAGTATTACCTCGACTTTCTAAAAACGGAAAAGGAAAACGATAATGAGCTAAAGAAACCAAACTTCAAATTGAATAACTTGGTGTCAAACAATTCACGAACACAGCTTCAACCAAACGTACTCTTCGAAACACTCCCACCCAATCCCCCACTACTACCACCATCCCCAACAGTCTGCACCTCCTCAACAGTAGCTCCAGGCACCAGCTTAAGCGCCTCCTCCCATCCCTTCCACGACACATTCTGACTCCCCACAACATTCTTCCCATCCGAAACAGGACCCACATATTTCTGACACGCGGCCTGCACCAATCGTACACTTAGCGGCGCATATCCTGAATACACATACGACATATCATTGGGCTGGTGCTCGTTTACATCATCGACAATAAGTCGAAATGCCTTGCGGATTGCGGCATATGATGGTGTGGTTTTTGTAGATGAGCTGTCTTGGCGTTTGAAGAGACCTGTTTTCGAGAGGTTTTGGAAGGTGAGGAGGTGTTCGAAACCATAGGTCTAGGGACAAGGAAAATGAAAGGTGGTGAGATTTGTCTGCTGGTAGAAAAAAACTATTCCGGTAGTGGTTCTTGAGGCATCTTGAGGCAAAAAACCAGCGACAGTACATAGAGACCAATACCAGCACCGGCTCCTCACACATCAACACACCACCATACAGCACCCCATCCACAAACAACACGACATCGACACCCACATTCATAACTTACATGCATCACTTCCCGCTTGAAGAACTCATAATTCTTAATCTTGACGCCACCATTAACCAACGAATACAGACATAATAGTCTCATGGTAGGCCATAGTGGTGCCGACTTGTCAATTAACTCTTCTATGTAGTCGATATGTGGGTTGCTGATGATGCCAGCAACAAAGTCTACAGAGAGACAATAATTTGGATTTAGATTTGGCATTTTGCCAGCTGGAATCAATAGAAACTGGAACACGGACACACATACTTTGCTGAACTTCCAACATCCGATTAAAGTCTTGATCCAATGTATACTTTGTGATTTGTTCAGCGAGGTTCGTATCTGTTATGAAAAAAATCGTTAGGGTTCAGACGTCTCACACGAGGCAAAAGAGACTCGGATGACTATAGGATAGCTGCGAACTTACGCAGCCGCAACGACTGGTGTTCCTGTTGCAATCCACCCAATCGACCAACAAAATTCCGTATCTCAGTGACGGTTGTAGCATTGTGTCTCTCCTATGGTCATGGAAAGAAACGAAGAGATGAGCGAGGAGGAAAAAAGTGAGTGGAAAATCAAGTGATAACGGTGGTGTCCATTTCACAAACTACATCTCAACCACCAACACAAGGGCACTCCCACGTCTTTGAAGCACACGCTTACAACTTTCCAAACCACAGCACCCAGCATTTGGGCACAGAATCTTCTCAGGTTGCATTCAAACATCTGCGCTCACGAGTTCAAAACCCACCTCATAATCGTGGTTAATCCGTCTAGCAACTTGACTCAACAAGCCCCCAACAACAGCAAAATTTAAATCTCGCAATTGTTGGAAAAGCTTATCATTGGAATTCAATGCCACTTTACGTGACTTGGCAGTGGCTGTCACAGGTGCAGTAGTTGAGCTAGCAGACGTGGCAGGTGGCACCCCAAGGAGTGATGCGTCCAATTCGACGAATGCTGGATGAAAAGAAATGAGTCAGACCGTGCGACCAGCAATAATTTACATGTCATTTGTGGAAGCCCTTTTTTGGCAGAAAACATTCCTTGAACAAATGTCATATACTCACTGCTCTTAACATTAAATATCTCGTCAATCAGTCCCTCATAAGTCAGCTCCGTACACATTGGAGTCAGTAAATCCACACTCCGATCAATGATAATCATTGAATCGATTTCCGAGTCTTGCGGGAAGACTCGTGAGGATGCGACAGGGTCGTCTACGTTTGCGACTAGGTCTCGACGCATGCGTTGCAGCATGTCGACTAGTAACTATGTTGTGAAAAAGCGGGTTGATTGTGAGGATTTGGGAGAGGCACATGAGGGCAAAAACTAGAGTAAGACAAATCACTGAATATGTACACGAGCTTGACCGCCTTTCCCCACAATCTTGGGTATGATTCCCAATGCAGTTTGGAGCTTCATGATTGCTTTTGCGGTATAGTATATACATGATGGGTCTCCGTCCTAGGAGTAAACGTCGGTCAGGATCAAGGTGCGAAAAAAACGATAACAACTATACAAGCCAGATCACCAAACACACAACACCAACATACCAGATACAACTCCCTAAACGATCCTTCCAATTCCAATGAGAAGACATCATCGTCTAATGGTATAATATCTAGATGGTATTCGCCCATGGATATGTCGCCATAGACACCTTCGTCTTCAAGTACACGTTCACAGATTAGGGTTCGTCGAGGCACGAAGAAGACAGAGTAGTCTATTTTGATGCCAGCCTTGATGTGGGCTTTTATGTGTTCTAGATGAGTAAGAGTGGTGATGAGATGTTAAATGTGAGGTGACGTTGTAGAGATGGTGGTATATGATTCTGGCAGCGACTCCGCATCACTCTATACACTCTCTCTGCCCATTTCAACCACATAGTTGAGTAGCTTCCAGGGGTCAAATTGTCGATGTAACATGTCCAAAGACCACTATCGTCTCACACACTCCACAGATAGTCTCTACAGCCCTCACGCATTCCAAACACACTACCACACATACCAGCGATATGTTTCATATTCGAAATCCTGGGTCTGCATATATAAATGACAGATTTTGATTCCGTGTCGAGCCGTCCGCCTTGTAGATGGTAGATCTTTTCCACACCATGTTCCTGTTGTGATATCAAGAATGAGAAGAGTTGAGTATCAATAAATATACATGTACATGCTCATTCAGTGCAGTAAGATCAAGCATTATACCGTCAAGAGGGAGAATTCAGCGACGAGCGATAATGGACCACTTAGAGTTGGATCTAGGACGAGAGCCTTCTTTCCACGAACCTAAGGTAAATGCATGTAATATTATTAGGATTTGAATACTGGAGATGATACACCACCTCGCGTCAAGCAGACATTCAGACATTGCACGTACCGAGTCTAGGACATCGATGAGCTCTCGTTTCGCATATTCAATGATGGCGGGTCTGATGCTTCCATGCGAGGATGACGATGAGGTAGGCGCCGAAGCTGGAAGGCCTTCCATCGTGTAGCTTATGTCTCGTCCTGAGTTTTCGCTTAGAGTGTGCAGTAATTGGCACAAACAAGGTCGAAATGAAGTAGATTCGCGTCTTGATACGTGATTTAGCACGTGAATATACTTATGATTCGATTTACCGTGTTTTTTCTCACCAACTCAATCAACTTCTCCTCTTTCTCTCCATAGACAGCAAATGTTGCAATCGAGCAGAACGGCAACCAGAAGGATTACCAGTCTAGCATATACCCTAACAAGAACAATGACGTCCGAGTACTCGACAAGAACGGTCGGCGCTGCAAACACTCTTGAACACCGGGTATTCATTGGTATGTACATGGTCTATTAGCTTGTCTGATGTTGAATTGTGTGTGGAGCATATGTGTGCTTGTTAGTCAACCTGTTGCAATCAGAAGTAGAGACATCATTCTTCTTTGTTTCAATATATTGCTACATTGCATCACTTGAATCAAACCAGACAAGAAAAGCAAGTGCAAAAAAATGACACACATTCGTCAAACTTACTAGAAAACAAAGCTGGAGATGTCGTATCCCCATTCCACGACATCCCTCTATATGCAAACAATGAAAAAACAATCCTGAACTTTGTGGTAGAAGTCCCCCGATGGACTAATGCTAAGCTAGAGGTATAGTGGTGCACTGTGTTGCGTCGTGTTGGAAAATTTTCAAAAGCCTTACCACAATACACGTTTCAACCTATGAGAATATCTCATACTTACATACGATTCGTTTAATAGATCTCAAAGTCGGATGCATTCAACCCAATCAAACAGGACGTCAAGAAGGGAAAACTGAGATTCGTGAGAAACTGCTTCCCTCACCATGGCTACATCTGGAATGTATGGCATCCTTGTACTTTGTTTTTTCGTCATCTCATACCTATAACCCTCAATCTTACACACCCTCTAATGCTAGTACGGTGCATTCCCTCAAACATGGGAAGACCCAACTCACTCACACCCAGACACTAAAGCCAAAGGCGACAATGACCCACTGGATGTATGTGAGATTGGTGAACTCGTTGGAACTGTTGGGCAGGTCAAGCACGTCAAGGTGTTGGGTACTATGGCACTGCTCGATGAAGGTGTGTTGGTGAATGTTACAACATCTGTTTTGCGACTGTGATACCTTTTGCTATTGGATCTTGTCTCTAACGCCGTATGCGCCATATAGGCGAAACTGACTGGAAAGTCCTCTGTATCGACATCAACGACCCTCTCGCTGCAAAATTGAACGGTGAGTATCGATTCATCCTCTTAACGTCCTCGCCAAAGAAAAGACATCCCTATTTCTTTGGAAGCAATCCTTGTTGCTAAACTCTAACACCCACCCCTACCATCACCTAGACATTGAAGACGTCGAAAAACACCTCCCAGGCCTATTGAAAGCTACCCACGAATGGTTCAAAATCTACAAAATCCCTGATGGAAAACCTGAAAACACTTTTGCCTTCAACGGTGAAGCCAAAAACGCTGCTTATGCTACCCAAATCATTACTGAAACCCACGACGCTTGGAAGAAGTTGATTACGGGGGCTGTTCCTTCCAAGACTGAAGAGTATGATATCAAGGTGTAAGTGTTGTGTGTTGCAGTGTCAGGAATGCTGAGCAGATATTATTTTCGTTGAAGCAGGAGATGGTTGTGATAAACTCGAGGCTTTTCACATACGATATACTAATTGCTATATTGTGTTTCATAGATCCAACTTGTCTGTTGCAGGAAGTCCATACAAGGTCGCTAAGGATGATGCTACGTACAAGGGATTGCCAGCTGTGAGTTCACAATCAAGATTTCTGCAACCATTTTTTGGCTGTTGTTGTTGTGTTATAGTCAACACTCATTGTAATCTGCCTTCACTAGGACTCGAAACAACCTGATGCTCCCATCGACTCTTCAGGTATGCCAAAAAACTGCATGTACAATATGTAGCATCAGCTTAAGAGCAACGCTAAACAATACGTTATTTTCCTTTCACAATAGTCGACAAATGGTTTTACGTCTCTGGACAACCCAACTTGTAAAATACGTTTTTACAAGTTCCATTGTGTTGTTTTGCTGGAGTAATGTATAAGCAAAGGAGATTTTTGTTGTTGTGTGACAACAAAGAAAAAAATATAGATGATTCATTAGCTCGAACTTTTTGGTTGGCATTCGACACGGTTTTTGGATTGTGGAAACGGTTCAAAAGGTTACTTGCTGGGATTGCATCGACTTTTTGTTCAACAAAACAAGCGTTAAAAACCAAATAGCACGCATGCTGCATCACAAATTAACCAGAAGCTTGTCAATAGAAACATGAAGCCAGGACTAGAAGCAGGGTGGCGATGATTGATTTAAGACTGTACAATTCAAAAACCTAGATCCCTTCTGTCAAGTGCAGGTAAGACGGTCCAAGTTCTTCCCAAAATGGTCATAAACAGGTTGAAATAAGAAGAGTCCGTGCTGCTAGACCATTTCATTGTCGCGCCCGATGCATATTAGCTTGTTTTGGTGAAATGCGGCATTCGTTGTTTAGTTGTTTCAGTGCTTAAGTGCTTAAATCCTGCAACATTCGATTCGGGACTGCGTGTACATCGCGGTCCCAGTATATTCGGGCCATTGCGTCCGTGTTAAAAAAGGGATTTGCAGTGTGATGCTGCGTTGTGGGTCGCGAGTGTCGATCTGATTGGCTTGAATCCTGTAAAATAAGTACGAAGCGCCCCATCACGTGCCAGAGTATTCGGCCCATTGACTACGTTAAAAAATAAAGTTAATTATCCCTACTCACGTTTGTCGTTCTTATTCTGCAACAAAAATCCAAAACAAAAATACGTCCAACTTTGCTTGCAAGTCCTTGACAAACACCTTTCTTTTCAAGTTGTGGGAAAGAAGCTAACATAACCTTTCTTATATCGTCTTGATAATTGTAGGAACAACATCAAAGGACGTGTCATGTCAGCTACCATCCAAAAGAATGGTTTGCGTCAGCATTTCCTCAATTGGGTAAAGTCAACAACAAGTTTGTGACGTGATTCACCCATACTGATATACGAAATTTCGGGTCCATCGTATACTTCGTCCATCTTCCACATCCATACTAATCTCAATTTTCTGCTTTCACTTTTAGTATAACAATACCACGCTGGTAAGGACTGATGCCCAGATTCAGCGCGAAAGATATCTGTTTGGAACCTTGGGGATTGAAAGCGGGCCTGAATTCAATCGATGGACTTTACTTCCTGCTGCAGTTTTGAGTAAGCGTTGCCAAATTTTGTTGCAATTTAATCTTGTTCCACTCTGTATTGGTGCCTCGCCATTCCTCACCTGCTAACTGCTACCTTGTTTGTTTCTGAAAATAGTTCAATTGTCAGTTGGATCGCTATGTATGTATCTTTGTTTTTCTTTCTTGGTTGCTTTCCTTGCTTGTATCATCCCATCTTATTTAACTGATGTGACAATATTATCCAAACAGATGCCTGGTCAAATTATAATTCACCTCTCGACGCTTTAATGTGGGGAGCCGACAATTTCAAGGCCAACCCATCTCTCGCTCAAGCACCCAACGTCTTTTACGTTGCAGTCGGATTCTTTGGTCTGAGTGCCGCTACATTGGGACCATGGTTGGAACGTAGAGGGCCAGTACAAGCTCTCCTCCTCGGTGTCACCTTATTCATGTTGGGACACATTGTCGCTGCCATTGGTGCTTTTACTCAAATTTACGCTCTGGTCTTCCTTGGTTATGGATGTATCGCTGGTATTGGATTCGGTTTGACGTACATCAGTCCAGTGTCGCCTCTGCAGAAGTGGTTCCCTGATAAGCGTGGTCTTGCGTCTGGATTTGCTGTTGCTGGATTTGGTGAGTTTGAGACGAAAATTGTCTCTTTGCGACATTACCTCTCGTATTGAACTTGTGTCTTTGAATAGGTGGAGGAACGACTGTTGCCTCCTACTACATCTCCTACTTGATTACCACCTATGGTGTTGGTTACTCCTTCTTGATAACTGTACGTTGAATTGTTTTCCTATAGCTCGTCGGCTCCTTACCTAACCAAACATTTTTGCCATTTTAGGGTATCACATATGCCGGTATCATGTACACTCTCATTCCAACCTTCCGTGTCCCACCTCCAGGCTACATAGTCAAGAACATTGCCGTCGATGTCGTCAAGGGCTCTGAATCTGAAGTCGTCGTTGTTAGCCCCACCAGCAACACAGTCACTAGTCCAACCAGACGCACTTTTGAGAAATCTGAGAAAGGAATCGCTGTCGTGCAAGAAGACACCAACATTGCCATCAAGGATTTATTCAACCGTCGTGACTTGCTGCAATTGGTTACTTCCATGGACTTTATTCTCATGTATCTGATGCTCATGGCCAACAGTATCACTGGTCTCTTGATTGTGTCTCGTTTGTCAAACATGGTTCAGCAGCTGTTTGGAAAGCCAGCTTATGAGGTGAGTTTATTATCAAATCTTCTGCTTCTTTGGAAATGTAAAATGAGACTTCCAAAACCTTGTCAATCGTCACTAGGGAACCACCATGGTTGCCATCAACTCTCTAGTCAACATGGCTGGTCGTATTATTTTTTCGTCCATGTCTGACATGTTCGGTCGTCGCCCCATGTTCATCTTCACGCTTACCGTCCAAATTGCTTCTATCTGTTAGTCTTGATTTCCTTTATCTTATTTTTATCTCACTGTGCAACTTACAAACCCAATCCACATAAATCTCAGATGGTATACTGGCCTCAGCACACCAAGGAGTCTATGGCGGTTTCCTCTTCTGCATCTTCGCCGCCACCATGTGTTACGGCGCTGGATTCGGTCTCATCCCCGCCTTCTTGGCCGACATGTTTGGTGCCAAAATGACTGGTGCCACTCACGGATTCATCCTTACTGCTTGGTCATTCGATGGTGTTGTCGGTGGTCTCATGTTCACCGCCATCTACAATTCCCAAATCCACAAAATCCCAGGAACCACTCTCGTTGACCCAGCATCATACGATATCGACTTTTACTGGGTCTCTGCTGTTGTCATGATGGGCTGGATTGTCACTGTTTTCTTTGTCCGCACAGACCTTAAAGCCCGTTTCTTGCCACTACACAAGGGTGAAATCATTCGATCAAGGTTGTTTGGATCTCTCTTCTTGATTGGTACTTTTGGCATTCGACGAATGACTAAAAGTGAAGAAGAAAAAGAATGGAATGAATATCTCATCAAGGCTAGAACTGGACAAGTTGTTGTTGGGAAACTGCTCAATGGTGGTCGTCCACGTGGTGTCCTAGCTTGATCAGGATTAGACTCTACAAATCCGTTTTCGGACTTCAATGCTGTAGTTTGTCTTCTTCTTTCATGTACCGTAGTATGACTTCAATATGTACCCGAAAATCTTAAGTGACATTTGGTTTATAAGACGCGAGTTGCATTGTAAAAGGTGATTGTTTTCTGGACAAGCAAAGTAACAAATCCAGGACGCTGTATTGAAGTTGTGGGTGCAGAAATACATATACTGACTGACTCAGTATTACCTTATGAGGCAGCAAAGACGCCCAAACCAGCACCGATTGTCACATCTTGTTTCATAAAATATCGTGAGCTTGAAGGAGAAGCTCCTTCAACGATTGTCTCAATTTTTAAGTGGTCCAATAACGCCGTCCAGCCGGCGAGTTTACATATTAGACAAAACGAAGGCGTTAGAATCTCACGCAACAAACAAGACTTATCACTTGAAACGAAAAATGATATCGACAAGTGCAGAGTTCACTATATTGACAGAACACGGAGGTCTGTAAAGTCTCGACTTGTGGCAAGCTTGAATACGGAGGCCAAGCGTCCCTGCCCAAGGCGTGTCATTTGCAAGGGACGAGTATGGAGTTCACCAGCTTTACAGAATACGAAGGCCTGTAAAACCTCGATTGCGACACCCTTGGGAGGGCATTTGACTTTCAACTGTAGGCAACGTACCATTTGAATGTTTGTCTTCAGTTCAAAAACGAGTAACCCTGTTGGCAAGACTCGACTCTCTCGCGCTACACTCCGTAGTGACTCTGACCACTAGTCCATGCTCCATCTGCCCAGCAGGGCTCTATCAATGCGTCACGTATTTTAAAATGTTATCTGATGGGTGTCTTGCCTCTTCTCATCGTCATCTTTCCGTTTTGCGTCAACGTCATCATTAAGCGATCACTTTGCTGACCAACCTTCCCTACGCTATCTAGGCTCTAGGTTAGCTTATACGACGTAACAGACGTCCATCATCGCATGGCGGACCTCCAAGTGCGAACGCTAATTTGAATGCTGCCAAAACACTGACCTTTACTAAATTCCACGAGATGCCAGCCAACTGTAGCAACGTTACAAGTTGCGCTGTAAATTTAGATACGATGGATACGTTCAAGCTCTTCTCAAGCCCTGATCTATACTTTCATACAATTGGCGAGTTGAAACAAGAACTGAAGTAAATGCGAGAGATCTACGTGATTCACAACGCCCAGTGGAACAACGCTCAATAAACTGGTTAATGGTTAATAAAGTAATTGAAAGGAATTAGATAGACGGCGAGTTGCAACTGCAATTACCGCGACTTTTCTTCTCCGCGTTGTCAACTTTCAATCGCGTTCTACTTCTATACCTCTTCTTCTATTCACTCAAATTGCATAAAATACACATCAAGGTCTCATTATCGGTTGTGACGTGTCGAAATCTTGATCACCGTCACTTTGTTGATCATCATCGTCCTCTTGATCATCTTGAAATAGCAGTTCAGCTTCTCCTCTTGCTTTTCCCTGCTGATCTTGGCTAGTGGACACAGTCTTGATAACCTCCGTCACATCCTTCTTACTTTGCTGTTGTAGTAGTTGCGGTTTAATCTCATCATCTTTCTGACCAGCTTGTTCTTGCATCGGGACCCACTCAGTAGGCAAACTACGTCTGTTCGGTATTCCAGAGCTCCCTCCCTTGCGATTATTAAGCACAGCATTCTTGTTTGCCTTGTCATGTACCAGTCCATTCAAAAATCCAACGAGGTTTGGATTTTCGTCCGAGTTGAGATCTGATTCGTCTTCGATGAGCGCTTCCTTGCTGAGGACGGGTGATTCATTCGGTGTTGTTTGATATAGTTTGACTCTTGATCCTCGGGGATTCGATGAGTTGTTGCTTGATGCAGTCCTTGGGAAGATGAACTGGTAGATTCGAGACTGCATGACTCGTCTCATTGTAGGAGATTTCATGGATGAGGAATAGGATTTAGCTTGCCATTCGTAAAAGACTGCGTGGACATTGACTAATCGAGAGCGTCGTTTAAGTTTTCAGAAGGAACAAAGAAGGTAACGATTGTCAAAGAATAGTTGTTGGATTCACTCACTGAGGAAGGTCAGATAAAACAATAGCAAACATGAATTCACCAGCGGTGATGTGTCTTCATCTGGATCACCTCCCAAGAAGCCAATAATGATTCCAGCAAGCAAGAATACGATAATGGTAATCCAGCTGATTACCGAGATGTAATTATTTCTTGCAAAGGCATACGGCCTTAAATATACCATCATCATCATGTTTGCTAAAGAAACGAGCACCGAATTGGCGTATTAGAAGGCAGTTCTAGATTCCGTAATCGTAACATCTCACATACCAAACATAAGTACACACGACCCAAACATTAGATACGACGGCCGTTTCCTAAGATTGAAACCTCAAGTCAATGAAACAAAGCCTTCATTTATCTTAACACTTTCGAAACAAACCTGAAGACAACAGGAATCAGCATAAACATCAAATTCCACATGACACTCCAAGGTGCAAAATACCAAACCTTGGAGGTGTAGTTGGAAAACAATCCGCCGAAACGGATACGGACTTCCTTGTGACCTAATCGATCTCTATACACGTATGTGATTGCGAAAAATAGCACAGGAATGCCGAGCCCGTATAAGATTGAAGCGATGATTGCGAGAGGTCTCCATCCCATCCATGCGTCGTCATAACAGGTCATTTCAGGAGCTCCATTCAAATCTGTTTCAAATTCAGGGATGAGAATTGATCTCACGCATCTCGGTTGACTTGGACGATACTCACACCATCGTGAATCATACTTTTCTGATATACACACAAACACTCTCAAAGCTCTGTCAGTCAACGGTATGTGCAACAAGACTAGTGCTTGTAAGAATGCGTTTGCTATAAATTAGCAAGAAATTGTCAGATAGAAGCCATCAGCGAAGTCGTTCACAAAACCTACTAGCATTCTTGGTCCAATAATCCAAAGTAGGCCGATAATCAGCCTCCTTCTTGATATAATGAGCGTGCGCTGTCAGCAAAACAACATACAAAGCTAGTACAAATGCCAGGATCAACGGCAACATCCATACAAACAGTAGTCTTTCATCTAAATATATGATCAGTGTCAGAGCTTCAGCGTTTTAAGTGAAGCCTGAACCGAGAATCTTACAGAAACCAAGCCCAAAAGCACACTGAAGATTCAAATAGTCCGTATTAAGCACAGTAATGGAGAGTCCGTTCACGACGTCACCCAATCCATTCGTATTAGCCCACTGTATCGGATACTGATGAAACAAGCCTATAACTTGCACAAATAGCAAGAAGATATCGAAACTAGCCAGTGAATTGTTCTTGATGGCAAGCATCATCCATCGAATTGGCATAATAACAATGAGGAGAAGCGTTACGGTTATGAGCAGTGATGCTTGATTCCGGCATTCGATACATTTGCCATTCGAGATCACAAGTCCAGATTCTGGTGAACATTGAGAGCATCGTGGTCCTGTATATCCTTCAGCACATGTATTGTTTCCTGCGCATGCTTCGTCAGTGAAGCAAGCTAGAAATCTGGTTGCGTCCATTGGTGATGGAGAGTATCCTGGCAACGATACCGGTTGTGCGTCCCCGCCAGCACAGAATCCTCCTGTGTTACATGGACTACAGACGTCGAATGTGCTATTTACAAGATACGTCCCGATCTGACATGGGTAAACGAAAGCTGCCGAGACGGTATTTGTTGTTAATTGCTGGGATTTATATGAGAGGTATCCTTGGTGTGATCCGGGAGCTGATACCGGAACTGGGCACTGAAGATTTGATAGTTTGTTGGCGATTTTCATTGAAAAAGAGGTCAGCAAGTACGCATATCCGATTCATACCTCAACATACGACGAATTATACACATTGGCAGTCGTACTAGCCCCATCAAACGTACACGATATATATACATTGACTGGAATGTTGTTCCCCGTGATTCTCAACAGGACTCCCTTCGACATCGTCACTCGAGCAGGACTGACTTGATTCAACATGACATCTTGACACGAATAACTAGCCAGTGCAGTCCAATTCAGTTTTTCAGCACCACACCAAAACTTATTGCTACCTAGGAACGCCGTCCCAGCTCCAGTCATGGCAGCAATTCCGGATGGAGCAAACCCGATAAACTGGTTGGCAGACATATTCAAATAATTCAGCTGTCCAATCCAATCATCGTTTTCAAATGCAATGCCCGTCAACGAGTTGCTAGATATGTCGATAGATACGATGCTTGAATAGATGCTTCCCAAAGCAGTAGGTACAGTGCCACTAAGATTTGCATTTGCAAGGTTTATTGATGCCAGCATATTGAATAGCTCCAATGATGGAGGGAATCGGTTGATGATGTTTGAAGATAAGTCCAACGTTTGGAGATATACTGGTAGTATCGGAGGGCCAGATAACGGGCACACTATTCTATTTGATGGAAGCTGAAGAGACACTACTCGTCCAGTGTGGCATGCTGTGATTCCATACCAAGTGCCTCCGACTTCAGCCCCACTTCCAGATGATGGTTGAGTAGATGGGCATGCGAGTCCATTTGAAGTCCAATTGGTCGAATGCTTCCAATAAATTCCACCACATTGATTATAAAGTGTGGTTAAGCGTGCCGTATCGTCATTATGGCAATCAGGACCTGACATCCCTTCAGAGCATTGACAAGTCACTCCATTGGTACAGACTCCACGTCGATAAGCAGAGTAGCAGTCGTTAGGACATCCTGCGGGGATGCTTCGGCCTTGGATATAATAGATGGCACTCCAGCCATCAAATTGAAGCGTTGGATCGGTTACGAATTGTAGTGTCAGAATGTTGCCTAAGAAATAGTGATAAGCAGTGTTCAGAAATTCATGAAGGCCATAATTACCAGGAGACGACGTGTATTCGACATAAGATCCATTGTAAAAGTTTCGCAAGACACCAAGTACCACGACATTTTCTAGTTCGCCGTCATAGATCACGACGCGATCTTCACCAAGCATCTCAAGTTCCCATGCTACATAAAATTTGTCGTTACTTTTCAAAGAGGCAATCAGTTCTTAACATCAGTCGAGATACGCACTAATGAAGCGAACAACCACAGACTCGTTGGGCTGCAGCGATGACGGTGAGATATGCCACACACAGCTCGAAGACGGGCGATACGGTTGGAATGGAGGGCTTCCGTCGCTAAATGTTCCAGAAGAGCCAGTCAACACAGTAGGTTCTGTCGACGAGCAAAATGTTGAAGGGTAAACGTGGCCGATGACCGTAAACAGCCATATTAACAAGACGGTGTGGGTTGATGTTGCCATATTAAATGATTCGTGAATGAATGGGCCACTGGCGTAGCAAGTTTTCAACCTTGATCTAACAATTGATGTTGATGACTTTTCAAAACAAGGATTCCGTGACAGTTTAGCAAGTCAAGAATCAATAGTTCCAGCCTATATAACGTTTTAATGAGTACTGATAATCCCGATACAAGACGTGTGGGTCGTGATCTCTGCAAAAACGAATGCCGGTCACTTCAAAGCAGACAACAAACAACACTTTGACGATGAGTTCTTCGCCAGCAGATGGAATTAGAAGGAGGACACATACCGAGTCCTCTGATGCAGATTCCAGCCATAAACAGAAGAAGCGGAATGTAGCTCCACGACTTGCCTCGAGGCAAGTAATTGACAAAAAGTTTGAAGTTTGCTGCTGGAAGGCGTTTGCTTAAAACGGCATCTTGTTTTGGCACGAAAGCATTATTAATATCATGTACTCTATAGAGTTCGCACGTCTTTCTTCCAAATACCTAGCTTCCTAACTGGCGAAAGCATCGAACAAGTCGATGGTCTGAAACCCTCAGCAAGGCCATCAAGTATATGGACACCATCTCAGAGCCTAGCATTCAGATTACTGATATGGTTCAGGCTATTAGCCGCACTCTATTCAAACATATCTGGTACTTGCAGCAAAACACGTAACAGCCTCAAAGCTCAACATGCTCAGACCACTCTCTCCCGGTCAAATATTAGATTGCGATGAGGTCTTTAACTTTTGGGAACCAACACATTACCTGCAGTTTGGAAGAGGATTGCAAACTTGGGAGTATTCACCAGTGTATGCCATTCGATCTTGGGCATACATACTTCCACATACAATTGCTACATTTCTGCTTGAAGCGACACTTACAAGAGACAAGGTACTTTCATCGTTACGCCCAATGTCGCTCGCATTTGCAGCTCACTCGCTTGTAACCTAGGCCTCGCTGTTTATCTTGCTGAGGTTTATACTCGGGACCATCTCAACCTACACAGAATCCAAGCTATATTGGGCCGTAGTTCAATACGTCCATCCTCGTGTTGGACGGTATATGCTGATACTCATGATGGGATCAGCTGGCATGTTTATATCATCAACAGGTTTGTGCCGTTCTTATTCAAATCATGATCATGTTGCAATTCTAACTCTTTTTGCTCGTAGCTTATCTCCCATCCACCTTCGCAATGTACTGTATAACACTAGCCTTCTGTCACCAGCTACGGCCACCATCTCGATCAAGGACGGAATGGGTTGTCTGGTGGACTGGCTTGGGAGCTCTATTAGGATGGCCATTCGCAGCTGCAGTATCCATACCTTTTGTTATAGAGGATGTGTTCATGTCTGGACAAGGATGGAGAAGGCTTAAATGGATGTTGTGGGCTGGAATCGTTACTACCATTCTCGTTGTGGTAATCCCTTTCTCACCCATTGCTTCTTTTTGCCACGTGTTAGCTCATATTTTTTCTTTTCAACAGTGGCCCATGCTACACATTGATGGATTCTTGTATGGGAGGCTAAAGCTTGTACCTCTGAACATCATCACCTACAATATCTTTGGTGGTAAAGATCGTGGACCAGAGATATACGGTACATCACCATGGTGGTTTTATATAGCCAATGGCATGCTGAATTTCAATATGGCCTTTCTCATGGCTTTGGCTAGTTGGCCTCTTCTGGTAAAGTTTTTTTTTTTCATTCTGGAGCAAAAAATCCGTATGTTTACACATCATCCATCGTCCAATCAGATGATGACTAGGCTCATGAGCAACGGCTCCTTCTCAGCCGTACTAGCTCCAGTCAACAGCGAACCTCGACAGAGGGTAGCTTTCAGAATCCTGCCGTTTTATTTCATGCTGTACATATTCAGCACTCAACCACACAAGGAAGAGCGCTTCATGTTTGTGGTGTATCCATTGATATGCTTCAACGCTGCTTTGGGCATGTATTGTCTGAATCGACTAGTTGAAGGAGTGTTGCATGATTTGAACATCCCAAGGGTAAAAATCCTGATATGTGATGTCAAGTATATCTCATCCATTGTCAAGTTGAATCTTTTTTTTCTTGTTTAGGGAGATCGAGTAACAGCAACCCTGGGCCTCTTCATCCTCTCCGCATCAACTCTAGTATCCTTCTCACGAGCAATGGCCCTGTATATACATTACTCTGCACCAATAAGCATTTATCGCCATCTTGCAAGTGAAATAACGAATACTATGAGATCTGATGTGACTGTATGTGTGGGGAAGGAATGGCATCGATTCCCATCGCATTACTTTCTCCCGAATCAAGCTCAGCTCAAGTATGTAAAGAGTGAATTTGATGGATTGCTGCCTAAGTACTTTTATGAGCCTATATCGGATACGGAGAGTAGCAGAAGTGGGTCGAGGAGTCGCTGGCAGAGTCGGGAAGGTGCGTGGAGTGTGCCTGATGGCATGAATGATCTAAATCAAGGTGTCTTTGATGATCGATATGTAAGTGTTTTCGTTTTCGGTTTGGAACTTATCAATGGAACACAAAAAAATCCAACCATATTCTTTCGTAGGTCAATCTGACGGACTGTGACTACCTCGTCGACTTGGACTTGCCTGCCACTGCAACAACATACGACCCAACATCACTCGAACCTCGATACATACTCGACACTGAATCATGGAAGGTCGTCAAATGTCTCCCATTCTTGGACTCGGCTAGATCATCACGAATTGCAAGAGCACTCTGGATTCCGGATGTGTTTGTGTCTTTGATTGATAGTGAAAAGGTGGAACAGGTTATTGGGAGAAAGGAGTGGGGAAGTTATTGTGCTTTGAAGGCTCAAAGTAGTGAGAGTATAGATATTATTACGTAGGTTTGTTGAGAAACTTGTGTGTTGTAAATATATTTTGGTTAGCCTCACACAAGTTGTGTTGGAGAGGTTTGGGGTGTTTTGGAACCGGTCTTGTGAGGATGAAGAGATGCCAGGAGAGACGCTTCGTCATACAGCGATGCTAGTGAGCTCTTTTTTCGCACAAACAGAAAGCTACCAGATCCGAAAACTAACATTTTTTGTTGTCTTGTTTAGACAAACCAAGGCTTTGTCATTGTCGAAGCGACTATCGAAACTTATTTCTATCGGAACTTGTTTCTTCTTCGACAGATTCAATTAATGGCCCATATCCCATACCGATGGATTACTGCAAGGACTCCTGAAACTCGTCTCTGATCAATCTTAAAATCAGATGATGACTAGGCTCGTGAAGTACGGCTGTTTCTGTGCTTTAATTAGCTCCAGGCTCGACAGAAATTTGCTTTCACGCAGCTACCGTTGTATTTCATTTTATGTAAATTAAGCAACAACCACACCACCTTCGTGTTTGGTGACCCCTGCTTGTTGCTTTGGGCATGTGTTCTCTGAATCATCTACTGGAGAGGGTATGGCATGATTTGAGTATATCCAGGGTCAGCAGCAAGTGATATGAGATCAGCTCCTATCGCTTGTCTCACGAGAACCTTTTTTTGCATTTTAGGACTATTGAGCAACACCAACTTTGGGCCTCTTCATTCTCTCGGCATTTACTTTTGCATCCCCCTCACGAGAAATGGTATCTACGTCACTCTGCACTAATGCCATAAGCGCCGTCTCTCAAGTGAAACAACCAACAGTATGATCTGATGGGACTGTGTGTTGGAACGGAACTGTGCTGTTGCTCTGCTGACCCTTTTTAGGAATCACGCTCAACTGGAGTTTATAAAGAGTAAGTTTAACGGATTGCTGCCAATATGTTTTATGTGGCTGGCGAAAAAATGACGCGCATATGATTTCCCCAGGTCAAGTCCCCAGACTGTGACTACCGTCTCGACCTGCAATTACTTCCACCACGGATATACGAATCCAACATCACTAGAACCTTAATCCATACTCGACAGGGAATCGTGGAAGATATTCCCACTGTCTTCCATCTTGGACATCATTCTGTATTCAAGAGCATTATGGATTTCGGATGTACTGTGTGGTCTTGCTGAGTCGTAAGAAGCTGGAGCATGTTGTCTGGAAGGTGGAGTGCGGCAGTTATTGTAGATTGAAGGCTCAGAATAGTGAGCGTTTAGATGTCATCAATTTGGTTTGTTGGCCGTGTGTAGCAAATACAACTGGTCTGCTATTCCGGAAATGTCTTGGCGGGTTTAAAAGGAATTGCGAAAGGAGGCAAATGAGATGCGAAGTGGCACTTCAATACATAGTTTAGTGCAGATTTGTTTTCTCTGCCATTTTGTAAACCAAAACCAAACTCGATCATCATATCAAACCAATATCAGTTTGTTATTAATCAAAGATCAATACAATAGTGACACTAAACAGTCTTTTAAGCTGCGTATGAAGATCTACAATTGGGACATGTTAGCCAAAGCAGGAGTATCAAGTCGTGCAGAAAAATCCAAACCTGGCTTGAATTCCCCATTTGCCTATACACCAACATCAACATCAGCTCCAAATTCAAGAAAGATTGAATGTGAGATGCTTACCATCCAGTTTAACAGTTATGTACAGACTCCTAAACCTTCCAATTAACGATCTATAAACACCCGCTGTAAGCTTGACACCCAAAAGAAGGGAAAAGCAGCACGAAAATATGTACCCATCCTTCCTCCATCTCGAGAACTGCACGTCCCAATGCACCTTGTTTGCATCGCTCACAATAGCATGCCTGTAATCCCAACGTGAGGATCCCCATCCCTGGTTATCGAATGAGTCTTTGAAGCGTTTGGTATCCTTTTGCTTCAAGTAGTCTAGTGGAAAACGAAAATGTGTCGGCCCGTGATTTATCGTGGGTTCGTGGAATGCGGGAAGGTGCTCCAAGTTTGAACACATGCGAGCGTATAAGGGTGATGTATGTGGTTTACCATCGAATGAGTTTAGGACTAGTACTGTTCCTGATGCTAGTCTGACGTGTGGCGCATGGAATGTTGACCTGTGTGGAAAGATGTTTGATCAGGATCCACGACAATAGATTTCATAATATTCAGGAGTGCGCATTCAAGACGTTTCAAATTTTGTCAATTCAATACTCACCAAACACCAGCATCATCACCAGCTGCGAATGTGGTCATGAATTTGTCAAGTACTTTGCTTGATTCAGCTTCAGATTGAGCATCTCTCAAGACAACAAACCCGTTGCTCTGTGCCATAATTAGTCCTTAAGCTCTTTGAAACTCCTTGGGTCAGCTTTTGATGTGTGGTTCTAGCGAATGTGTGTTGCAATTGCAAAACGTTCACACTGTCGCGCAATACGGCAGGACCAAGCAGAGGGACTTGGAGAGTGTCCAGACACGTCCACCGTATGCATAACCGCCATATAAATCAAGGTATGGCTCTTTAAACTCCTTTAGTGAGCGATCGTTCAGTCAAATTTGCAATCTCCTGAGTTACCAACCAAACAACCAAAACTTTGCAACGAATATCACGATTTTTCTCATCCACAAAGCTGAAAATACTCTTTAACATTAGAATGAGACTGCTACAATCCTATCCCATCCGATGGCCTCCCGGCACCACCACATCAATCCTGCTCCCTTTCATGACATTCACGATCTGGTTTTCACTCTCCCTGCTCGGCCTCCCGATAATCCTACTCACAGCAATCGCAACCCATACACTCACATCAATCCACAGCGTATCACGATACATGTATTCCCGCTTTAATATCGTGCAGCGCTTGAATTTCCATGCGCAACGCATTATTATGAACACTGCTGCATTCACTATCCCCAGATTCATGTATGCTGTTGCATTGGGATTGGTATTGTCGATTCGGTTGGCTGAATGTGCGCTGGCTGTGATGAGACTTGGGGCTTGTTTTGGTGCGCTGGGTGTCGAGTTGATTCAGACGAGGAATTTAAGGAGTGCAAAGGACAGAAAGGTTTTGTTGAATAAGTTTGTTATGCTGGGCAAGCTAGGCGGAACACTTATTCTACGTCCTTGGTTTGAAATTGTCTGGGGTAGAGTCTCTTTTATGCAAGTTACCAAACCTGAATACGTCTTTAACAAACCTATTTCCTAGTCACGATGGGATTCTTTATCGTACGAGGCTGCATGTCCATAACCGCCTTCCGAAAACGCATACAAACCAACCATCACCGCCAACTCACCAAACCGATACCCAAATCATCAAGACCCCAAACACGAGCCGTCTCGCGACTCCCCACCGAACTCCTCGACTGCATCCTATCCCAACTAAACCAATCAGATCTCGTCAGCTGTGCCCGAATAAATGCATTCTGGTCTCGAGTAGCCACTGAACGGATTTCCCGCAACTGTCGCATCACAGCACGACATTTTCGCCGTCTCTTTGCATCTGATATTGCCGGTTACTCTATATCACTGCCCTCAATCAAGACCCTGCACCTAATCGGATCGCAACGACTCCGAGACATGGACTTGTTTATTCCCTTCATGGGAGTCGGCAAGCAACTCACGGCACTAACCGTCGAGTACTGTGTAGGACCATATACGAAACAGCTCCCGACCTTCTTAGCACAATGCGCCAACCTAACATCCCTAAACCTAAACCGGTGTGATGCAGGAGACGCAGCACTTATATCCCTATCGAAACTATCACCACCACTAGTCTCTCTCGAGCTAACCCGCGTCCTCGCAACAAAGGAAGCAGTCATGCAAGTAATCACCGCATGCAACAAAACACTCAAACGAGTAAAGATCGCCGGATGGGGACTCCGTATCGGCTCACACGACAGACTCCTATACGCCCTCCTCCAGCTCCCGAAACTCACCTCGCTCAGCATCTGGATTGGCTTCTGCGACTGGAAGACCCTCGCCATACCATCCGAATTCACGCAACCGAATGTCTCGTGTATCGAGCTCGAGGGTGAAGAATCAACCACAGACGGCACATTCATATCGCACCTCTCATCGATATGCATCAAGACCCAGCACTGGACAATCCGCAACTGTGATTTACGTGACGATGTACTGATTGACGTGCTCGACCGATCAAGCACCAATAACGTATCCCTGAAATCCTTGATACTGGAAACAACACAGCACCCATCACAGCTCACCGCATCCTCCATATCCCACATACTCACCACCCCAGCATGTGCCAAACTGCACGCCCTCACACTCTCCCGCTGCGACTTTATCACCGATAAGCACATATCCCACCTCTCATCATCCCTTCGTTGTCTCCGACATATAAACATCCAAGGCTGCCACCTTGTATCCGATACCGGTATATCACACCTATCGAAAAACCTACCCGCCTTATCATCGCTCAACATGTCATTCTGCCATACACTCACCGACTCATCCCTCCACTCGCTCTCAGCCAACCCATGCCTTTCAACCCTCACAGCCATATCCTGCCACTCCTTAACCCCTCAAGGCATATCCACCCTCCTCGCCACGGCACCATACCTAACGAAACTGGACGTCTGCCACAACAACTTCCCATCTTTTTCATCGATACAGCAGATTATACACTGTGTGCCACATAACTGTCCGTCTGCGGAGCGGGACCTGAGTGTGAATACGACGAGACGGATGCTGCTGCTTCGTGGTGGAGCGCAGGTCGTAGAGAGGGCGCCGCCGGTTATAACGAGGGTGGATTTGGAGGTTTTGTATTGTAAATATCCGAGACTGAGGGATTCGTTGGGGTTCAAGGCGGAGGAGAGGTGGTTTAATGATGTGCTGGCGAGGTTTTATACATTTGGTGGTGCGAGTCAAAGGGGGCAGCGTCGTATTATGAATGTGGTGGCGCAGGAGGTTGCTAATGTGAGCTTTCACTTGTCCTCATAAATCTTTGTTGCTCTTGTAAATACCTAAACTTTCTTTGTATTTCGATCTCCTGAAATTATACCAAGAACCTCTCAACATAACATAACATGCATAATACCACTTTCGCGACAAGCTTTTTCAACTAATCCGTGTTTCCAAAAACGACAAAGATACACATCTGCGTTTGTTTACGACTCAAAGCAGCATGAAAAATAGGAAAACTAGTGAACTCATAACACGGCATGGGCGATCACTTTTTTGCGGTCTCAAATAATCCATGTTTAAAAAAGACAAAGACATATATCTACGAGTCAAATCAGCATGCCAAATAGAGAAAATAGTGAACTTATATATGTATATATGTTTGCGATGGTGACAAAAGACGTGAAACAGTCCTAAGAGAGTAACGTCATTTGTAAACACTTCCTTCAAACAAGAGCTGCAAAGAATTGCATTCCAGCTGCACATACCCCTATGACCAATGACGTGAAGCAGTCCTATAATAGTCGTCATCACTCCTCCATCTACATACAGCAACAAAAGAAAAGTTGGCAACTTCGTATTAATCAATGTCGTGCTTCAAGCGAACCGACCCATAAACTAACACAACCACAGCACCCCAAACACAGAAACTCACCCGCAAGGCCTCGAAATCCAAAAGTCTTCACGACTGCCACTCCACCCAGCAGCATCCAACAAAGCAGAGGCCTCTCGCCCAGCTGCATTATTGTTATTCCCATTTCCAGCTCCTCCCTGTGCACCACCATTAGCACCACCGTTATTCCCATTGTTTCCACCACCACCACCATTATTATTATTGGCTACATTATCACCGTTGATAACAACATTCAACCCTCCTGGCGCATTGACATTGACATTCGCATTCCGATCAGCTCGAGCAATCAATACTTCTAATCGGGGACACGACGTGATAATACTTCGAATCTCGTCATCGGATACATTCGGTGCTACAGATCCTAGATTCAATCGTTCAAGAGCAGGTGCATATCGTGCGATGGCATTACATACGTTTACATCAACTGCTCCCCATCCGGCGATAGCTAGGTCTTTGAGTGATGCACCACGTCGTTCGAGAAGCGAGCATAGTGCTCGAGATGTTGTTGCACGATGTTCAGCGTTTCGTGGTCCAGAAGGCATACACATCCATATGGATCTGAGCGGTGCTAATATGGTATCGGGAGCAGGTGTTCTTCGTGCTAGAGCCCATATCGTAGCAGCAGTACATCTCGTCATGCTTAAATCCAGTACTGATAATCGTGGACATGAAGCAATGACGACTTCCATACCTTGATCTGTAACGCCGTGATCTGTTATACGTGGTATGATGGCAGCAGCGAGTATTCGTAGCTTGGTGCAACCACGAGCAAAGGCTTCAATACCGTTGTCGGATATAGCATCACATTGTCCAAGCCATATACCTTCGAGGTTGGGACATTTTACTGCTATTTGGGCTAAAAATCCATCGCCAATTCCTGTACCCCATAAATCAAGCCATTTCAGATTGGATCCTACTGATGAGGCAACCAATTCACAGACTTCTCGACCCGATTCTCGTCCTTCAATTCGTTCCAATGTCAAGGTATGTAGTCGTGCAAATCCGGCTCTTAGCTAAAGTAGGCAAAACTTGTCAAGTTTCAAGCTGTTCAGAGGCGAGATAAAAAAACTATAGGTTATATAACGTACCTCCGCTATGGACGACTCTGACCAACCATGTCTCCTCTTCACACCACCTCGTAAATACAAGACCTAAGAATTGGCAGGACCAGAAATGAGTAGTTAATAAGCGGTATAATCAGAAGCGAAATAGAAAAATTGGCTGTTGACAAAGGACATTCTTATGTCATATCGTAGTTTTGCTCACCTCTAACTTTGGACACGACCTGAAAAACCTCTGCAAAGTAGCCTGCTGTACATGATCAGCACGCAACCGCAAATCCTGCAAATCAACACATCGAGTACCCCTCCACAAAGCCCTTAACAATGCTCTAGCAGATTCCTTATCGCGTAATTCAACACCACTTAAATCCATCTTTAGTAATCTTGCACCAGGATGAGTTTGACCAGCACCTCGCCGTTTCGACAAGTGTGCTGATGCTAGAGTACCACCTACTACGAGTCGCCCAATAGAAGATGCTGTTGGGAGGAGTGGATCTCTCCATAGTTCTGCAGCTGCTGGTCCATACCAAGATTTCGAGACTCGGCAACATGATGCTAGCGTTTGTTGGTGTTGAGGTGTTCGTGGTGCAGCGGATAGTTGTGAGAATATTTGGGAGAGGAGTTCTGGCGGGAGGCGTGGAGTTTGTTTTATATTTGGGAGTACTGTTGTTGATGATTGCACATCCAAGTCGGTAGTAGAAGTAGATGATGATGCTGACTCTATAATGATGCCTCCCCATCCGTTCGTCCATGGTGCGAGTGCTGATCCATCTAACAGCATGCTGCCGCTTCGAAGAACTGTTGGTGAAGTGGTACCTGATAGTGGCTGACAAGCGTCGACCAGATCCTGAAAAATCCAGTAACTTGAAGCAGCCCTTAATAACCCATTACTATTTGCCTGTTGTGCAGTTGTTGGGACAGTGACAGCGACAGCTCGTTGCGACGATGACGAAGATGACGGCTGCATAGGTGGTGGTGTATCCGTGCTATCTCGATTATGATTACTATGAGCAGGAGCCTCGACACCAATCATGCCATCAGCACCGTCGTCAGGCCCTCCATCATCATCAGGACCTCCACCATTCCCACCATTGAGAGGATTGTCAGCAGCTTCCGCATCACCACCAGCGGCTCTCTGAGAGTCATCACCCGTTGCGGATATGGTGACAGCGAGGGCGGCAGTTGGGTCACCTAGAGGAGCTTCTTCTTTTCTAGCGAATAAGTCAAAACAGAGAGCACAGCATCTTAAAGCAGCTTCCAAGTCAGCCGATTTGGGCAGACGGCCTCTTCTCAGTCCTCGTAGTATTTTGTAGCATAAGGCAGCAGTAAACCTCACTATTGGGTCCTTGGCTCCTTCTTGAGTCATTCTTCACAAAATCTAGATATTTGGGTTTCTGATAAATGCTTGGTGACTAGTATTGATGGCTTAAGGAACAAGATAATATACGATAGTCACCTACTTTCTACGCTCTAAATCCTGCAATGTAGATTATAAGGTCCAATCCCTTACAATGAGTATAATTGCTGTTTTATGGCAGGTCGCTTTGTTGCATTGAAAAGAACGAGAGAAATCAGCTTTTGAATTAAACAAGAACAAGGACACGTAATACGCGTTATTCTCGTGTTTACATAATGGCATTCGTAACATTAAAATACGGAGGTACTTCCATTCACTACATTGCTATGATATATCAACCTTCACTAACATGTTGATTCCATTCTCCACAAAGCGGGAGAAGAAATGCTCCTAAATCCAAATTGCATGGCATCGGTGCTTCTAAATCATATCAAAAAGAATGCCGATGTAATCAAGTCCGTGGGTGCTATACACGAACCCATCGACATTGCGACTGAATCTGGCGAAGTCGTAGATCTCATGGGTAAAGCACGGGAATATGCAAAGAAATATGTAGATCCGAGAGCTACGTATGTGCTGGTTAAGATCGTTGGAGGTGCGCGGTGGACTGTGGTGTTGATCTTGTGTTGTTTGTCTTGTCGAAGGACGTTGATATCTGAAGTGATCCAACCTTACTCACGGTTGATCCCTCTCACTAGCGGACGAATCTGGAGAGGCTGAAGCACAATACATACCATTATGTGATCAGCTGGGAGAAAGAGTCAAATTCATGTGTACGCCATTCATTCCTTTTTTTGTCTCGTTGGTCAACACCATCCTCACCCTCAACCTTCATAGTGGCATCATCCCGCCAAAAGAAACGCGGTGGACACGGAGCACCCTCAATAGCCTCAGACCGGACAGGCACAGACCGTGACGTACCCGACAACCTCTCACCCAACAGAGCAGCTGCAGGTCGAAACCGTGCCAAGAGCAACAGAATAGACGGAATGCCAATATCAACCACAGTCCCAGCTTCAACGGCATTGCCTTCACCTTCCGGGAACTTGTCTGGTACAATACCACCATCACCATCGTTAAAGACGCAGGCATTGGGATCTAGTAACGCGTTTGCAGCTGCCGGGTCAAGAGATGTGTTGAATTCGCCGCCGACTGGTGGTGGTGGGTTGAGTGGGGAGAGGGCGCCTGTTGTTGTGCAGGCGAGTAAGGACGGGAAGGGTGGGAAACAGCCAGTGGCCAAAAAACGAGGTACAGCTGCGTTGAATGGATTTGGTTATACGGATTTGGACCCTAATTCATTTCTACCATTAGATGCGTAGTGGGGATGTCTGTAGTTTACGAGACTGCATTCTTGACCCATCTTTATATGGTGTAACAACAACATTTGTTTATATTTCAAACAAAAGCCATTCAAAACATCGCTTGCCAAACAAATGTTGCTGTTGCACCTCTGGTATATTAAATTCCGCTAAAGAAAGTCACAGTTTCTACCAAAGACTCAGTAATTATACACAAAATTCAGTCTACGATCATCAGATCCCGCAGGATGCTCTTTAGCATAAACCTCCTTTTCAATATCAGTCAACAAATCCCACTGTGTGGCCCGCTGTTTGTTGATTTGAATCAGTCTGTATCGTTGGACCAGGTATAAAGAAGCAGCGACCAGAGTAGCAGCGATGTTGATTCCGTTGCCGCGTTTGAAGGATGGTGCATCGTCCGATCGGTATATCCAGCCGGATACAAATGCTGCGAGGTTTGTGACTATATGAGGTTGATGGGGGTCAGCAAAACGAAGTCGAAAAAAACGCTTAGCCTGTTCGAAACTTACATATAATGTAGACAGCTAAAGCAACAGTCCTTCGACCTTGACCGGTTGTGTTTTCAGTCACCCATGCAGCGTTGATGGCATGCCATGATGTGAATCCAGCGACAGCAACGATGGAGCTGAAGTAGAGGGCGTACTTGTTTGGACTCGTGTATTGTAGCACCTCGACAAGGATTAGACCGATGGCGAAGACAACGACTGCGGTGAACGAGTGTAATGCACGTGAAGATGTTCGGTCACTAGAGCAAAAAATGATCTTTCAGTGCCTTTGAAGTCAACAGAGATTGATCAGCAACTCACCTGGAATATGAGAACAGCAGCAGGGAGAAGAAGAGGGCGACGTATGGTGGCAAAGAGAGTAGATTGGCCGTAAGACCTCCAAATCTAAGCATAAACGAACGAAGAGTCGATGAGTAACTAGCGGTGAGCCAGAAAATCACCTAGTTAGATCCAACATACCCAAAGTTGGCAATACTATAAGGCAAGAAACCACCAAAAGAATTGATTGGAATAGCAGAGAAGAAGGCCAAGATGCCATAAAAGTAGATATTGACATCCGTGAGAGCCGACACGATTTCCTCGCGAGTAATTTCGGCACGGAAGGGATATGCTTTTGATGGATCGTCCCTAAAACAAACAAAGTGAATGATTCGAAGTTAGTCACACTCGAATCCAGCATGTTGGGCATTCTTTTTCTTTACTTGACAATACGATTAGCTGCAATCTGCTGCTGTCTTTTAGTAAGCGCCCACCATTTGGCCGGAGACTCTCGCAAGTAAATAAAAGCACCAAGAGCAACACCGATGGTCAAGACGGCTTCAATCAAGATAAACCATCGCCAGCCGGCAAGCCCGTCATGGCCAGACAAGTTGGAGAAGGTGCCGAATGCGATTATTCCTAAGTAGGTCATCGAAGATAAGCATTTGAGATAAAATAGAGTGTGGAAAGCAAAGCGTACCTCCGACACCAGTAGTGAGAGCTTGAGTGGCCCAGAAGACAGAAAGTCGACCGGCAGTTTCGCGTTTCTTGTAGAAGCGAGTCAGGAGGAATGCAGTACCGGGGATGAAGCCACCTTCGAATAGTCCGACAAAGAAACGGAAAGTGTAGAGAGACGAGACACTAGACGAAGGGAGAATGAAGCGATTAGCGAAAAGGGTTCAAAGGTATTTGATGGTGAATAAAAAATCAAAGAGCGTCCTTGAACTTACGAAGTAAGAAACCAAGTTTGCAGCAACGACACGACTCCCCATCCAACAGCAAGAGTAGGCAGCCAGATATGAGCACCAACACGTCTCATAATAATACTACTTGGGATTTCCGACACAATGAAGCCGACTTGGTAGACCATGGTAGAGTACGAGACTTCGTTTACACCAGACCCCGTATCAGCAAAGAATGTGTTTGTGATTGCGTTGGCTATAGAATCGATAGTTGTTAGTACACGGTTGCGAGATATACAACGGGACACGAACTTACAAATGTTAGCACGATCCAACTGGTTAACAAAGATCAACAGCCCAATGTATGGCAAAAGACTTAAATCAAGCAGGTTCACCAACGTTTTTTCCTCATGCTCAGTCCACTCCAAGCTGGAGTCATAGAGCTCGACATGTTCAGCACCATCGATATCCGACACTTGAACACCCAGCGCGTTTCCCTTCTCGTTATCCTTGACTAGGGTATCCTTATTACTCATTGTCGATAGAATGAGATTTATTACAAATGTCCTTGTATGTGAAGCAATTGTTGTATATGCTCGTTGGTACGGACGTGTTGCTTGGCAATGTTTGGAGTCTGAATCGATGCGCGTATCGACCTTTTATATGTGGAAGCATTTCGTAATGCATGGTGCTGTTCGCTAAATTGGATTGCGAATTTCAAGCCAGTCGTGTGTTTTGGTGAATGAGGCGATCAGAGGCTTGGCACTGGAGATTTTTCATCCGACGACGAAATAGTGCACAGCTGCTTTCGAGCATTAGAATTTAACACGCCTGTAGCTACATGCTACATCGACATATAGTAGCAGGTGTCTTCTCAAGTGTGCTCCATAGCTGGGTGCGGTGAATCGTTGCTTTGTGTTGATGGTGAAAGACTGTTACCCTCTCACAATAACGAACGTTTTCCCTCTTTAAGCTTGCCGTTGTATTGACCCTCTTACTCTCCTTTGTTGAATAGTATGCCTTGTATGACAGAGAAGGTGGTTTCTTCACTCAATTGTCGAATGTTGAGAAATTCGAAACAGTTGTTGCCAATGACAGTGTGAAAAAGCAATACGCTTGAATTCATCTTTATAACCAAGATTTTTCTTCAGAATCCAATGTCCCGTTCCGAAAGCGTTTCCAATCAAAATAGCACTCATCAAAGAAGAAACAAAGCATCTATCAAGGTGAAACAAAACTGTTAGATTACATGTAAAATGCACAGACCATTGTTCGTTTCCTCGGTATATAGTTCTTTCGATCGACTTCATCTCAAGTACTACTGATGTTGGTAAAGTCTTGAGTCAAAAATGGAACAAAATGATGATGTCCCTTTTCCGTCCAACGATTTGACGAGACAGCTACCTCTCAAAGTATATCCGATCTTCATCAACAGCAGTACAGAGATCTCTCTTGAAATGACACAATTCATCGCATCGGGTGGGGTTTCCATGTTGGTTCGGACAACAAACACACTTTTCAACATGTGCACATATACAAGCCCCAGCAGCATTCGTGGCAACTGCATGATTCAGTACTTGCTTGATATTCGTAGTCTCAACGGATCACAACCTGGTTGTATATCTAGTGTTGCGTCTCTTTGTAACTTTTGTTTCACCTGAATGTTTCACAATCAGGTGAGCAAATGTGCAAAGCTCAACCCACGAAAATCGCAAATACACGCAAAGCACACGTATAATATTCACTATAGTATCTAGAGTATTATTGAAGTCTGCTAAAGAAGAGATACAGTTTTCTACCAAAGACTCAGTAATTATACACGAAATTCAATCTACGATCATCAGAGCCAGCAGGATGCTCTTTAGCATACACCTCCTTTTCTATGTCGGTCAGCAAATCCCACTGTTTAGCCCGCTGTTTGTTGATTTGAATCAGTCTGTACCGTTGGACCAGGTATAAAGAAGCAGCGACTAGAGTAGCAGCAATGTTGATTCCGTTTCCGCGTTTGAAGGATGGTGCATCGTCCGATCGGTATATCCAGCCGGATACAAATGCTGCGAGGTTTGTGACTATATGAGGTTGATGGGGGTCAGCAAAACGAAGTCGAAAAAAACGCTTAGCCTGTTCGAAACTTACATATAATGTAGACAGCTAAAGCAACAGTCCTTCGACCTTGACCGGTTGTGTTTTCAGTCACCCATGCAGCGTTGATGGCATGCCATGATGTGAATCCAGCGACAGCAACGATGGAGCTGAAGTAGAGGGCGTACTTGTTTGGACTCGTGTATTGCAGAATCTCGACAAGGATTAGACCGATGGCGAAGACAACGACTGCGGTGAACGAGTGTAGAGCACGTGAAGATGTTCGGTCACTAGAGCAAAAAATGATCTTTCAGTGCTTTTGAAGTCAACAGAGTTTGATCAGCAACTCACCTGGAATATGAGAACAGCAGCAGGGAGAAGAAGAGGGCGACGTATGGTGGCAGAGAGAGTAGATTGGCCGTAAGACCTCCAAATCTAAGAATAGACGAGCGAAGAGTCAATGAGTAACTAACTGTGAGCCAAAAAAAGCACAGAGGTTATATTCGACATACCCGAAGTTAGCAATACTATAAGGCAAGAAACCACCAAACGAGTTGATTGGAATAGCAGAGAAGAAGGCCAAGATACCATAAAAGTATATATTCACATCCGTGAGAGCAGATACGATTTCCTCTCGTGTGATTTCGGCACGGAAGGGATAGGCTTTTGATGGATCGTCCCTAACACAAGCAAAGCGGATGGTTCGACATTTAGTCACCAAACTCGAATTTCAACATGAGAGGGCATTCCTTTTTTTACCTGACAATACGATTAGCAGCAATCTGCTGCTGTCTCTTAGTAAGCGCCCACCACTTTGACGGAGACTCTCGCAAGTATATGAAAGCACCAAGGGCAACGCCGATGGTCAACACGGCTTCAATCAAAATAAACCATCGCCAGCCGGCAAGACCGTCATGACCAGACAAGTTTGAAAAGGTGCCGAATGCGATTATTCCTATGCAGGGTTTTGAAGGTAAACATTTGAGACAAATGTGAATAAGCAAGGCAAGGAATACCTCCGACACCGGTGGTGAGAGCTTGAGTGGCCCAGAAAACAGAAAGACGGCCAGCAGTTTCGCGCTTCTTGTAGAAGCGAGTTAGGAGGAATGCAGTTCCGGGGATGAAGCCGCCTTCAAATATTCCGACAAAGAAACGGAAGGCGTAAAGAGACGAGACACTAGACGAAGGAAGAACGAATCGATTAGCGAAAAGGGTGCGAAGGCATTTGATGGTGGAAAAAAAGATCAAAGAGCGTCCTTGAACTTACGAAGTAAGAAACCAAGTTTGCAGCAACGACACGACTCCCCATCCAACAGCAAGAGTAGGCAGCCAGATATGAGCACCAACACGTCTCATAATAATACTACTTGGGATTTCCGACACAATGAAGCCGACTTGGTAGACCATGGTAGAGTACGAGACTTCGTTTACACCAGACCCCGTATCAGCAAAGAATGTGTTTGTGATTGCGTTGGCTATAGAATCGATAGTTGTTAGTACACGGTTGCGAGATATACAACGGGACACGAACTTACAAATGTTAGCACGATCCAACTGGTTAACAAAGATCAACAGTCCAATGTATGGCAAAAGACTTAAATCAAGCAGGTTTACCAACGTCTTTTCCTCATGCTCAGTCCACTCCAAGCTGGAATCATAGAGCTCGACATGTTCAGCACCATCAATATCCGACACTTGAACGCCCAGCGCGTTTCCCTTCTCATTGTCCTTGACTGCCGTATCGAAACTGCTCATCGTTGAAAGAATGAGATTTACTACAAATGTTCTTGTATGAGTAGCAATTGTTGTATGGTCGTGTTGCTTTGAAATGTTTGGAGTGAAAGTGTTTGGCATGGGCCCGTTTTATGGTGAAAAGCATTTCGTAATTTTGTACGGCCAAGGGTATTATTGTGTTTTTTGTGTGGTGAGGTGATGAATTGCTAGGATGGTGCAAGAGTTTGGTGATGTGATTTTTGGATGGCTTTGAAAAAGTTTGTTTTTAACAAACGACTACGACATGAACGCATTTTGCTACAGTAGTAGATCGATGTGGGATTGTCATATCTGTGACGTATAGGTTGTAGTTTCGGTCGAGTTTGGTGACGTGGCGGGTGTGTTTTGGTGGTTGGGTGTTATTCTCGTCAACAAAGAAGGTTTCAACAGATATACGGCCAGATAGTCATGATTTGACGTTGGTAAAAGACAAGCATGGTGATATGGAGGTTTCTATGCGATGATCTCAGTCCGTTTTGTGGAAGTAGGTGCTGCAAAAAAAAGTTAACGCGAGACAAGACCATACACCCAACCACACACCTTCAACCACGCAGAAACGTTCATTTCAAGCTTTCGTATCCGTCATCAATGACAAACTCATCTCTCAGCTGAATCATTCCAAGCGTTGCCGATCTCTTCAACAAATTGTGTCCAAGTTCAAATGTTGATCCAACTTGATGTTGACATAGTTTCAAACTCCCAAATCCACTTAAAATGGTTCAAATGAATCACATTAATCATTAGAGCAGCGCCAAATATGAATCCGTAAGGCACAATCCAAAATGTTCAACATTTTGATGTAATGTGTTGATCTGTATTGAGGCGAAAAACTGACAAAATGACGCGTAACTAATAGTTAGATCAGTTACAAATTCGCCTAAAGCTCGTATTTAAATCTCTTTGCATAGTTCGCTGACCTTCACTGCCACGATTCCAAGGATTCGAAATCAGCATCCAACGAAACCATTCAACAACAACAGCAATTTAGCAACCAAGTATCATAAGAGCCTCTCAAGAATGCCCGTACAGGTAACTCCCGGAATGGTTCAATTCTTCAAGAACAAGACATTTGCTGTCGGTATGTGATTTTGCCAACATTTTGCAGGTTTTGCAATGGCTCGAGACTGATTTGAACTCGTTTCTAACTAGTTGGAGCATCGACGGATCGAAGCAAGTTTGGAAACCGTATCTTACGGTGGTATATAGACCACGATGAGTCGGTAAACGTTTGCTTCCAAGCTGTTGCATCACACAACCATACACAAGCTTGAAGCTAACCGCTTCAACTACTATTCAAACTAGGTAATTCCCATCAACCCAAAGACATCCGTCATCGAAGATGTCCCAGCTCTGAAATCCCTATCGGAACTATCGGATCCCACGACCGTCAGCGTCTCAGTCATAACACCACCACCAGTTACAAAACAAGTATTACAAGAGGCTATTTCTCTGGGTATAAAGAACGTGTGGTTGCAGCCTGGATCTGAATCTGAAGAGGCTGTCGAGTATGGTGTTTCGCATGGGTTGAATGTTGTGGTTGGGAATCATGCGTGTGTTCTGGTAAGTGCTCGTATTGCTTGTATATTTGGCCTGTCAGTCGCTTATTATGGTTTTAAATGCGTAGGTACACGGTGAAGAAGCCGCTCGACGTGCTAGACTGTGAGTTCTAGTGGTCATAAAACCAATGTTTTACATTTAACAGAATATAACTAGTTTACAGTTTACAAGTCGTTTAGTAAGCGCGTACAATAATTGTATCCTCGTCATCCTCGTCATCATTGTCCTCCTCATTTACAGGCTCATTATCATGTTCGGGGGCTTCTTTTTGAACACCCAACAGTTCATCCTCGTCGTCATCGTCTACATCATAAGGCTTTGCATTCCCACTACCCGACAACTCGTCCGTTTCGTCCTCTTCTTCTCGTATGGGTCGTTCCGTTTCTACATCATCACCGTCCTCCTGGTCCGCCTCCTCCTCCTCCTCATCAGACTCCCTTTGAGCGACCTTATACCCAGCATGCGTCTCACCACCACGATGGGCATTCATGTGATTATTAAACTTCTGCCATACAGAATTCAATGCTGGATCAAACTCTCTCGGGTGTTCCTTCGCAATCAAAGCCAATATCCGTTTAGCTTTAGCCTGATCTAATGGACCTCTGGCAAGCTGAAGGGTATCACTAAACAAAAGCGAGATGTATTCTTTGCCGTGCTCGTGGCTCATCAGAGTTCTGAGTCGTTTCGCTCGTTCTAGGTCCTTTGTTACATCCTGCGGTTCATCGTCGTCTGGTTCGTCGACTCGTATGCGTTTGTGAGAGCGTGTTGGTGGTATTGGATCATCTGCTGTGTCTTCAGTTAGATCTATTATGTCTTCGTTGTTTGCCATTATTGGAATGGGGCTGCGATGGTGTGGTGGTGTTGATGCACTTGATTTAAGCTAGATCAGACCGACGGTTCGTGAGTATACTGGCTTCTATAGACGATAATAATATATGATTTAAGTATTTCTGTGACTTGCCATATCACATCTGTGAAAACTGTGCGCTCTTACAAGAGTCGTGGAGTTGATTTCCAAAGGCTAGGTCACGGCGACGTGATTCTTCACGAGAGTAGCGCCGATAGAGCAAAGGAGATGCTATAATTTTCGCGATTTTTGATATAAGAGTGTCAACCTTGTGCGTATGGGTCTTCGGAAGATTAAGTCGCCTGTTGCGAAGTTACAAAATCCACCAAGGTCTGGTATACAGTTGACTTTACGTGTATCGGAGCGTGAATTAGAAGGTGAGGTACCTCGCTACTATTAACAGAGCGTCTTCTTTCCTTGGCATTCAAAAAAACGTTAACACTTCAAACTTATAGGCTTGATCGGACTTGTGGAGTTGTAGCAAGTTGGACGTGATAATAGTAATTGAAAAGATAGCATACAGTCTCTGTGCCTGCCGCCGCATCATCGCATCAGGCCAGTGTTTTCAGCACAAAGTACGAGCTCATGTTTCAAAGCAGACCTGTAACATTTATGATTTTCGATAATGCAAATTCGACCAAAGTCAAGCTACATACTCACAGACCTCGGTATTTATAGGCTTCATGAACCTCAACCTCTTGTCTTATTGATCTCTATTTAATTTATTCATCAACCATGGTTGGTTTATTCGACATTCAAGCAACACAAAATGTTCACTAACCCAACTACATACATCACAGGAGTCCTCTGATCCAAAATTACGGGACATTGAAGCAAAGATAGAAAAGGAGAAACGGGTCATAAAGGGCGCTGAACAAATGTTATCGCAGCTCAAAGACCAGAATGCTCTTGAGCAGTGCCAGGTTACCGTCTCGGAAGCTCAACGCCGCCTCGAATTTCTCGAAGGAGAATACAAGCGAATGAATATGAAGAAACGGAAGGCTACCTCCGTCGACGTATTGACTTCCTCCTCATTGAATTCGGTAGCACCCTCTGAAACTCCTACTTCAACTACTACCGACGCTAGTAGCGACCCTTCCCCAGCTTCTATAACCAGTAGCAGCAACGGCGGCGATAAATCCCCGGCATTCATATCACGAGCTACTGCTCTATTCCGATCTACACATCAGCTAAACAGTCCTGGATCTGTCAGACGTGCTGGTACTGAAGTCACGTCCTCACAACCAAACTTGTCGCAGTCTGCATCCAATTTTGGTGGTAGCTCGACACTGCAGTCATCAGGCGGATCTATAATGCTGTCAAATGCTAATATGGGAGGGGCTAATCACATGTTTAGCTCATTCTTGTCGAATTTGGGACTAAACAAGTCTGGTGTCGCCAACAGTAAGGTTGGATTGAATGTTGCATCACAGGATAATCTAGCGCCACCGCCCGTGTCACAGTCTAGTAAAGTTTTGAGCTCATTTGGTATGTATTTTCAATTGTGCAACAAAAAGAGGGTGTATTGACTAACCACGCCATTACATCCCATCTCACTTTCCAGACTATTTGAGACACGAAACCGCCATCTCTGCAGAACAGGTTAAATATAAATTAAAATCCGTAGAGCAAAAGTTGGATGTCGAACAAAAAGTCAAGGCTGGTACCGAAAAACTATATCAGGCTGTAATAAGAGACCCAGAACAAGATAAACGCAGGCAGCAGGAAGTCGCCGCTAAGAAAGAAGAAGCTGATGCTCGTGTGCAGATCTTGAACAAGGCTGTACAACGATACAAGGGCTTGTATGTCGCTGATGATGAAGATGACGACGAAGAAGTAGTAGAACAACAACATCAAGCAGAAGAAGCAGAGACTGTGCCTAGTCTAGTATCTAAACCCGATACGCATTCCATGTCGGATATGTCGACAATCCCTTCGCTGAATGTGGAAGGTACTGGTGATTCTTCACCACCCAAAGTCGATAGTGCTACAGTCAATAGTGTGTCGGATAAGGATGAGCATTCGCCTTCGCTTGCTGTTGGTGGTGAGGGTAGTACAATTATATCCAAGGCAGAGAGTGTAGGAAATCTGAAACCGGCAGCGTCAAGTGGTATGTTGGGCTGATACATTTATCGTGATCTTCTTTTTTGCTTCTTGTCGCGCAAAAGCATCGAAGCTCAGTTCTTGTCTGATACCGTTACTTTAGATTCACCACTGTCTGGAGACGACACCGAAGCAAGTCTCAATCGCAAGACAATGACTGGCCGATTACGCATGAAGCTGCTTGGAGCAAACAATCTCCCAGGCAAAATCTCACATAAAACCGAAACATACGCCATTGTCCGTATCGATGGTGCCCAACGTGCCAAAACAAGAGCAAACCGCTCTCGCTGGGCCGAAGATTTAGACATTGTATGTGACAAGGCCACCGAATGTGAAATAGCAGTATACGAAAAGGGAGGCACCATATTAGCGCTCGTATGGTTTAGAATCGCTGAATTGGAAGATGCCAAAAAAATCAAAAGCTCTGGAGTAGTCATGACTACTCTAGTTGCGGGTGGATTGTCGCCTGGTAGAGAAAGCACAGCTACCACTACAACAACTAATACGGGACATCATCAGTCAGCTACCGATGTATCGAATATCCATACACGAGAATCGGTTGGTGGTGAATCTGTTGGATCACATCAAACGCCTGTCGACAAGGATGGATCTGGTGATATCACACCTGCTGAAGGGGCTGAAGATTCGTTCAAGGATGAGTTGTGGTTGGATATGGAACCTGCTGGGCAATTATGTGTCAGGTTGTCTTTTATGCCTGAGCAACGAGTGTTACGGCGACGTGTAAGTGGTGTGTTGGTCGAGTTGAGACATTTCGGGTGCTTACCAGTTTTTTTGTGCTTTGTAGAATGAGGGTGTCATGAGACGAAAACCAGTACAACGTGGTAAGGTTATGAGAGGACACAAATTTGTGCCAATCAATACCTACTCTGTTATGAAATGTGCTATTTGTATGGAGTTGTTTGTCAATTCTGGGTATCAGTGTTCATGTGAGTGTGGTAGAATTGGTTGCTTCACCAGTTTGGAATCCTTTCTTTTAGTTGTGCTTAACGCAAAACTCGTTCCAGGGTGTAAATATGCTTGTCACAAGAAGTGTTATAGTCGTGCTATAACGAAATGTATTACAAAGGGAGATCAGGAGGAGAAGGTAGTTAAATATGTTTCACTCGCTTATGGAAAGCCAAAAAAATTCTTATTGATGATTTATACTCACAGGGTGACGAAGAGGAAGAAGACGGTAGTGATTTGACATCTCTAGCACTACACAAAATCCCACATCGATTCGAACCCTTTACAAACATTGGCACAAATTGGTGTTGTCATTGTGGTCAAATCCTTGCTATTGGACGTGGGAAAGCGCTCAAATGTACAGAATGTAGTTTCTCATGTCACAAGGAATGTATGCCACTAGTTCCCAACCTCTGTGGTCTATCACCCGACGTCGCCTTCCAAATCGTACAAGCAGTCGACACGGCCGAAAAAGTACGATCTGGCAAAAACAATAATAATATAGCCCGTCTCCCTCGTGACGACTCGAGTAATATCATCCCACCATCATCATCACATACACAATTGAAATACTATGGACGAGACAATACCGCTGCATCGTCTCAGGAAATTGATCCATCGTCATTCGCAACTACTATGGAGAAGATGCCACCGTCTGCTAGTAATCTGAGTAGAGTTGTAGGCCCCGCTGGTGAATCGAGAACTTCGGAAACCGCGTTGCCACCACCGCCTATACCTCAACAGCAGCATACACCGCAGTTAGAAGCTAGAGATAGTGTTACTACCTCGACTGTGACGGCTGCACCTAGTACTGCTAAGTCGACAACGCCACTCGTACCATCATCGACAGTTGCTGTGACTGAAAAACAGCAGGTAGCTAATCAGACTATTATGGGAGCCAAAGGCAAAGGTAGTGCTGCTGCTGGTGGGCCACCGTATACCGGGCCAAAGGGTATTGGGTTGGAGGATTTCCAGTTTTTGGCTGTTTTGGGCAAGGGTAATTTCGGAAAGGTATGTGTATTAGTTTGAGATTGGTATTGCTCATAAAACTTGTTTGAGAGTCTGGTCGTGGAAAACTAAGCCATTTTTTCGGCCTGTTACTGACCACGCGCTGTCTCAAAAATTAAACATAGGTCATGTTGGCAGAAGACAAGTATACCAAGAGTCTTTATGCTATAAAGGTGCTCAAGAAGCAGTTCATCTTGGAGAATGATGAAGTTGAGAGGCAAGTCCTTATGGTCACCACTAACTTCTTTTCCTTTTTGCTCTCCCAACAGCTCTCGTCTAAAACTCATCTATTTTCTTAGCACCAAGTCCGAGAAGCGGGTCTTCTTGATTGCCAATAAGGAACGACACCCCTTCCTTGTCAACTTGCATTCATGTTTCCAAACTGAATCTCGAATCTACTTTGTCATGGAGTATGTTTCTGGTGGTGACCTTATGTGGCACATCCAAAAGCAGCAATTCTCCGAAAAGCGAGCCAAGTTTTATGCTTGTGAAGTGCTTTTGGCGCTAGAGTACTTCCATAGGAATAATATCGTGTATAGGTACGTATGGCGAATATTAGTTCAGTTTTTTTGTTATTCTTTCCAAGGGAAAAAAGTCGCGCAAAGCAAAGTCTAATCCTTCTTTCGTCTGTTTTACAGGGATTTGAAACTGGACAACATCCTCCTAACACTAGACGGCCACATAAAAATCGCCGACTACGGTCTCTGTAAAGAAGGCATGCCATATGGATCCACCACATCAACATTCTGTGGAACGCCCGAATTCATGGCTCCCGAAATCCTACAAGACAAACCATATGGCAAAGCAGTAGATTGGTGGGCACTAGGAGTCCTGATTTATGAAATGTTGCTTGGTCAGTCACCCTTCCGTGGTGAAGATGAAGATGAAATCTTTGAAGCCATCTTGGAAGATGATATCTTGTATCCGGTTACGATGCAGAGGGATGCGGTTACGTTGTTGCAGAAGGTATGTTGCTTGGTGGTTGTACTGCTTTGTTGAGGAGATGTGGAAAGCTTATGGACGATTTTTTTAGCTGTTGTGTAAAGATCCATCGAAACGATTAGGATCTAGTAAAGCAGACGCTGAGGATATCAAGAAGCATCCATTCTTCAAAGGTGTTGATTGGGATGCCATGCTGACGTTAAAGGTTCCACCGCCGTTTTATCCTACTGTGGTATGTACTTACAGAAAGGTTTTCTCGACACGAATGAGATGGCGATGTAAACCCGTTCTTTTTTTTCGCATCACAGGCATCACCAACAGACGTATCCAACTTTGACGAAGAATTCACCCGTGAAATGCCACAACTCACTCCATGCACCAGCACACTTACCGCCACAGACCAGGAAGAGTTCCGTGGCTTCACATATATATCTGACTGGGCAATGGAGGAGCGCAAGAAACATGGATTTATGGTGCCGCCTCCGAGAGAGAAGAGGGTCAAGGAGTCTGCGAAGCCTCAATAGTTGGGAAAATGGGAGACAGATATGAGATAATGAGTAGAGAAGCATCAACCACACGCCACAGCTTTTATAAAAACTTTTTGCCTTTTGTGTATTATTTTTTCTTGCAAGCACCTGCATCTATCCCGTTAGAACGGAATGGGGGTTTCGTTGTTGTTTTAGTTAATAGATTGTTTATTCTTCTCGTGTATGTGTTGTGTGTATTTGCATGGGTGAGACCATGTTTGCAAAAAAAAAGGAATTGTTGTAGTAGTGAATACGTGTTGGCAGTGCAACCTTGATGGAGGAGCAGGATGATGATGTCGGCTCATCAGATGCAGGCGACGTGGTTTCTCTCGCATTTGGTATGAGATTTGGTATATTTGAGCTTAGGCTTTCCTTGTTGGTTACAATCGCAGCCAGGCGTGCTTACATCTTTCTTCCAAATCCAAAATGTGCCTATTTGCTATTGAGCAATAGTCAGCCCGTAGTTTATTGCCTAAACACAAGAGTACTTGCTTGTCTATCGCCCCTTTTGAGCACGGCAATGCTCGTGTCCGTTCCGTATACTCACAAGCCCTGTCTTTTCGTTGACAGTTTGTGCATGCCTACGCAACCAAGTATACGGCGCACCACGTAAAACTAACTGTGAAAGAGATATATCTTACAGGTCGAATAGAGTCACATCCGAGTTACGGCACTTTGTGCAAGGAATATGTCCAACAGTCCTCTTCTGGCTGCTGAGCTCGAGCAAGCAACGAAAGCGGTCTTGCAAGTCCGTACCACAGCATTCTTGCCCTCACACGCTTTGAGAAAAGACAAATATCATCCTGTCCTGGAAGAAAAGAAAGGCAGTCAGATCGTGCCAGTTGATACTTTCTGATGTCTAAATGTCGAGTAATAGCAAGCACCACCAGCAACATTCAGACCACGCTTAAAATGATTTAGGTATGGTGGGCTATCCCGCTGGAATTCAACTTTGGCCAACTTGAGTACCACGCCACGGTCTATCCAAAAACACTTTTTGCTTGTTTGGGCACCAGAGACGTGCTTCAGGCGCAACAGAAGCGTGATATCGTACCTTAATGCGTATAGTATTCAGCGCTTGTACAGAACTGGTCTCGCGAACCTAGTCCCTTGTTGGAAAAATCACTTCTGTGTCAACCAAGAAAATCACGTGACGATCGCCTTTGTCTTTAAAAGATTTCAGCGAGCAGTTTACTGCAAAAGCAGATTTAAATAAGCTACGACTAAAGCTTTCAATACTGAAGTTGTGCCCCCTGCGTGCCGGTGGTTAATTAGATCATTTGCATGTGCGCATACATTCACAGCAAATAGTTTCGCGTTGGAATACCCGTCTCCCAGCGTACATGTCAATCAGAGAGCATACATCTTTTAGAGCTTCATATTAGATTAAGGCGAGCAATAGAGCGGTAAAGTTACGAACTTGCGAAATTGTTGAGCATGAAGTGACCGCTTTTGGCGAGATTCGGTGGCGTCGACGGGGGAGCACGAGAGCCAAGTGTTTACAAGTAAGCATGTGGATCGGCAGTGAACCTTACTTCCAGCCCATTCATTCTGTCACTACCGCGAAGGTGAAGGGGTTCTTGTTGAAAGTTGAAAATTTTGATCCTTGTATGGTTGCAAGAACTGTACGTACCAGACAATTGTAGTCTTCAACACAGCTGGATCATTTTCACCGCTACACGAAAGCGACAAATTGAACAGGCAGGATTCAAAGCCTCGGCTATCAACTGGAATCCTCATTTGCGGCATATTATGTACAAGAGCTTTCAACAAATTCAGTTTAGATAAACTTCGAAAACAAATCGGATAGCATTGATGGTTTGAAAATAAATATTGAGTAGATTAAACAGGTGCCATCGCCCAAATTAAATAATCCCCCACAATGATCTATTCACTGTCCCTTATGCAACCTCTGCACCTCCTGATGAAACGCCTGGTCTTGTTGGACTACCGCCAACGAAGTATCAAACACTTCTTTGATGAATGTGTTTTCGTACCTATCAGAGACATATCAGTTTGAGCGAACTGGGGATGATACAAGCTTCGCAACCACACAAAAAAAACTTATCTAGCTTCTTACCCATATATAGCACCCAGCCCCTTCGCTTGTGTTAGGAGAGGCCTCAGCAATTCCTTGATCCCTTCAGGATCGAATCGAAAAGACGACAATAACTGAAAGGCGCTCATCATTATGGGAATAATGAAGGTTACTCCTAGAGAACCAGACACTTGACACCCTATTTCTGCAATCTGTAGAACAATCAGTCGTATGTACAATGGCTGCCTCAGAAACATGATTGTGTAGGGTTGTTGATGCAAGTACCTTGGCAATACGCGTGGCTGCCAACTGACTTGTAGCATAGTTATCATCATTTTGAAGGTCAGAGTCGTTCCTTATGAATGCCAGGAGAGTCCTAAATAAGACAGACCGTATGAGGGAGATATAAAATCAGGGGGTGAATAAAAACAGTTGACTTTCCCTCGTTGGCGTGAGACAAGCCGGACAAAATCAACATACGCCAACATCACAAGAGTATTGGTCCAGCCTGGGGGTGGCTCGTTCTCTTCTACTTCTACAACCATTTTGAGCAGAGTGGTCAAGTGCAAGAAATTTGGAAACCGTTGCTGCATTCTAACCCCAGACGAGGAGATTAGTCCCCATAACAGGTAAAATTGACAATAGACATATATGAACGGCGGCGTTTCTTAGACTCACACACTCAGCCGAGCGTCAATCTCTCGGACTGCACTCATGTAAGCAGGGTACCAATCTTCGTCAGCTTGGCCTTCAATGTAAGCGGTCCTACGCAGCTCATGTGCTTCGCTCAGAAGTTTCAGACAATCCCACCACAAGTATGATATGTCTGAGTCATCGATTTGATCATGTCCCTGTGGTTCCATGCTATCAGGATACTGATACGCGTCCCATATTGAATCTGAACAGGGCTTTTTTGTTGTAAAGCTACCCGGAGCGATCATGGTCGGTCGGTCGGCTGCTATTGAGATATGTAGATCTAATGCAAAGCATCTGTACCACAGTCGTCTCCTACGCTCTGCAAGTAAGATGGAAGCTTAATAAAATGTTTGTTTGAATAGGACTGTCCTAAAGCGTGCCCCGTTACCTGTATCGAACCACGTGCCATCTGGACGCGGACCCGGAATGCCTTTCAGCAACGAAGCATCGGCAAGCAAATAGTCCGGATCACAGTCCAACATAAAAAACTGAGCCAGCCGAAGTCCTGGCAAAGGATGGCAAAAAAATTATTACATAGCTGCATCAAACCAATCGTGCAAACCTACTTGTCGAGGATGTACGAAAGGCAGGCATCATCTCGCCCCTAAGCGCGAGCATAAAGGTAGAGGCAAGGGAAGCATCCACGTCGTCCAACCCCAATTTGCCGTGTTCTTCGAATAATCGAAGATTCTTTCTCGCCAATTCGCGTAGCAGTGTTCGAGCTTGTTCTGGCAGTATAGTGGTTATTTCCGAGTCCACTTGGACTGTAATTGGCTTACACGTTAAATAGGACCCATATGCGGCCCAGGAGTACAACACTTTTCGAAAGCTCTCGTCATTTGCATGGGCGTTTATATACGACGGATGGAAGGGTGACGAGAACTTCTTGACCTCCTTCCGATTTAACGCTAGGTTTGACAGTTCTATTAAGGTGGACAATGGAAAGACGATGGAGGAGGAGGATGCTGATGATATAGAGTCATCAGAAGCAGGTGTCTTTGGTATACTGCCCGGTGTGTCTGAAGACTGGCTTCCCGTGCTTTCTAGCAATGCTGCGAGGCGGGCTTCCATCGTTTTGCACCTTTCTTCCAAATCCAAAATGTACCTATTTGCGGGTGATGTTTGTTAGCCATCACGGGTTACAGTTCAACAACAAAGCAGCGTAGGAATATTCACTTGTCTCTTGGTCCTTTTGACGATGGCAATGCTCTCGTTCTTTCTGTATATTCACAGCATTTGTGTCGACGTAGACAGGTGGTACATGACTAGCAGCCAAGCATCAGTCTCAAACTGCATGCCCATCATTCTATATTTCTGACTGTCTTACCGGTCGAATAGAGTCACATCTGAGCTTGGAAGCGCGACACATTGTACAGGCAACGTGTCCAATCGTCCTTGTGTGTCTGCTCAGTTCGATCAAGCTACGAATGCGATCTTGCAAGTCCATCCTACAGCATTCGGCCCCTCAAAATCTCCAGTAAATTTCAAAATCAAGCTATTCGCGTGGAAGGGAGAAGCAGTCAGATCTTGCACATTCATGGTTTTTTGATGTCTTATAATAACACTTAGCAAAAGTATTACCACACGCAGCCAGCAACTTTTAGGCCAGGTTCAGAGTAATCTATAGCATGGTCTTTGATCAAGCTGACAATTAGTACGGCAAGTAGCCCACACGGTGACGGTCTTCAAGAAAAAAAAAGAGGGTTCCTGTCTTAGGAGCAAAGACACCACATCCAGCACCTTGAAAGCATGATATTATACCTTGTCAAGTAATACTGTCAAAAGCCCCTTAGGAGATGGCCTCCTACAATTGGTTCGTTTCCAAACTTTTAAATCGGAAAGTCCGTTCTGAGTCAAAGGCTGAAAAGGTCTTTTTTGCGTGGAAGGATTTAAGCACGAAGAGTCCGCATGAGTTACGAGCGGAATCAAAAAAACAAATACACTGGCCTACGTGATTAAGGAGATTCGGATCAATCCGCACATTGACGGTTTCGTGTATGTTTTCAACCCCGACACAGTCCAACTCTGTCGGTGGGATGGTGGAGGAAACCCTACAAACCACGACAGTTTCCATCAAGAGTGATGCTACGAAGCCAATACGCTAAAGATGTACCACAAAATGTTTGAATCAGTGACTTCAAAAGAGATCTGAGTCTGATTGGCGAGATTTGGCGACTGTGTGAGTTGAGATCAGTAATCAGTGAGGTCAACACCCAGCAACAAGAACGGGCGATCAGCGGATACGACGAACAAGTGATCAAAA